ATTTGGTTTTTTTATTATAGTAGAATTTTATTAAAAAGTATCTATTTAATGTTATGGAACTTTTTTTGGATTTGGTTTTTTTTTTATAGTAGAATTTTATTAAAAAGTATCTATTTAATGAAATGGAACTTTTTTTGGAGTGTGAATTTAATCATTAAGTTAAGGTTTAATATCAAAACATTTTAAGCTGAGCTTTTTTTGAGCAATCTCTTATTCTAATTGTGCTTCGTATTTTTTTAATGATATTAAAATAATAGATAAATGGTTTAGTAATACATCTCTATAAAACTTTTGTTACTCATATTTTTTAGTTATTGGCAGTACCTATCTTTTTTAAATATCATTAACTATACCTAAATGGATCTTTGGAATTATTCATTTAAAAAGAATTTATCCGTTAAATTTATAAATAATTAGAAAATTTAATAGAATAAGAAACAATATCAATTGAAAATCTAAACTATTTTTATATCATAAAAAGAAATTTGTTCTTGTTCTAGAATTTAATTTAATGATCTCATATTCTCGATCTCTCTCTTAAAATTTTCAATAATTTTGAATAAATACCATTTATATATTATTTTGATATTAAAATCATCGAATCAACTAATTAAAGATTAATTAATTTATTATCTTTGATGATTAATCTATTAATTCAAACTAAAAAACTATAAGGAAAAAGATCCTAAAAATAATTAGAGAGAAAAGGGATCAGCGATGAAAAAATCTTTTGATTATTATCTCTTATAAATAAATACAATATTATCAGAAAGTAAATTAAAAGAGTTTCAACAATAGGATATTGAAAGGACCAAAAAAATATTTGAAATCTTTAAAGAACTACTTAATAAATAGACTTATGAATTAGTTTAGATGAAAAAGATAGAATATACATTTAAGAAAATAAAAAGTAATAAGACTTGTTTTAAGAATATAACATGAAATAATTATAAATAACAAACATTTTAAAATAATTATGTAATGGTTTTATTCCAGTCAAACGAGATGGAAATTGTTTTTAAACTGCTTTTGGATTTTCATTTATAAAACTTTTATTAATTAATTATGAGGATTATATTATGAATTTGATTCATTTATTGATTAAATATAATCTATTAATTTAAGAAGTAGAATAAACATTTAAAATATTTAAATTGATAATTTATAATTAAAAAAAAAATTTAAAATGAATTCTTTATTAGATTAAATAATTAAAAACTAATGAAGATATTGAGGAGAAATATTAATAATTTGAATGTTAATTTTCATAATATCAACTTTAAAAAATGAGACTGGTTTTTTTATAGATATATCTTTTGAAATCTTAGTGATCATTTAGTTCAATCTAAGTATATGGAGGAAATTAAATAATTAATTGTTGATTTATAAAAACTATTAATTTGGGAATCTGAGTTTGATAGTAAAAAAATTATTATTAAAGAAGTAGCTAGATATTTAAAAATGTATTATAACTTTATTATGATTAAGAAATGTAACATGAAATTTTTAGGTAAATCAATATAATGAATAATAAAAAAATAAAATAATATTGTTAAAGAAAAATGGTAATTATAAAATTGGTCTTTTTCAATGAATTGATAAATGATTATTTTAGTTATAAAATTAAAAATGATTTAATAAATAAAAATATATGATATAATAATAATAGAAGTAAAATGAATATTAAAATTTAAAAGAAAATTGATTGATAACATCTGGAATAGTATTGAGAATCATGAATCAGTTTATAATTATTTTAAATATAGATATTTTCAATAAACTTGATTGAACTCAATCTAAAGATATTAGGAATAAATCTATCATGTCTATGGCTGTATCTTCATCATTTTATATAAATTCTTTGATATTTTTCAATTAGAAATCATGAGTTTTAGTTAAATAAACTATTTAATCTAATGTTTTAACCTTGTTTTATTTAGCAAATTCTTTTAAGTCTTCAAAAAGTTCTTAGTTACTTAATTATTTTTCATATTGTTCTAATCTTTTTAAAGCTAATTCTTTGTAATAATCTTTAACTTATTACTAATATGATAATTAAATAGATTACCTTAGGTTATTAAGGATGCATAGTTAATTAAGCATGAACAGCAGACTTTCTTTTAATTCTTTGCATTTTCTTTTTATCTCTTATGATAAGATCTTAAACATCATGCATAAATTATGCAGCTTTAACTGGTTCAAATTCTTTCAAATTTAGATTACCACTAGCAAATTCTTCAATTTTTTATATATTTTAATCAATAAATTTTTAAACTTCTTCATCATCTTCTTTAACTACTACTCTAGATTTCAATTTTTCAATAACTTATAATGCTTATATTGCCTCCTATTTAACATTCTTACCTACTGAATTGTATTCCATTAATTTAGACATTATTTATCTAATAAATCTATCCAAAGCTTCAAGAGAGACACCTTCTTTATCTAAATTAATTTATTTTCCTCCTACTCTAATTGAACTAGAAGTTGTATATACAACTTAATTAGGAGTTACTCTATGTACTGGATTTGTAAACGTAGTTAATTAACATTAAGGATCAACACGTATCATTTAATAAAATACTTCATCCTTTATATCTTACAATACTTTTGTAAAATCAACTTTTGTGTTTGATATTAAATCAATTTAAGATGATAATATTCCAGCATTATGAATAATCATTTTCAATTCTGCAGCTACTGTATGTGAAAAATCTTCTCCAAATGCTAATGTATGAAATTTAAATTAATATCCTTAAGAATGTAATTACTCAAATTCCTTATTCAATTCTTAAAAGTATTAGTTTATTCCATCTTTCTCTCCTATTCCATCAGTCACAAATATTATAAGAATATTTTACAATAAGTTACCAGATTTTATCAACTTCATTAATTCTCTAAATCCTAATTCTATGCTTGTGCCCTCCCCTTTTTAACTTGTTAATTATGGACTTTCTTATAAAATTGCTGAGTCATCAAACTAAATACAATAAACACTTTTAAATCCAGTTATAAAGTAATTCCATGCTTTACATAAGTCATTCCATGCCTCAACCATTGATCCTGAACCATCAATTATACCTACTACACTATATTCCTAAACTACTGTAGATTCTTTTAACCAATAAATTTAAGGAGTTGCCATTTTTAATAATTAATATTATAATATTTGCACAAATACTTTTTTTATATTATTCAATTATTTTCATTCTAAGTAATTTATTTTATTCCAATATTATAATGTCCTGGTTAAATCAATAATTAAATAGATTAATTTGCACCATTATTATATTCTCTTAATTAAAATTCTCCTTTATCAAAAAATATCACTTAAATAAATCTAATTAATACTAATATATATTACATGTCTAAATATTTTGATAATAAAGATATTACAACTTCATTTGAATTACATTCAGTTTCCCAAGCTAATAATGTATTTTTATCATAAACCAACTCTTTTTAATCACTATTTTCAACTACATAATAAGACAAATTTCTAAAAAATAAAGTTGATAATCCATATAAACATCCATCAATTTATAATTCTACTGATTATTAATTAGCTTAAAAATGCTTAATAAATTATGTATTCCTCTCATATTTGTCTTCTATTTATCTAAATTATTCTAATCTGAAAAAGAATTCATTTTCAATTTAATTATTGATTTCATCATTACCTAACAATTCATTTACAACTTTAAATTAATACTTAAATTTCCCTTTAACCTTATTTACAAAATTCTAAAATTAATTTGTAGAATATTCTCCAATTATTATTTGAATTACTTGAAATCCTAAAGCAGTATAAAAACAATTTCCATCTCCTCTAACTTCTCTAAAAGCATTACATATTTCTTTTAATTATTATTTTTAAGTAAAAGATTTTATTCCATAGTTTTTACACATTTAATTAAAATCTTACATTTCTCTAATAAATTATTAATAATTTCCTTCAGCTATTCTCGTTTGATTTGTAGAAGAATATATACTATAAATGAAATCTTAAACTTATCTACATCTCTATTCATCCTTTTTGAATAATTAGCAATTTTATGCCTACAGTTGATTAAAATCTTTTCTCAATTTAGATCTTTCTTAAGTATCATTCTGAAAATTATTACTGTTTTAAAATTTTATCTCTGAATAGTAACCTTATTAAAGATATTTTGGACTAAATTAATCTTATTATTATTATTAAAACTATTGTTACAACATCAAATTTTATTGTTATTGACAAATTTAATTAGATTATTGTTGATTACTTTAAGGTTTATTTAAGCATAACTAATTTTGGAAATTTATATTCGTTTAGCTTTATTTTTATGTTTACAATGTTCCAAATCGAATTTTACTATTTGAAAATTATTGATTGGTTTAATCTTAAGGTTGATGATTTATTTTATTTTATTCTTGGTTTAATTATTAAAAATTTTATTTTTTTATTTAAGATAATCCTTAATCATTTACACTATATTCAGAATTTTCCTACTAAATACTTATATTTCCATTAAATTAATCGTTATTTGTTATATTTTCTTAATTTTATTGTTGTAAATTAAATTCGAATTATTTGTTATTCACAGGCAATTATTACATACTTTAGTTTTAGTTAATTAATTCATCATTTTTTGTTATATTTTCCTCAAGTGTATTTTAAATATAATCGATTTTAGAGCTCTACTATTAAACTTATTCAAATTTCATTATTTCATTCTCAATATTTATTTATTCTGTTTGTTTATTTAATCTGATTGAGCTTTGCTGTTATTAATTTTATTGAAAATTTTAAGTTTTTATTTAAGATTATGTTTATGTAAATTAATATTAATTTCTTTATCTATATTCTTCATTAACTAAATATTTTTCAATTTAATCCTTAATATTTATAATTTCTTAATTTTACTATAATAATTTTAATTCGAATTATTTGTTACTCTCTGTAAGGCTTTCAATTTTTGTTTCTAAAAATTAATTCATCTCTTTAAGTTTTTCTTCAATTTCTGTATATTTTTTTGAAGTTTATTTAATATCATTTTATACATTGTCTTGAATTTATTTTATTTTTTAATCTTAATCATTTATTCGAGCAATCATATTTCTAAGCTCTTATTCTTAATTGTTTTTTTCATTAGAAACAGTTTATTAACTACCGATAAGGTTATTCTTAATTTAACAATTTTTCAATACTTCATTTTAATTTTCTTATTATATTTATTCTTCCTACTAAGAATTTTGGTTTTATTTTTAAGTCTAATTTTTAAGAATTGAACTTCTATTTTAGTCATCTTAAATTTAGTAATTAGATTATTGAAAATGCTATTATTAATTTTAAACATTTAAATTTCTAAGGATATCTGATTTTTCTTCTATTTCTTTTAACAATACTTCAATCCCATTAATTCTTTATTCTATTTTATTATTTCCTTCTTCAAATGGCTCTAAAACCTCCCATAAATTTTTGAAATCTTTTAAATCGGTTTAATTTTCTTATTTTTTATGAGCCCAACTCCAAAAAATTTTATTTAGTTCCATCCATACTTGTGTTTGAATAAAATCTTTAGCTTTTTGTGTTTCTTTCATCACATTCATAGTTTCCTACTTTTGCTTCATTTCAAGCCCAATACTCGATTCTTGATTAATATTATCATTTTAAACATCACATTTTTTAGGTAACAGAGAGGATTGAAGTCCTTCCTAATAGTTTTGATTGTTATTCATTATAATTCTATTAATACTATTAAAATAATATATTGATAAATTTATTATAATCATAATACTTATCTCACTTCAATTCAAAAATAAATTCTTAAAATTACATTTTTTAGTCATAATTTTTTAACTAAAAAAATGTTATTTATTACTATCCTTATCTTAGATTTAAAAGCTTCAAAATAGAATATTTCTTATTCCTTAAAAATTGATATATATAGATGTGTATTAAATTTTAGGGAGAAACATAATAATTGAAATAATTTTAATTTATAATCAATCATAAGAAATTGAAAATTTTGAATAGAAATAATTTATTAAATAAAAATGAAAGAGAATAAAAATTTTAATAAAATTCAATCAATACAAAAGGTTGCTTCCATTATAGTAAGGTAGATACCTTCCACACGATCTAAATTTCCTAAATACTTCTACATAATATCGAAATGAGTATATGGGTTTTATATCTTAGATTAGCATAAAACATAATTAAATATTGTAATCATTTCATCAGTACTTATATTTGATGGTTATTATGCAAATTACTGATAGTAATTGATAATGATAGAATATATACATTAAAAACATAATATTAACTATTTGATTTTATGATGAGGAGTTTTTCTAAATTAAATAAGTTGTAAAGCTTAAATTGCTTTTTCAAAAGGCGATTAATAAAAAAAAGTACCTTAAAGTAATTTGGCTTATGGTCTCGAAGGTAATTATGTTTAATCAACATCCTCTATGATCAAAGTTTCATAATTTTCTTGTTCTTTTAGGTCATTTTTCGAAATTTTTGTATTTATCTTAGTAGATATTTTGGTTTATATATAATCTCTTGTAGTACAATCTAAACAATATTTAATAGAGATTCCAAAATCTGCAAGAGTTCTATTTTAAGATTAAGTTAATTTAAAATGTATTTTTTCATTTTCTTGTATCTATTCTTATTTTTTGATTTAGTAAACATAGCAAGATATATCATCATTAAATATCATATTGGTAACTAGACATTGAAGAGATTGTACATTCAAAAATTAGCACTAATTTATTGTAGCATAGTGTTTAAGATCATAATAATGTATTAAAATCTAAAATTAAAAATATTTAATACTTAAACAAATGAATCTCTAAATTTAATTAATAATGTATCTAATTCATGACTATTATTGGGCAGTTATGTACGTCTGAAAGTTTAAAAGATTTCTAACAAGCTACCAGAAAGAGTAGATAATTGATTTATGACTTATTTTTCATAATCTTGATAACCAGGATCACAATCCTAGACTAAAGTTGTAACTTAAAATTCTTTAAATGGATCAATAGTTTTTTTAGATCGTTTGATATTTTCTAACTCAGTGGCAAATAGAGATTCTTCAGAATTCATTGTTATAATTTATTCATGTTGTGGTTTTACTATTTCATATAAAGAAAGAAAGTTTCTTTTATGAAAACGATCTGATCTAACACTTATATTATATCCTAATTTTTACACTTCTCTTTCCACTCCAACAAACCAATGATTCTAAATTGAAAAAGAGATGTTACTTGATAAGTTTTATAGATATCATAAACATTCTCAGATCGAATTACTTGGTTATTGCCCATTGATAAATATATAAATTTTAATTCAATTAACTATTCTAAATGTTTCTTTATTTAAACATTCAGCGATGGCCGAACGCTTTTTTAGTTAATCTATTAACACTTTTAATTGTTACAAAGAACAATTAAATTTTTTTAATAATTGCCCAATATTTGCTCTTTTATTGTGTCTAATAAATTCTTCAATCTATCTATCTAATGGCTCCTCTTTTAATTGTTTCCAATCAATTGGTGGTCTAGATTACACTTCTAATTGAATAACTTTCATTGTGTGATACATCCAATCTGATAAATTTGATGCTTAATAATGTTATAAAACAAAATAAGGAGCGTCTTTAAATATTTTTAATGAGACTATGAATTTGTAATAAAATGAAGGGTCATCTCTATTTTAATTTATTTTATTAACATACTTTCCTTCATCTATCAATTTCAAAATTGGATCATCTTGCTATTTATTTGCAAAATAGGTTAACTTTAGAATTCCACTGTCATCATTTATCGATATACTGTATCTTACTTAATTTTATTCTTTAGCAATCTAATGAAATCTTCCATGGATAGTAACAATTGTTAAATTTATATTATCGTAATATACTTAATTTCCTTCCAAAGTTATTTAATTAAGCATTTTTACATTCATTGGAACAATCCCTGAACTTACCTTATATAATTATACAATACTTCTATGTTAGAATTTGTATTCATTTTCTATTTATATTTTAAATATATAATATAGTAATTTACTATCATTTATTAAATCAACCTAGGGGGGTTCAATTATTTTTAGAAAACCGCCAATAAAATTTTAAATTATTCTTCACTTTTTTGGGATATAAATATCNAACCAGGATCACAATCCTAGACTAAAGTTGTAACTTAAAATTCTTTAAATGGATCAATAGTTTTTTTAGATCGTTTGATATTTTCTAACTCAGTGGCAAATAGAGATTCTTCAGAATTCATTGTTATAATTTATTCATGTTGTGGTTTTACTATTTCATATAAAGAAAGAAAGTTTCTTTTATGAAAACGATCTGATCTAACACTTATATTATATCCTAATTTTTACACTTCTCTTTCCACTCCAACAAACCAATGATTCTAAATTGAAAAAGAGATGTTACTTGATAAGTTTTATAGATATCATAAACATTCTCAGATCGAATTACTTGGTTATTGCCCATTGATAAATATATAAATTTTAATTCAATTAACTATTCTAAATGTTTCTTTATTTAAACATTCAGCGATGGCCGAACGCTTTTTTAGTTAATCTATTAACACTTTTAATTGTTACAAAGAACAATTAAATTTTTTTAATAATTGCCCAATATTTGCTCTTTTATTGTGTCTAATAAATTCTTCAATCTATCTATCTAATGGCTCCTCTTTTAATTGTTTCCAATCAATTGGTGGTCTAGATTACACTTCTAATTGAATAACTTTCATTGTGTGATACATCCAATCTGATAAATTTGATGCTTAATAATGTTATAAAACAAAATAAGGAGCGTCTTTAAATATTTTTAATGAGACTATGAATTTGTAATAAAATGAAGGGTCATCTCTATTTTAATTTATTTTATTAACATACTTTCCTTCATCTATCAATTTCAAAATTGGATCATCTTGCTATTTATTTGCAAAATAGGTTAACTTTAGAATTCCACTGTCATCATTTATCGATATACTGTATCTTACTTAATTTTATTCTTTAGCAATCTAATGAAATCTTCCATGGATAGTAACAATTGTTAAATTTATATTATCGTAATATACTTAATTTCCTTCCAAAGTTATTTAATTAAGCATTTTTACATTCATTGGAACAATCCCTGAACTTACCTTATATAATTATACAATACTTCTATGTTAGAATTTGTATTCATTTTCTATTTATATTTTAAATATATAATATAGTAATTTACTATCATTTATTAAATCAACCTAGGGGGGTTCAATTATTTTTAGAAAACCGCCAATAAAATTTTAAATTATTCTTCACTTTTTTGGGATATAAATATCTACACATTAAAACTTATATTTTTTACAATTCAAATAGGTATACGATCTTAATATTATTATTTATTTTGATTTTAATAATTAAGTTTTCTAAACAAAACAATTTTCTCTATTCTTAAAAATTAATTTCAATAAAACATTATTGATTTTACAAAAAAAAAACTAAAAATTCATTTTCAGTGTAAAATAATATATTAACATACCAAATTCAAGTTATAAACTCTAGTTGTTTTGAATTTAATTGAGCAATATAAATTTATGTTGTATTATTCCAAAGTGATAATAACTACTTATAAAATAATCAACATAAAACTTATTTAATTAATGTAAAATAATTATGAGAACATTAAGTTGAGTTATTGTTTGTTTATATTTTTTTGAATATATTAAGTGTATTATATCACATGTGATATAATTCTTAAAATTCAATTTGTTTATTCTTGAAATATGCTTAGTAAATTAGAGAATAATAATAAACTTGGCATAACTTAAAGAAATATTTTTGAACAACAAAATATTATTTTAGATTAAGAATAAGTAATTATGAGAATTAAGATTATAATTATTGACTGTACTATTTTACTTAGTAGAGTAAATAGGATTCTGAAGATTACTTATCGTATATCAACAGAAGGATTTTATAAAAGAAATAAAACTAAGATTTACTTAATTGTTTGTCATAAATAAATAATTAGACATAATGTCTTAGGGGAAAGGACAAAGTGAAGTTAAAATTCATGCAAGTGATAAAATTGAAGAAGTGAAAGGAAATGAAGAGAAACCAAAAACTATAGCTTATTTTGATTTGTTTAGATTTGCTAAAAATGAAGATATTGGATTAATGATTTTGGGTTCAATAGCAGCATTTTTGAATGGAGGAGCAATACCAAGTTTTTCATTGATATTTGGATCAATGGTAAATTCATTTTAAGAGGCAGGGGATGAGATGGTTAGATAGGCTGGATGGAATGCATTGTAGAAATATTTGAATAATATTATTGTAGATGGTTTTTGATAGTTGCTATAGGTACAGCCATATTATCATTTACAATGTTTTCAACATGGATGATATCAGGAGAAAGATAAGGGATAGAATTTAGAAAGAATTATTTTAAAGCGATATTACATTAAGAAGTAGGATGGTTTGATACAATAAATCCAAATGAATTAAATAGTAAAGTGGCAAATGAATCATTCGCAGTATAAGGTGCAATAGGAGAGAAGGTTCCAACATTTATAATGACACTTTCAATGACATTTTTTGGATTTTTATATGGATATGTTTGGTAATATTTTTAATGATGATTTTAGGGGTTGGTAATTGGCTATAGTAATAACAGCAACAATTCCAGCATTAACAATAGTAATGTCTATATTTGCAGTGGTAATTTAATCATCAGCTATTGCAACTTAAGCTGCATATAGTGAAGCTGGTGCTTTAGCTGAGTAGGCAATTAATTCAATAAAGACAGTAAAGATGTTAGATGGAGAAGATTATGAGCATAACAAATATTATCATCTATTATAAGGAGCAGCACATAAAACTATGAAATACGATTTAGGAGTAGGATTAGCATTAGGTTTATTATGGGCAGCTAGTTTATGGTCATATGCTTTAGGATTTTGGTATGGTGCAAAATTGATTGCAGATTAAGTAAAATATAATAAAGATTATATTTTTAGACATATAATCATAATTAAGGAGATGTATATACAGTAGGTGATGTAATGACAATATTTTTTGCAGTAGTGACAGGAGGTTTTTCATTAGGATAAGCAGGACCTTGTGTATAGAATTTTGCTAAAGGCTAAGCAGCAGCAGCATAAATGTATGAAATTTTGGATAGATAACCTAAAATTTATAATCCAAAAAATCCTATAAAATTATAAGATTTTAATGGTGAAATAGTATTAAAGAATGTTAGATTTAATTATCCAAATAGACCAGATTAAATTGTATTGAATGGATTATCATTGAGAATACCAGCAGGCAAGAAAGTAGCATTGGTTGGAGAAAGTGGATGTGGTAAATCAACTGTAATGTAATTAATTGAAAGATTTTATGATTGTGATTAAGGAGATGTTTTATTCGGAGGAGAAAATGGAATTAATGTTAAAGATTTAGATTTAATAGATTTGAGAAGTAGAATAGGTTTAGTTGGATAAGAACCTATTTTATTTGCAACTAGTATTAAAGAAAATTTACTATATGGTAAAATAGATGCAACTGAGGATTAAATGATAGATGCATTAAAATAAGCTAATGCTTGGGATTTTGTATCTAAAATGGAATAAGGTTTAGAAACATATGTTGGTATTGGAGGTGGTTAATTAAGTGGAGGATAAAAATAAAGAATAGCAATTGCTAGAGCTATATTAAAAAGACCTTAGATTTTATTATTAGATGAAGCAACAAGTGCTTTAGATAGAACCAATGAAAGATTGATTCAATAAACTTTAGATGAAGTATCAAAGGGTATCACTACAATAGTAATAGCTCATAGATTGAGTACAATATAGAATGCAGATTTGATTTATGTGATAGATAAAGGATAAGTAGTTGAATCAGGAAATCATTAGGAACTGATGAATCTACATGGAAAATATGAAATTTTAGCTAAGAATTAAATTAATAATCAAGAAGATGTATAAGAATAAAAGAAGAATATAAATTCAAAATAAAAATTAAAACCTTTAGATAAAGTAGATGATGGAGTCAAAAATAATTCTTAAAAAATGATATCTATGAATGTCATGGATAATAAGAGTATAACAGAAGAAGTGATAGATTAATATAAACAAATATAAGAATTAGATCTTTTAATAAAAGGTTAAAAGGAAACAGAGAATTCTCCTGAGAAATAATACTAGAAAGTAAATTCAAATGAGAAACCTACAGAACCAGATGCATAAATGGGTAGACTATTTACTTATAATCGAGCAGAGAGATTATAATTTATAATAGGTATCTTAGCAGCATTAGCAAATGGTTGTACTTTTCCTTTATTTTCTCTATTTTTATCTGATATAATTACAGTATTAGCATTATCAAATCCTAAACAATATGATGGATCTATAAGAGAATAGAAAATGGATTATGTTAAAAGTGAAGCAGATAAAAATGCATTATATTTTTTTATAATAGGATGTGCAGCATTTATATTATGGGCAATCTAATCATTTTGTTTGAGTTATGTTGGTGAAAGATTAACATTAAAATTAAGATCAGATACATTTAGAAAATTGTTAAGAATGCCAATTCCATATTTTGATGAACCTAAAAATAATGCAGGAACATTAACTAGTCGATTAGCTGTAGATTGTAAATTAATAAATGGATTAACATCTTCAATTATTGGAATTAATTTAGCTAATTTTGCTTCTTTAGTTTGTGGACTTTCAATAGCATTTACATCAAGTTGGGCACTAACTCTTGTTACTATTGGTGTTACACCTTTTACATTCATTTCAGGTGTATTATAGGCTAAATATTTATAAGGTTTTTCTGCTTAAACAGATGAAGCTTATAAAGATTCAGGTAATTTAATTATGGAAGCTGTTACTAATATTAGAACTGTATTCTCATTTGGAAATGAATAAATTATTCTTGGAATCTATTCTAAAAAAGTATAAATGCCTTTAGAAATGGCTAAAGCTAAAGGATATAAAGCAGGTTTTGCTATGGGTCTATCTTAAATGAATCTTTTTATTATGAATGCCATTGTATTTTATGTAGGTGCTGTATTTTGTAGAGATATTGATTTAAGTGTAAATGATATGTTTAGAACAATATTTGCTTTGACTTTTGCTACTATGGGAGCAGGTAATAATGCAGCATTTGCTGGAGATATTGGAGCGGCTAAAAATGCTAGTAAAAATATTTTTGAAATTTTGGATTGTGAAGATGAATTTTAAAAAGAAGATAAACTTAAAAAATTAAAATTAACTTCACCTATTCAAGGAGATATATGTTTTAATAATTTAACATTTAAATATTAATCTAGAGATAAAAATGTCTTTCAAAATCTTAGTCTTAATGTTAAACCTGGATAAAAAGTTGCTTTTGTTGGACCATCTGGTTGTGGTAAATCAACATTAATGTAAATGTTAATGAGATTCTATGAACCTGATTCAGGTAATATTACTATCAATGGTATTGATATCACTGATTATGATATACGTTATTTAAGAAGATAATTTGGTATTGTTTCACAAGAACCTGTTCTATTTAATGGAACTATTAAAGAAAATATTCAATATAATATTAATGATGCTACTATGGAATCAATTGAAAATGCTGCCAAAAAAGCTAACGCTTATGATTTCATTATCAATAATTAATTTGAAGAAACTTAGGCAGAATAAAAAGGTAATGAATAATAAAGAGGATAAAGTTTCAATAGACAAGTTGGACCAAAAGGAACTTAGATTTCTGGAGGATAAAAATAAAGAATAGCAATAGCTAGAGCTGTATTGAGAGACTGTAATCTTTTACTTCTTGATGAAGCTACAAGTGCTCTAGATGCTGAAAGTGAATAGTTAGTATAAAGTAGCTTAAATTAATTAATGTAAGGCAAAACTACTATTGCTATAGCACATAGAATCTCAACCATTAAAGTATTAATTTGTTTTTCATCTTTTAGGATTCTGATGTTATCTATGTATTTGAAGAAGGAAAGATAGTCGAATAGGGATCTTATCAATAATTAATAGATATAAGAGGATCTTTCTATAAACTAGAGTAAGGAATTACCTAATGATTCAATTATTTATAATCCACATTGTTTAGTTTTTATATTATAAATTCTTTAAGAATTTAATAGATATAGAATTTAAAAAATTGTTAATAACTTAAATAATTCATTAAAAAGATACTAATCTTTCTATTTGAAAATTAGAAAAAATTAAAGGAAATCATCCTAAAGAAGAGTGAATTCTAATAGAACAAATTTAGTAAGTGAAAAATAATTTCGATAAATAATTAAAATATTGTATGGAAAAAATATATGATTTTAACAAATAAGTTTGAATTGTTAATTATAGTTTTAATTCTGGATGCTTTTCTTTATAGATTTTGATTAAAAAAATATACATTTTTGTATTGAATATAAATATTTTTAGCTTCTTTATAATCGATAGAAATTACATTGAATTATAATATAATAAGAATATATATTTGAATGGTTTTATTATATTGTTGGTAATAGTTTTTGGCATATTTGGTTTGCATTAAAATGCTCAATTCTTATTTGATTTAAGATTTTCATGTATGATATTAGGGTTGTGATTGTTTGAATATTTAAGTGAATAAGTAGAAAATTTAGTTGTTGAATTTAATTAAATTCAAAAAATGAATACAAGATAAAAGTTACTATAAAATATTAGTTATATAGCAAATGATGTTAGAGTAAAATAACAGAATCAGAGTAACTTAAGAATAAGATCATAAAAGTCAAGAAAGGAGAATGTTAGTTTTATTGTGACAAAACATGCATAATAACCAAAAGGGAATATTAATTTGTATTAGACTCAAATACATTCACCAATAAAGAATAGAAGCATAAATTAGAATAAAGAGAATAATGTAAATTATGCATATGTGCCATTAAAGAATTCAGATGAACTAATTATTAATAGTGCAGAATCACATTCACTTAATTTATCATATTCACCTTCATCTAAAAAGAAGCCATAACCATCATGTTTTGTATTACCTTCTAGAAGTATTAAACCTAAGATGAAATTGACTAAAAAAGCATTAGAGATAAGAAGCATATATTTGGATAAGCCAAAAGCAAAACTAAATAATTTTATAAACATAAAGGGTACATAAAAAGTAATAAGGTGAGAATGAATGTCTAATTATGCATTTTTATTACAAATACATTATTTGAGTTAATTTATCTCTGTATTACTTAAATTATTAATAAATCATTTAATTAAATCTTCATTCGAATGAGCACTTCTTAAAAAATAAAAAGAAGATAATAGCCTTCCGAATAAATGGGATTTTGTGTTTAATGCTTAAATTTCATTCCAATAGCTTAAATTGATCTTCATTGTCGAAGTTGCATGGAAAATAATAGAAAAATCAATAGTTAAATTGATTAAATCTCATCTCAATTGCTACATATAAAGACAATAGCAATAAAAGGGGCAGAGAAATAAGATGAAAGCAGTGAGAAATTTAAGTTTCTAATAAGAATACAAGAATTGAGTTCTTAAATAGATGCTATTCGATGCTATAACGCATAGAGTGTTAAGAAACTTAAAGATATTGAAAGTGAAATAAATGTACTGATAGCATATCCTTAAACATCCATGACTATTATGATGTTATTAAGTAGATTGTTTTCATTGGTGAAAGAAAAATTGTAGTTATAGAATCAAAAAAGGTTAGTTTCTTAGAATTCATATCCTTAAGCAGTTGATACTAGAATAAAGACTGAGTCATAGAATGAAGAATAGAGTGAGAAAGGATATATTTATAGATAATTTAAATCAGAGAATGACATAAGAAAGGTATCTGAATTTAAAAGAACATTTTATTCGAAATGTTTGGAGTTGAAACTTAAATTAGGGAAGAATGATCCAGCTTAGTAAATTTTAGTTTAAGATTTATTCGAAAGAGTAGTTAGACGGAATTATAATTAAGAAGAAGCACTTAGATTTGTAAAGAGATGTTTTTAAGAAGGTAAAATTAATTAAGTATGAGTATTCTTTTTTTATTTCTAACTTAATTAATAATAAAGTCGTTAAATTAATGAATTCATCATCTAGAGTATCATCAAATGATAAAGAAATAGTATCTAATAAAATTATAAAAATAAACAAATAATTAATATATAGTTAGATTCTATATTAGAAAATAGAGAAGAATATTATAGTATTATAGTAATTAATTATTAAGTCTTGCAATAATAATAATTTATAAGTGATTATATAATTACTAAAATAAAAAGTTAATCATAATTTAGATGGTTCAGCTATCATAGCTTCATTAGGATCATAATTGTATCCATCGAATTAAGCTAATAAATAGTATTAATAAATATTATATACCTTAGATAGAATTTCTTCTCAACATAATATTATTTTCATTAGTGTCCTATTCTGTATCTTAAGTAGAACCTCCTGAATTGTTAGGATTACGAGGAATATATGGAGGATTTAATTCTTTTTTAAGTAATTTGTTCCAATCAAAGCCTTTAAACCAAGGATGATTTTTAACAGCATCAGGATTATCAGATCCTAATCTTTAAGCTGGTTTTCTTTAAATCAACTTACAATTAAATTATTATTTTATACTTAATTAGCAAAATCTGCAGCTTCTAAAGACCATGAAACAGGAATCTCAGTTCTCTTTATTTATACTTATTTAGCTAATACATTATCTCTTATTTCTTATCTAGATTTTCCTATGTATGGTCTTCTACCCAACATACATTCATATACTATAACACCTAATGCAAAATAATCAACAGCAATCCCATGATTTTATCTACATAATACTTCTGGTGCCATATATCCAGGAGTTCCACTTGTATCTTATGAATTATCAGGTCTCCAAATTCTAGCTATTCCCATATCTGTTAATCTTAAATATCCCTCAGTATTAAATACTAAATTCTCAGGTTTCAAATCTCTATGAATTATTCCTTAAGAATGTAAATATTCTAATGCTATCATTATACATGCACTAAAAAACTCTATATCTTATCACTTTTATTATTATTACTTGTTTCTTCTTCACTAAATTTCTTATTTTTTCCTATATGATAACGAAGATCTCCTCCACTTAATAAATCCATCACTAAATATAAGTTTTCTCTATCCTAAAAGGCTGCTATCATATTTATTAAAGATGGATGTCTTAACTAACTCAATAAAGTTCTCTCATTCATCACTGATTATACACTCTTTTTTGATATTATTCTCACTATACATCCATATTCATTACTTTGCTTTTGACATCACTTTTAATGCAAAATAACTTTTGTTTTTTCTTCTCTTCACCTTCCAAACCTTACCAAAGCCTCCCTTTCCTAATACTTCAATAAATTCAAAATTGTGCACCGACAGAACTTCTATATTTATTCAATTACTTAACGACTCTCCAAAATCCTTCTTATCACCTATATTACAATTACCCATTATTTAATTAATATAACATTCTTATACATACATAAATCTATATAACATCTTTCTGCAAAATAAAAAGTATTATTCAATATTTTCGTTTTCTCTCCATTTCACTCTCTTCAATTTTCTCCTGCCCAATCATAGTAATCAAAGAAAATTTGGGATTCTCAAATTCCTTTTTCAATTTGCTTTCTCCTCTAACTCTTAGGCTACTCTCCAAATCAGCTTGCTTTACTAATAAAGTTTTCGAATTTAAGTTCAATCTCTAACGATTCATTGAAGAATCTTCTTCCTTCTCCACAGTGTAACTTGATTCTCTTAGCTATTAATACCAATTCTTCGGTTCACCTGGTAATTCATTAAGAACTTCTTTCTTTAAGCGATATGCTGTTTATCTAATATTTCTCCATCTCATTACCTTAACTCTTTTGCAATAAAGTTAACTTCTCCCTACTTCTTGTCTGACATTTACTCTGAATTGTCATATTCACTAACTCCCAAGATTACTCACGTTCTTAAAATGATGTTATTACTCTTTATTATCTAGTATTAGCATTTCTTTCAAAGATATTTAATTACTTCTCCTGCTTCATCACTTCCATTTCATTTTTTTATATTCTTTTCTTTGTTTCTTATAAGTATTATTCTATATTAACATTTGCATGATGATTTATTAAAGCTCCCATTGTAGATTTATTGTGAGAAACTTGTCGAGAAAGAATATTCGAATGAATAGGATCATGAAAAAGAGGAATCTTATTTGATGATTGAGATTTCTTCATATTAGAAAGATTCGAATAAGATTGTTTCATTTTTTAATAAACAACTGAGTTTTTCATTTTTGGAGAATTAGATAATTTTGATTCTTCTATTCTCTTTTTTATCCTTTCAATAATATCTGGTTTACCTACAACACTTCGAGCGATTATTTTATTATTGTTATCATATTTAGGCCCATAGTAGGGATTGTGTTCTTCAAAAATATTATTGATAGGTTAAGGTTTTTGTTTATAACTCATAATCTTTTGCATTAAGAACAAGGTTTTTGTTTATTAGAGATTATCTTGCATTAATATATAAAATTTATTTCACTATAATTAAACAATTCTATAGGATGATCGATGACTGATATCTTTTTTATTATAATTGGAGTAATTAAAATCTTGCTATTGTAGTTATGAAAGTTCTTAAGGTAGAATCATAAGATCTCTAGCTTCTTTGGATTCTAGTTTTAATTTACTATTTCCATTGGCAATAAGATAATCAGCATTATAATATTTTTAATTTAATCTTTGATTGATCATATTTTTGAATTTATCACTAACTATTGTAACATTAGTTGGATTTTTAATAATTTCGATAGTAGGTTGATTTGTTAAATGATGATTTCTCAATTTTTGATACCATTCTTTAACATTAGATTCTTTTTCTAAAGTATTGAGAGTATCTAACAATTATTTTTTTTCTCGATAACCTTAACTTTGACTGATAAGAGTATTATTATGAAATCTTTGACATCTATTAGCTAATTGTAATTATAATTGATTGCATTAATCTTATTATTTTTGAGATGATTCTAAGTTTCTTCTCTATCTAGTAATTAAGTTTCTCTCAATAATAGGCAAAGAGTCTTCTTTAGATCTGAGTGAGATTTCAGAAAGTTTAATATTGTTTTAAACTTGATCAATATGTAATCTTATATCCTCTTTTGAAATCTTGTTTAATTGAGTAAGTTCTCTTTTATTATTGTTTACGATTTGTTTCTTGTTGCATTGATGATTAATAACAAAAGATCTTAACATAGAAGAATCTTCATCTGTTATTCTATTATCCAATGAGACTTTGCCTTCTCTTTTCAATTAATCAACAGTTCCAACAATAGATCTCTTTATGATATCACCTTTTTCATCATAACGAGGACCTTATATGATCGCATTCATTTATTAGTCTTTAAAGATACTAGTATTTTATGATCTACATCTCTACATTTCTTTACATGGTTGTGCAACAAATAGTACTTTAATATTTTATATACTCATTATTAGATATATGACTATATATCACTAGTACTATTAAAGACTCTAACTAACGGGTTCTATTTTGATATTCTTTCTTTAACTTGGTTCTTCATATATAACCGAGGATTTAGTGAATTCTAATTATTTTGGAGAAGTAAATTAACTATATGCTGCAGTTTGTTGAATATTTATTGGAAATTATCTCATTGGTGATCTTATTAATTACTGTTTCTTTGGATTTTCAAGTGGCATCCCTATACAATACTTTAAGCCTTCATTCAACCTACCTACAAATTTTTCTATTGATAATTAAATATTTAAATAATCTTATTTCCATTTACAATCTACATACTCTAAAAATCCTTATACATCATCCACTTCTCTAGCATTCAAAGTTTCCATTTACATATCAAACAAATGACAAAATTCTGCTGTAAATTAATTATGAAAATAACACTTTATCATTTTTAAGAAATTATCCTTCATTAATTCTAGTAAACGAATTTTTCTTAAAAGTATTACACTTTCCTTATTATTTGTCATCTCTAACTATCTCTTCGATGCATATTGTTCTATCTATTTAAATGCATTTTCAATATCCATATCCAAATTTTAAGATTACTTCAATCTTTCATCAATTTCGCTTAATTAATCTAAGAAATTCATTCTTTCATTCTCCTTACCTTCTCTCAATTTCTCATGTTATTCAATTAATTAACCCTTTGTTTCTTCTATCTTTTTTGAAACATTCCTTAAACATCTTTCTATACCTTCCTATAAATAATCATCATATTATTCATTTTCAAAAATATTAACTTATTCTCCATTTACTAATTCTAATAAACCTGCAGATGAATTCTTTTTATTACTAAAATAAGTAGCTAAACATCCATTCTCATAAATATTATATAATTCTTCTAATTTATGGTTTCTATCATGTAATTTTACTGCACAAGTTGAACACATTACTCTTTATTAACAATCTCTCTCTAAACAAATCCAACTAAGTTATTACTTTGGATGATTCTTACACATTTATTCGGTCTCCATTTTTAACGATAATGTAATTAATTATACGAAAACTTAATTTATGAAACTAAATTCATTAATTATAATATCATTACTAAAATTTACATACTCTTTTATACTTCATTATTCTTATATCCTAATATATAAATATTAGGTATTATCATTTTGAATAATGAAGAGAAGGAAAATTTTTTAAATCTACCTGATAAAGTTAGAAAAACTGATAATTTTCAACTATGCTAAATGGAAGTTTAATCGGATAATTAAGATATTGATATATAAGAGGAACTTACTTTTAGCACTTTTTAATTCTTAATCAGATGAATTAATATTTAATCATAAGAACTAATAAATTTTTTTAAATGAGACTGAAAAATTTAGTAAACAAAAGTATCTTTATAAAATTTAAGGAATAGATAGTTGATTAAATCAATAAACTATATGAATGAATTTTGTATGAAAATTAATTCAATTAAGTAAAATAAATAATTAATTGTAATATTATTTTTAATATGAATAATTAAAAATCAAAGAAAAAAATAAAGTCTTAAAAAGAACTACACTCTAATTCAGAAAGACAAGATAGATTTTAAAGTGGCAATTTAAAGAAAGAAACAGATAAATCACTTTAAAGTCAACAATCACATAATGACATTAATAAAATTAGCAAAGAAGAACTTATTAAATAATTCCCAAATAAGATGATGAATATGCTTTCATAATAGTTTAAGAAATTAGAACAGAGTTCAAGTAATTTAAAATTAATACAAATGAATAAGGATGTATAACCTCCTTATTTGAATTTAAATCAAATTATTGTTTAATACCATAGTGATATTTTCAACTAATATTCTTAATACCAATAAAGTCAAAATCAATTATTGTCTGATTAAATTAAAGGAAATCCTGAGAGAAATCTATAATTTTAATAATTATAACCCCTTAAAATACCAAATCCATTTAGTTCTAAACTATAAAGATTAGAAGAATTGATACCATAAGCATAATGAAATATAATTATATCTACATTTATAATTGAGTATATTATTATAATGAATGATATTAATAGAATGATTGATATTAATAGAATGATTGTTTTATAATTTAACATAAAATAAAATGTAAGATCAATAAATCACAATCTAAAAAGCATAAAGATTAGTAATACTCATCTTGTTGAATTAATTTCAATCGATTATCCTTTTCACGTTAAAAATAAGTGATTTTTCTATTGGTATTTTCATCGTAATGTGGTACAATAATATCTAGAAAGACAAATGGTTTAGTGAAGCTATTCTTGAAATAGTATGAGTAGTATTACATTTATAAAACTATGTAAATTACACATATTAGGAGTTGTGTAACAAATGTCACCAGTTTTCAAATTGAGAGATGGTAATTCTTCTGCTTCAACAATAACATCTTATTTAACAGTAGTATTCTTAAATGAATTAACTTTATTCAAATCAGATTATTTAATATTCCATCCTTCTCTTATACCTTCTCCATATAAAACATATGAAAGTACAAACATATCAGGATGATCATGTAAAGGCATAGTGATTTTTGGTGCAAGTGTAAATATAGCAAATGCAAAGCTATTATCAGGTTAGAATTATATAGGTAACATTGAAATTTCTTGGTTCATTGTTAAATTGTTATTTATGTATTCTTAAAGAGATTTAGTTTATAATGCTTCTATTGTGTATTTTGTAAGTGGTTAATAATCAAATGTATCCAAATATTTAGGTCCATTTTATATAAATAATTAGTATATTCTTTACGATTCCTTGATTAAATTTTACATTTTTATTATTTAATTAATAAATATACTTTTTGTTATACAATTTAATTCTAAAATCAACTTTTATCTTAATTCACATCTTAAACGGTGGTCTATTTTCTTATGTGTTAAGACTGTATGACCAGATTAGCAAAATTAAGATTAAATTCACGAATCTATTCTTTCTCAAAAGATTTTTCTTAAGCAGATGATCTAAATATCTATATAAATTTATCGAGATTATATATATAAATCTTTAGAGATACAAACTGTTTAGCAATGGGATGATTACTAAGATTTTTACTATGAGTAAATTTGTATTGACAAATTTTCATTAAATGCATTTCTTTATTGAAATCAGCCCCAATTACAATATCCTTAGCATTTAATGTTTAAATCTTATCTAAATTATTACCTAATGATATCTCAGTATTTTTAGAGGATCTTTAGGAATTGAGAAATGATGAAATAAAGTTTTAGGAAGTTCTAATAAAGACAGTACCTTTTGCATGTTTTACCCAATAGAAAATAAGCATTTCTTAATTAAATATATCTATATAGTTGCTTAAGTACTTTTGCTTTTTCTGTAAATTATGATGAAATTTGGATTTATCTTAATTAGTGGAAATTTTTAAAAGCAAGTAGCACAAATTGCTGTATTTTTATTAGCTGGTTTACCTTANACTATGTAAATTACACATATTAGGAGTTGTGTAACAAATGTCACCAGTTTTCAAATTGAGAGATGGTAATTCTTCTGCTTCAACAATAACATCTTATTTAACAGTAGTATTCTTAAATGAATTAACTTTATTCAAATCAGATTATTTAATATTCCATCCTTCTCTTATACCTTCTCCATATAAAACATATGAAAGTACAAACATATCAGGATGATCATGTAAAGGCATAGTGATTTTTGGTGCAAGTGTAAATATAGCAAATGCAAAGCTATTATCAGGTTAGAATTATATAGGTAACATTGAAATTTCTTGGTTCATTGTTAAATTGTTATTTATGTATTCTTAAAGAGATTTAGTTTATAATGCTTCTATTGTGTATTTTGTAAGTGGTTAATAATCAAATGTATCCAAATATTTAGGTCCATTTTATATAAATAATTAGTATATTCTTTACGATTCCTTGATTAAATTTTACATTTTTATTATTTAATTAATAAATATACTTTTTGTTATACAATTTAATTCTAAAATCAACTTTTATCTTAATTCACATCTTAAACGGTGGTCTATTTTCTTATGTGTTAAGACTGTATGACCAGATTAGCAAAATTAAGATTAAATTCACGAATCTATTCTTTCTCAAAAGATTTTTCTTAAGCAGATGATCTAAATATCTATATAAATTTATCGAGATTATATATATAAATCTTTAGAGATACAAACTGTTTAGCAATGGGATGATTACTAAGATTTTTACTATGAGTAAATTTGTATTGACAAATTTTCATTAAATGCATTTCTTTATTGAAATCAGCCCCAATTACAATATCCTTAGCATTTAATGTTTAAATCTTATCTAAATTATTACCTAATGATATCTCAGTATTTTTAGAGGATCTTTAGGAATTGAGAAATGATGAAATAAAGTTTTAGGAAGTTCTAATAAAGACAGTACCTTTTGCATGTTTTACCCAATAGAAAATAAGCATTTCTTAATTAAATATATCTATATAGTTGCTTAAGTACTTTTGCTTTTTCTGTAAATTATGATGAAATTTGGATTTATCTTAATTAGTGGAAATTTTTAAAAGCAAGTAGCACAAATTGCTGTATTTTTATTAGCTGGTTTACCTTATATTTAAATCTCTTTATGTATTTAAATTTAATTTATCTTTCGCACTTAAGTTATCATTATTTTCTAAATACATATTAGGATAAAAATGATAAGAAACTACATTTATAAAATAGAAAACCTATCTACCTTTCACAGAATGATGATGTTTCGTATGATATAACACAAACTTTATTCACAACTTTAACAATATTGGTTAGCCAATATGTTAGAGAATTTTGTATAATCATGTTATAAACATTCTTTAGAAGCTCTTTTAATTAATTTTTCAAAAAATCTGAACTTAAAAATAATTTATTTTATAATTCTTTTTATATAGATTGAACAAACATAATTAAAAATAAATAGATAAGATTAATGAATTCTATTTTTCATCTAGAACTAGTTAGCATATAATTCAAAAACACAATTTTCAATTTTAGAAAATTCACGGCAAAATCATTTTTTGAGATTAAAAGACATCAATCAAATATAATGATTTGTTGATATGTTAATAATATTAGTGTGAAGTGTTATCATTCAATAAATCAATATAGAATACTCATTAAATTATCATACAAAATCAAAAAGTTTTAAGGTAACTAAAAATTTTTAGATTCTGAGAATACTAGAATCAAATATGAATATGATGTATTTATAATTAATTTTTTATTTATTGAGGGGGGTTAACCTAATTATTAGAATCAATAAATTTCAGTAATTAATTATTTGTGATAATTATGGTCTTATACTTCAAAGAACAGAGTATGCTCAATGTGATTCTAAAAATGATGAATTTAGATTTCATTAGAAATTACTCTAAAGGCAAATACTATAAATTTGAATCAGAAAACAGTAAAGAATATTTTTTTTAAAATAGTTTAAAATGTGATCTTATTAGCTATAATTGAATAAAAAGAGAAAGAAGAGATATTTGATTGTATTTAAAAGAAACAAAAAAATAAAATTTTGTTCATTTATATGATCAATATTGAAACTTGATATAACAACTCTAGTTCAATTCTGTTGTTACATTAATCTTTGTTTTTGAGATTCTTTTTTTTTAGAAATCTTTTTATGAATTAAGGGACTTCTCTCCATAGATTTAGTATCTTCTTATTCAATTTTTTCAGATTAGATTTCTTGTGCTTTAATTAATTTTTTATGAATTAATTAAGATACATTTAGAATTTTCTATGAAAAATCAACCCTTGTATCATTCTGGTAGTGCATAATTGCTAAAGCTAATTCAAAATGAGAATATCGATAAATTTCAAAGTCTATATAAATATTATGAGATTATTATACCTATAAGAATGAACATCAATAAATTCTAGACATTTTCATCAACTTCTACATTCATAGCTACTAAAAAATCTGATGTAGTAATAAGATTTAATTAATATGACATAGCTTTTAGAATTTACTCTTCCATTTCATCATATTCCTCATCCTTGTATAAGGGCTAGCTTTCTTGGTTGTACAATTTAATTTAAGACATGATTTCTGTTTCATTAAACTAATTTGATAAAAATACATGTTTACTTTAGAGGCAATTGAATATGCTGAGATTCCTAACAGTTGTAAGTACTCTATTGTGATATTAAAATAATTTAAGTATGTATCAATTATAAGCACTGCCAGTTCTAAGGTTTTTATTGAATGCTTGAATTGAGATGATTGCTAATTATAATATAAATATTTACTGCAACAATCCATTGAATGAGAATATCCCTTCTGCAAGGACTAGAGGAATCATATTTATAGAATGGATTGTGCTTGTTGAATGTTTTAGACTAAGAGATTCATTAAAAATGATACTTTATCTCTTGTTAATAAATCTCTTATTTCAGCAAAAGAAAACATGGCTGTACAAATTAAAAAAAAATTATTTATACATTAAATCCCATTTAAATTTGAAATTTATAGATTAATCAATACTAAAGAAAACTAATCCAAAAATTTAGCATGATTAACTTAAACATTAAGATACTAAAATTTTGAAATATTTTTCATTTTCACAAATAACTAAAATTTTTACCATTAATATATATTTCATACATTTAATTCTTATTACATAATTACAATAATAACAATAAAAACAAAGATTCTAATTTATAAAGAGTAAAACATCTTTTAAATTTTTTAATCAAAATATATTCAAACCTATAACAGTATCAGAAATGAATTCAAAATAAAGTTCTTAAAAATTATACTCAAAATAAATGTTAATTCCTCTATGATTATAAATAAGAAAGTATAAACTATCTTATTTCAGTGGATGAGTTATGAAAATAAATATATTAATTTTAATTAAGAAATTTATTTATTCTATATATTCATAAATCTTTATAATTGATAAGTTTTCTTTAAACAGAAGTGAATAATTTATTTAAATTCAATAAAGAACTACAGACTTTACTAGTTAGCAACTATATTTAACATTTAATCCTTTTTTTTTAATATGTTCATTAAATTAATGAAGATGAATAATTCTTAGTGAAGCAAAGTGATAATTTTTCTAGATAGAGTAGGTAAAAATATCCTCTAAAAAATTGAGGATGGAGTATCTACATAAATAGATACTCATAATATATTATAATAAATATACATTAATGATAATCATTTATCTTCTAAATATAGTATAGGTTGAATAATCAATTTAACTCTTCCAGCATAATTGATAACAGACACAGTAGAATATCCTTCAGTCTTTAAGGTACATTCAATTTTAGAATTACATTCAAATTTAAAACCCATTTGAAATTCATTAATAGGTGGCACATATATTAAAGTCTTACAATTTGGAATTTGAATGGAATCATATTTTAAGATATATTTTTATTTTTGATGATTGTATTTGGAATAATAAATTTTAGATGCACAAATGGTTTATGCATAAGGTCTGACTAGAGCTTTAATTTTATAATTTTAAAGGGAACCATCAGGATTGAATATACTTTCATCATACATACTTGAAGAAGATGTATAATCATTATACCCTTTATATTACCAATAAACCCATGATTATAAATACTTATCTGCCTTATATAACATAGAACTTAAAATTTTCTAAGCAAAAGGTTTGTTTGGCAATGATCCAAATTCTGTAAGCATTCCTCCAGTTCCTAAATGATTAATATTTAGTTTTTTTAAAGGATACATAAAGTTATATACTTATCTACATAAAAATGGTGATATTTTCCCTAAAAGTATTATATATTTATATACATATTCCACAATATAGATGATAACTCATTACTTCTTTTTTTTAATATTTCTTTCCTCCAATATTATGGTTGAATCCTCCTCCAAAAGCATCAGTAAAATAAGGTTCAAAAAATACAAGTTTTTCAGTATCAACTTCTCTTATATATTGATTTATTAATTAATAAAATGGCATTATTAAATGTTTATTTGCCCATCCAGGCCATAAATATTAAAGTTTACTTCTTTAATAATTACCAGATGATGGTTCATTTAAAATTTCATATCCTAATACATTCCATTCATCTTTATGTATTTCAGCTACTCTTTTCCAAAATAAACCAAACATATCAGCTATGCCATTCTCATTTTTTAAAATAGATTCCATATTTCTACCTACATCAGAACTTAAATAAAATTTGGCAAAATTTCCTATTTATAAACAATCTTCAATTTTTGGATATCCTTATTCATCATAATTAAGATCTATTTTTTAAGGAGATGGAAAATCTATTTTTGTTACTGCCCAATCTGGAAATCCTTCTCCACAAAATTGTCTATTTAATAAATCTTAATGAGCATCTAAAATCACATATATTTCATATTTTGCTGCCAATCTCACTATTTCTCTAATATGCAATATATAATCATCATTCAAAATCCCTCTTTAAGGCATACCAGCCTCAAATGCAACATGTAACCTAATTATATTAAATCTATTTTTAAATTCATTTACAATACCCTAAACTTGTTATAAGTTAACAATCCAAATCTGAAAAAGATGTCATTACATCAAATTCATCCATTTTTGGATAAAATGGTGGAGGCTTATAAACTACATTTACTCCATGAAAAATGTGTATTGCTCCATTCTATTAAAATCTATATATTTAATACTTCATCAACTATATTTCCTTACTTATCAATGTCAAAGCAATTTATTACACCTATTATTATACTAAATATTATTATTTCAATCATTTTTATTAATTATATCTAAATTGTATGATCTTCTTTTAAAATAGACTCATAAGACTTATATGTATATATATTTATTTACTAAAATAATGTAGAAAAACAAAACATTTTTAATCAAGCTACAATAATTATCTTGATTACAATTGTAATTATTTTCTTGCCATATTATTTTATCTTTATCTATACAATTTTATTCAATAAAAAAATACTAAGATTTTTTAGGTTTTCATTTAATTAACAAATCTGTATATTTAATTTCTATTCTAATTACAATGAATCAGATTAATAATTACGAATATTCAAATAGTAATAGAGATTAAAAGAGTGACTCTATATATATAAGGAGAGAAAAAAAGATATTTTGTAATATTATTTTTAATTCAAAAGTATATTATTAATTATTTAATTAATTAAAATATGCAAATAACAAATGGCATTTCTATTTTGTAAATAAAAAATACCCAAGTATCAGTTTGCAATAATAAAAAAAAGGAAGAATTGATATAATTTGATTAATTTGATGAGGATTTGATTCCAAAAAGTAAACTATTTTCTCCAATGAATGTAAATTTAAACTTGAAATGTGTTGAAACATTTGGGAATAATAAAATTTATGACATAAATGAAACTGGAACTAATGATTAACAAAATAAATCAGATTCATTGCTTGAATAACTAAATTCAAAATAAAGAATGGAAACATCTTTATAATAAGTTAACGTAATGACAGAAAGATTAAATAATCAAAACTTAATATACTATGCTCCTCAATATATTCCTGATATTTCTTAATTCTTAACTTCCCCTGTCCCTGTTGGTATCTCTATAAATGTTATTTATTGTTAGATAAGATAGTTTAATGTACTTTGATAAAAAACAAAAAGGGGTTTTGTAATTTTTATCCTAAATTTGAATTGTATTTCTCAGAAAGCTTAAAATTTCTCTGTGCAGCAAAAAGACAATCTACAAAGAAGAAATCAAATTATATATTTTCAATTCATGGAGAGATATTTAATTCTAACAATAAATAAGTCTGTATAGGAAATTTGAAACAAGGAACAATAGAAAACTTATTTAATTTATATGATAATGGCAATGATCCTAATAAAACTGATCAATTAGAAACATCAAGTAAAGAATATGCTGTTTATTCTTATAAAAAATCAAACCTTGGACTCAGATCAATAAATATTCTAATTCCCTCTATAATTAATGGATAACCATAAGATTTTAAACCTATTACATAAAATGATGGAATCTAAAAAGCATTTACCTAATCTAAGAATGAAAATGTAATACATTTAGTCTCAAGGCCCCCTGTTTTCTGTGAAGAAAAGAATGCATATTAATTAAAATTCACTTAAAGAGTGCAATCAGCTTCTAATAAAAATTTTATTATTATTTCAAATAATTAACAGAATGATGAAGAGTTTTTAATGTAATTTGGAAAATGTGGTGATAAATATTATAATTTAGATATTTGTTATCCACTTTCAATTTTATAAGCATTTGCTCTATGTATCACTCAATTTGAAATCAAATTAAAATGAATTTTATATATATCTCTAAATTTATTAATTCTCATAAATATATAAATATTTATATAATAATACAAATGTAGTAATTGTTATAACTATTAAGAATTCATTATAATAGTTTCAAGAATTTTAAATCTTTTATAATTTTGCTCAAAACTAACTTTACGAATCAAAAATTCCTTTTAACAATATTTGAATCCAAATTTTAAGGTTACTATTTAAATTTTTCAAAAGGTTAATCTAAGTGTTTAAATAACCTCATTTGAGATTAGATATTTATTTGAAAGATTATATAAATATTTAGTATATGATATAAATATATTAAAGAATTATAATTTATAAAAGTGGAAAAAGATTTTTAAATTTTCTTTGTACAACATGAATAACATGAATCATTGTATTATTTTATTTATCCACGATGTGATAATCTTCATAAAAGTTTAGATATTTCTACAACTCGAACTTTATTCTTTAAGATTTCTATTAATTATGATTTATTGTAATTATTAAAAATCAAAAATTATAGAATCTTTTTACAAATAATATGAAGATTTTTAATAATTAGTTTTTTTATAATTAGCTTAAGAATTTCAAAATGATCTTTTTAAATATTAAACATAATAAAAAGAATAATATTTTAAGAAAAAGTTTTAATTTTTTTAAATCTCAATTTTTAAGTAAATATGAAACTTATGTAAGAATTGTAAAGATTTAAGCACATATTTAGATGTAAAAAGTTATAATTGTGATTTTTAAAAACTAAAATTCAAGGTTAAGCTACCGAATTTTTCATCTCATTTTGTCTAAGAATAAATATTAGAGAAAATTTTAATCTAAATTTAATTATTAAAGTTGTGATTATATGATTAAAGTATTTGTGAAGGATAAATATTAGCAAAATAGGATTATATTAATAATCTAGAATAAAAACAACAAAAGTTTATTAAGTATAAGTATTTTGAAAGAAAAAAAAGATTAAATGAATGTTTATTTTTATAAAAATCAAGAATTAAAGAAATAAGATTTAAAGTCAAATAATTTTAAGTTTAGTGAAATAATTATCCTATAATTACAAATAAAGGAATTTTATCTAAATGGTTTAAATTGGAAAAATAAATTTAACAATTAAAAAAATCTAAGTAATTTCTAATAAATAAAAAATGGAAGATGCAACACAACTGTTTTAATAAATATTAATTTGATTTTCTTTTATAATTATTTTATACACAACAGTTTAGTTATGTTGAATTTGCCATCCAAAAAATCATTTTTTTTAGGTAAATTATACTCAGCGTATTAGTTCTTTTCTTATATAAATTAATAATACTAATCTTTTTTCTAAACTGAAAAATATAGAAAAATCTAAGATTTTTTCTAATTGTTTTCACATTAAGATCCTAAAGAATAAGTGATGAATAATCTATTTTCTATGAAAAATATTATAATGATCTGCCTTATTTTATAAGAATTATAATGATAATTTTCTCATTTGAATACCAAACTATAACTTCTATAATTAAAGCATGAAATATTATTTATAGTTTGTTAAATAAATAATTTAAAATTATAATAAATAAAAATAATATCCTAAAATATATTAGCTTAGATTTTTTAAATAATATTATATATCATTATCATTAATGCTACCAATTTTCCAATAATTTAGTATTAATTAAAGTTCCATTTATCATAGCATATGTTTCTTTATCATAATACACTTTTTAATTTTATTATTATTAATTTTATTATTATTAATTTAATTAAGGTTTTTGTTGATAGTTTATCAAATCAAATTATTAGATCTAAAACATTTGATTTTAAAAATTATTTTATTAGTTATTAAATTATTATTAAGTTTAATTTATTTATTTTTTTGGTTTTTCTTCTTTTAATATTATTATTTTTGGTTTTTAAGGAGATTGATTATTGTCACAGCTTTCTTTTCTAAGATAATATAAAACATTCTATTCCCAAAGTTCATCAGATTTAAACCAAACTAAAATACTTTTAAATGTAATGTCAAAATAAAAATCATTTAATCTAAAATTTCTATAACAACAAAATGAGCAGTTGCAAGGATAATTTCTATAAAAATCATTTAGTTAATAATTCTTAGATTCCATATATTAAACAAAATTTTCTATATCAAATGCTCTTTTATTCTAACAAAGGGGTAAGACTAAAGGGTCTACCATTCTATTTTTTTTAATCTGACATATATTACTTGGATAAAGATTAATTTATTCTAATTAATATTATTTTAGTCTTTAATGTTATTTCAATTATTAAAATTTAATTAAATAAAGCCTTAAATTTTTTCTTTCATTTATTTTAGCATTTTAAAAATCTTTTAAAAATTCCATTTCTTGAGCTAAAAATTTATCAAAATAAATTAATTCATGCAAAAAAGTTTCAATTTTAAAAGGTTTCTAACATGCTGGACAATTTAAAGGTTTGGTTAATTTAAAAGTTTTATCAAAACTAAAATAATTGATTGCATTTTAGTTTAAAATTTGTGATAAAAAGGATATTAAATCAAAAGCTTTATTTAAAGGACAAAAATAGCAACGTGTTGGGTAGATTATATTATTTAGATTTATAGTATACTTTGAATAATTTAGTTTATTATTAAAATCTTCATTTTATTCGCATTTAATTATAGCCGTTAACCCAAAAAATAAAAAAAAATGATTCTTAGCTTTTTCACAAATATTTTAATATGGCTTTAATAATGGAAATTAATCAAGTTTCAAATGATTATATACAAACTAATTTGATTAATAACACCAATCTATTCCTAAAGTAAAACCATAATCCTTAGAAATTTATTAAGCTATCTAACCAGGGAAATAGATTTACTTATCCTAGATTAATTTTTTCATATCCAAAGATATCTAATTCTGACAATCTTTCATAAAACATGGAATTGTATCTTTTTAAAGAAATTCTGGTAAATTTAAATTTTATTCTATTAACTTCAAAATGTTTGTATATTCATAACATCTTAAACTATGTTTACAACCTTAAAATATTATTGGAATATTTATTTTAGATGCATCAATTAAACATTACAAAGACATTCTATGTATTTTTTATATCTAATTTATGTAAGAAGAAGTTTCTTTCTCTAATTCTATTAAAAGTTATTAAGTCCTTTCTTCTTGATCAGTCTCAATATCAATTTATTAAAAGTTTTATTCATAAACTTCTTTTTATAATAGAGCTCTTGCCTAATTTTAATATGTTTCCAAATATGCATGAAATACTTAAGAACCGTAAAATGAACAGAAATATGCTCTTTCATTTGAAAATTATACAAAATGTTTGTAAGTTTTTTCTAATAAAATATTTTCTTGAGGTATATTTTTGATTTTAAATTATGTACCACATTTTTCACATTCTGATTCAACATCACTAAAAAATAGATCATATAGATCATAAATTTTATGTGAACAGCTTTTAATACAAATCTAATAAAAATTATTAAAATTATTACCGGCTCTTTAATTTATCTTTAATAGTTTTACTAACAATCAGATATTAAAGAAATAGAAAGCTTGTCTTACTTGTATTTTTAAACAATTTCAATTTATTAGAGTTATTTTCTTTTATTTTCAAATGATTCTTAAAGTCTAATCTCTTTTTCATCTTTTGTATATATTACTTGTGTCTCAAGCACATTTTTTATAAAAAGATTTGACATAAAAAATTATTAATTTTATTAATAATCATTAATTATTTTAATCATACAATTATTTTGGTATTAATAGACCATTTTGAAAATAAAAGACTTAAGGTTATTAAGTCTGCTCTGGTTAATTTTGATTATTAAATTCTTATTAATTATTTTGAGTAAAAAAATTTTATTACTATACTTGTTAATCATCATTATGAATTTAAATTCTTCGATTTTAATATTATGGTTGTCGTTATTAATATTAATTGTTATTTTATTGTTAATATTAAAGTGGATTTTAATATTGAAAATTCTGTTATTATTGTTATTATTATTGATTATTATTTTCAAAAAATTAATTTTATTAATTTTATTGATTTTATTAATTCTAATAAATAATATATGAATTATTCAATTATTAGTATTATTACTATTATTGTTATTTCAAGTATTATTAATTTTGTTGCTATTATTATTATTATTATTATTATAATAAGAATTATTATTATTATTATTATTATAATAATAATTATTATTATTATTATTATTATTATTGTTTTTAGAATTTTGATAATTCTTATTACAGGATATCGTATTATCTTTTCAATTTTTACATTTGAGGAATTTCATCTATTTAACACTTCAAATATTCTTCGATCAGTTAATTTTTTACATATTCTTCTGAATTAGAATCTAAGTCAAGAGATAAAAGTTATTCATATAAAGGATCATAATAAAAATCTCTAATATTTAACTCTTTAATACTACAAAACTCACATTCACATTTAGGAAAATTAACAAAACTAAAATTATTTCTTTCTAAAAATTTTTTCAATGTTTTAAACTCTACAGTTCTTTTAGTTTAGCAAAAAATCAATGTTAATGGTTGTTTAATTTTTTTTTTCTTTATTAAGCATGATTTTTATTCATATGGATAAATATTATTTTATTAATAGTATCTTTTAATTTATTTAAACTCTATTTATTGATGTTATATAAAAAATTTAAAAAGTTTAGTGTCCTATTAATTGTATTCAAATTGTTAGTAATCTTATATTTTTGCTTAAGCTTCATAAAGATATCTATCAAAATAAATAATTTTTTCTAATGATTAACAATTGTAATGTATATAATTACAAGCTGGACATTGATAATCTTTATTTTATCCAGTTAAATAATATAAAACAAATACTTAAATATCTTTAACATTTTATAATTCACATTTATAACATCTACAAGGGAATTGAATTTCAATTAAATTGACTTTATATTTAGAATAGTTTAATCTATTTAATAAATCGTTATTTAGTTCTTTATTAATTATACTTTTTATTAAAATTAGAAATTCATAATCGTTAATATTTTATTATGATAAATAATTTTTTAGACTTGCGTTTGAGGATGCTTTTTTGAAATAATCAAATACTTTAACTTTCTAATTTTCAAATCCATTTTTTCTAAAATCCCATATTAATTTAAGAGAAAAAGGATAGTCTTTTGAAATTGCATGAGCTAGTTCAAAAGGAAATACTAATTATTGTTTCAATTAATTTATATCAAGAGAAATTTAAGTTTTACAATCTTAATAACAACATTTAACATATTGTTTCTAAAACTTTTTTGGCAAAATTGAGTTATCATGAATTAATCGTAATAAATTTGTGAATTCATAACATTCCAAATGTTTACATTGTTCTAAATAAATAGGTATGATAATTTTTTAACGATTAATAAGACATTAAAAATGAAATTCTAAAATTCTATTAATATTAATTTAGTTAAATTAATTATGTTCCTATTATTATTGATCAATTAATTATAAAAAGTTGTCCTTTAATTTATCATTTTTAGATTTAGATTTATCTATAACTGTTTATAATAAATTTTCATATTCAGGGATTACAAGTAATTCTCTAGCTTTTTATTAAATTTATTTTTGAAATGAATGAAAATAATGTTTTGCTATAATTGAACAACTAAAGCTTTTTTCACTCATATGCTTAATAATTTGAGCATAAAATTTTTCTTTTTTGATATTTTATTTAGTGGCCTTCTTTTAGCATTTTTAACAACTTGCACCTTCATGATATAAAAAAATATCATATAAATCAAATATTTCATCTTTACAATCAATTATGAAAACCTAAATCATGATAATATATAGTACTGGTTCTTTAATTTATCTAGGCTTTGATTTCCCAAAATAAGATGTTAAATTAACATCTAAAATGTCATCTTTATATTTTAAAACATAAGTTTCTTCTTCTAAATTTTATCTTATTTTAGAATATTCAGGTAAATCTCTTATTTTCCTTTCCTACCCTGAGTAATTAATTTAGCTTCTTAGCTTTGTAAAATCTGATCCTTACATTATTTATAAATTCTCAAATAATTATATTATTATCAACACTTCAGAATGCTATTTCTATTGAAATAATAAAAAATGACGAGATAAAAATTATTATTAATGAAATGAATAATAGAAATAAAAAAATTATTAAATATATAAAAGAGAATGAATACAATAATTTTCATTTTAGAACTCACAATCGGAATAAATTTGATATTTTGGAAAATTTTGGATTTTTTTCAATCTCTCTAAATATCATTATTAGAATAAGAAATAAGAAATTAAATAAAGTAAAATTATTATCTTCGAGTAGTGAATTTATTAATAATTATTAAGTTGAATATATTGAATTATATGGATTAAGTTTATTGTTACTTATGAAATATTTATTTGAAGGTTTTCGCTTTAATTCATTTTTACTTATAATAACTTATTTTAGTGTTTTTTATGAAAAGGTTTATAATATAATATATTTTAGGTCTTTAAATTCAATAGTTATTTATCTTATATATCAGTAATTGTTACATTTTTATATTTATGGTCATAGTTTAATTAAAAACATTTTTCATTACCAAAGCCAACAGGATAATTTAGAACTTGTTATAAATAAATATAAATAAAGGATAAATATTCAACTAGTGTTTCAGTTTATTACCCATGCCTTAATTAGAATTAGAATGATATTGATTATAAATGGCTTCCAGATGTAAAATATTCCAAATAGATATATGAAAGAATGTAATTATAATTTAAATGGGTTCCTTATTAATTGATATTTGATTTTGGTTTAAGCTTTCTCAAGTAAATTTAAAATATGATAATTAGTTATATAACTTTTAAAGCAAGTATAGAATAACCTATAATGAATAAAAACCTTGACGTAGTTATTGTTAGTCATGGATTCACTTAACATAGAAATGCTTATACATTTTTGTGTTAAGAATTAGCAAGTGAAGGTTATGTTGTATTTTCATTATAACATACAGAAATGGTTTATCCATGGGATTTGAAATAAACTAAAATCTTAAATTCTGGCAATAAACCAGAAGTTATGGAAAAATATTAAAATTTACGAGCAACACATTTAAATTGGAGATGTGAATAAGTTATGAATCTGATTTAATAGATAAAATTTGGATAAATTAATGACATTTTTGATAATTTTAATCCCTTAAGTATTAATTTAATTGGACATTCTTTTGGTGGAGCTACTGTTTTGAAAGTTGCATAAAATATTTAAATAGATAGTGTAATCTCTTTTGATCCATGGTTATTTCCATTCAATAAAGATGATTTCTTAAAATAAGTTAAAGGAAGAACATTAATATTAAGCAAAGATATTAATAGAAAATTTTAATAAGTATTTGAACCAAAATTATTAATGGATTTTCTTAAAAATAATAATGTTGATCATTATCGTATAAAAGGATTAGATCATGCCTATCCAAATGATTTAACATTTTTATTCCCCATTGAAATGGCTGTATTTGGAGAACTTAGAACTACTACCAAAGTTTATCAAATAAACAAAATTTTAATTTCAATTACAAAAAAGTATATTAAATCATAATCCTTCAACAACGAAGAAATCAATTAATTTTGTTGAAGTCTATTGATTAAAAATATAATTTATTTTTATTCCATTCTTCTTTTCCCATTAAAACATTATACCAAATTTAAAGAGAATAACAATTTTATCATTGCTTCATGAAAAATACTATATCTTGCAAAATCAATATAAATATTTTATTCAAAAAAATCATCAGCTCTCAATAATTATAGTATTTCTGCTCCTATTATGGAATAATGATATTATGTAAAAATCTAAGGTTTTTTAAAGTTTATTATGCTTTTGTTTAATGAATAATTTAAACGAATTCATATCCTTAACAATCATAAATTTATTAAATATGATAAATAAAACTTTCTAATGGTTCATCTTATGTAGGGTCTTTTTAAAATTAAATAATACTCAAAAGGATACATATCTGGTTTATTAAAAAAATAAAAAAAAACTTTAAATTTTGACTTAAATTCTTTATTTAGTTTTGATACTAAGAATGATTAAAATTTAATGGTTTAAAGTTATCTCAATTCTTATCTTATATTTTCATATTTTACTAAAAATAAATTTTATAAATTTAGTTTCTTCAAACCAAAAAAAATAAAGTTCCTCTTCTAGATAAAGAATTATTAAATAAGTTAAATTAAGCACTCAAAATTAATCACATTCATAAACGAGATCTTTTACTTAAATCTAAATACTATATTAATAACTTTTAGCTGTTAATCCAAGGCAAATTATTTATTTTCTTTTGATTACTTGAGCTCTCGATTACTAGAAAGATCATAAAATTTAGGTTAATCTTTAGGATGATCAGTTATTTAATTTAGATTATTGTTTCTGAGATTCAAGCTTATCAATAAATTCTGGTTCTGGTTTTTCCTTTACGGTTTGATTCTTTAAGATCTGATTGTTTAAATTGGTCCTTTTGTGATTCTAGTCTTTTAGAAATATTATGTTATTTTTCTATTCTTTAAAATGTTCTTATTTTATATTCTAATCAATTTGTTTTTGTTAATCTTCTTTAACTTCTTATAGATTAATATATTCTGTTTATTGAAATTTTTCTTATAATTATAATTATTTTGAGTCGCATCTTTATTTCAAAATCATCTATTTTTTTATTTTATTTTCAGAATATAAATTTGATTAATTTTATTAAAATTTTAATTGGTATTAAATTATTAATCTGAATTAAGAGCTCTAAAATTTTCTAGCTCTTTATTTTAAATCATTTTTTGCTCTTTAACTTTTTTATTCTATTATTTTGAGTCAAATAATAATTTTCATCTAGTTTTACCATTTCCCATTATTTTTAAATATTCAATATTCTAAGGTTGATCTTTTATCAATTAATATTGAGAGTTTTTGTTTTTGAACTTTAAAAAAGTTCTGGTGCAATTTCATTTATTAAGAACAATTTATTAATGAAAATCATTATGAATGAACTTTCTATCTCTTGAACATATTGTAAAATAAGAAAAAGAGTTAAGGATTCATTATAAATTTAAAATCTAAATTACAATTTATATATATAACTCGAGTGAATATCATATTGAAAGTGTAGATCATCATATAGAACTATCAGATTTAATCGATTTTTTGTAGGAGGAACTAAATAAATGAAAATAAATACGATCGATTGTTTGTTTTATCACTTATTTTTCTGGGTTACTTTCTAGTTCCTTCTGATAATTATGATTAGAACATAGTTGATTATTATTAAACGAATTAAGTAGATTGTTAAAGTAAAACTTAAGTTTTTTTGACTGATGGTCTTAGACTTTCTTTAAAATAATTATGTTGTAAAGACTGTTTGGCATTTATTCTTTTATTTTTGTCATAAGATAGCATACTAGATAATAAATCAAAGCATGAATCTGAAATATGATATTCAATGAGATGGTTTAATGAAAGTATATTTTCATTATAACAATATTACAAATTATCTAATTAAGATTATTAAAATAAATCTTAAGATGTAATTCTAAATTTATAATGAATTTAAATTACAGTTTATAAAATACAACGCCTAGACTAAAGATATCACACTTGTTATTATATTAAGGCTTTTAAGAATAAATAATTTCAGGTGCAATATATCCAGGAGTACCACATTTTTGAATGCATAACGGACTACCTTGTTTTGTCGCTAAGCCAAAATCGATTAACTTTATATTCAAGTTTTTATCAATCATTATGTTATCTGGTTTAATGTCTCTATGTAATAAACCTTATTCATGTATATAGATAACAGCTAATAATATTTACTTGGAAATATTATTATAAATATTTACTCTCATTATTGATTATATCTCAGTTTAATTTAATTGTGTTCCATGTTCATTAATAAATCTTTCTAAAGTTTAACCATCCACATATTCATGTATGATAACTATTTAATTAGTTTTATCATATATTTCTTTAATTTTCACAATATTTGGGTGATTTAATCGGTACAATATTTATATTTCATTTATTATATCCTACAAGTCAAATTATGATCTAATTTTACATTCATACGTTCTAAGTTTGACTTTCCTTCTCTAATCTTGTTCAGGAATTTTGCAGCTACTAACTATTTCGTCTACAAATTTTACACTATTTGTACCTAAAGTCATTAAAATAATTATACTTATGAAAAAGCACCAATACCTAAGACTTATTAAGGAATATAGAATTCATTCATATCAAGATAAATTATCTTGGCATCAATCAATTTCTTTAATTCTCTTATTTAATTCCCATTAGCTCTAAACAGTTTTTATTATCCCTAGTATGGAATTGAAAAACCATAATAATCTTCTTCTATGTGAAATGTTATTGTAGATTTTAGAGATACTTCTAGTTCATATTTAGGTTTTGCCTTTGTCTTTGTTTTTATAGTTTTAATACATACTTCTCCAATAAAAATACTTGAACCATCATAGGTTAATAAGTATTATTTATCAAATATTAGATGTTTTCTAATACACTAGAACTGATAAATCATTCCTTTTCTAATAAAAAGCCAATATAATCTTTCTATTATTATTAATAATTATCACGAAACTAGCGTTTTTTCATCTGCTATTTTATATTCAAATCAGATTTATCAAACTAATTTCTTTTTACATCAACCAGCTTTTGTATTTCTTAAATTGTTGGATTAAATTTGGTTTTATAAATATATAGTTATCAATTATTTTTATCTTATTTTCAAATATTTTCATTTATTAATCTTAATATTAAATAAATGGGTAAAATAAAATATATATATTCAAAATCAGTTTTTTAACAATCAATTAATTTTTATCTTCACTCCATATTTATTCAAAATTGCATATTTTAAGACTCCTAATTTCTCAATTTAACAAATCTGATTGTCTAAATATATTTAAATCTTTGCACAGCATTTTTCAAGACTTTATTATTTCAAAAAATCTAAACCAAAATTAATATAGAAAATTCTTTAAATGTCTATGAAAAATTTTAGGCTTTTTAACATTCTATTTTCATACAGGATTTAAAAACACCAAATTTCAATTAGTTTATCACAATATTAAACTAACGATTTTATATTCTAAATTAAATTGATTATTTAAATATATTCTAATTCTTACATGACCTTAGAAATCAGTTTCAGATTCAAAGTAATTTGAAAATTAGTATTAAAAATAATATTTAATTTTATAAAACCTATTTCATTTTTTAAAGATAATTTTTAAAAAAAAATTTATTTTTGAACTGCAAAAATCAATCCAATTTTAATCAAAAACTTCAATTTCTATAGTGCGCTATTCAATTTACTTTCTATATTAAATATTAAAAGCGTGAGTATATTAAATAAAGAGATATTTTTATTTTAATCATTCCTATAATAAATTATTTGATAGAGACTTCAGATTTAGTTAAATTTAATAGTTGATTGTTGATTGTGGTTATGCTGTGACAGAAACTATAAAATAGTTTTATAGATATATTACTAATAATTATACCTTAGCGTATTTCTTAAATTAGACAAGTTATAGCCTTTTGAAAGTAGTTAATCTTAAATATTACTGGATCGTAAAAGAAAATCTGATTAAATATTGAATTAAATCAGAACTTTTTACTAAATCATATTCAATTTATGATTTGATCAAATTTTTGTACTTGATTATTTTATAATTTTTATTTATTTGACCTATCATCTTTCTAAATCCAATTCCTCTATATTTATTTACAATAAATATCTTTATTTAAATAAATAATAAATTGTATTAAGAAAAATAAAATAGATTGAATTTCAACAAAATTAAAAAAATCAAAAAGTGATGAGAAGCTTTTATAAAATTAATTATAATAATTACTAAGAACTCTATAACAATTTTAATAANTAATTTTTATCTTCACTCCATATTTATTCAAAATTGCATATTTTAAGACTCCTAATTTCTCAATTTAACAAATCTGATTGTCTAAATATATTTAAATCTTTGCACAGCATTTTTCAAGACTTTATTATTTCAAAAAATCTAAACCAAAATTAATATAGAAAATTCTTTAAATGTCTATGAAAAATTTTAGGCTTTTTAACATTCTATTTTCATACAGGATTTAAAAACACCAAATTTCAATTAGTTTATCACAATATTAAACTAACGATTTTATATTCTAAATTAAATTGATTATTTAAATATATTCTAATTCTTACATGACCTTAGAAATCAGTTTCAGATTCAAAGTAATTTGAAAATTAGTATTAAAAATAATATTTAATTTTATAAAACCTATTTCATTTTTTAAAGATAATTTTTAAAAAAAAATTTATTTTTGAACTGCAAAAATCAATCCAATTTTAATCAAAAACTTCAATTTCTATAGTGCGCTATTCAATTTACTTTCTATATTAAATATTAAAAGCGTGAGTATATTAAATAAAGAGATATTTTTATTTTAATCATTCCTATAATAAATTATTTGATAGAGACTTCAGATTTAGTTAAATTTAATAGTTGATTGTTGATTGTGGTTATGCTGTGACAGAAACTATAAAATAGTTTTATAGATATATTACTAATAATTATACCTTAGCGTATTTCTTAAATTAGACAAGTTATAGCCTTTTGAAAGTAGTTAATCTTAAATATTACTGGATCGTAAAAGAAAATCTGATTAAATATTGAATTAAATCAGAACTTTTTACTAAATCATATTCAATTTATGATTTGATCAAATTTTTGTACTTGATTATTTTATAATTTTTATTTATTTGACCTATCATCTTTCTAAATCCAATTCCTCTATATTTATTTACAATAAATATCTTTATTTAAATAAATAATAAATTGTATTAAGAAAAATAAAATAGATTGAATTTCAACAAAATTAAAAAAATCAAAAAGTGATGAGAAGCTTTTATAAAATTAATTATAATAATTACTAAGAACTCTATAACAATTTTAATAATTTATTATGAAATTATGTTCAATTATCAAATAAAAAGCATTTTAAAGATTCTATTTTTCTAAGAAAACTTTAGTGCTTTCTAGAGTAGTATTTCATGCCTATTTAACACTTATTTAATAAATTGTAGAATAAATAAACAAAGTAAAATTTAAAAAAGAATATTTTTACTAATGATTAAAAAATTCGTATATCATAATTTAATTTTATTATTATTTAGTAAAGTAATTACTAATAAAATAATTTAGTGAAATTTTTCAAGCAGATTTGAAGAATTTTATATCTATTATATAAGATGAACCATATTAATTAATTTATTATAAAATAATTTCTTAGATTGCTTGTTTTTCAAGGAAGCCTAAGTCTTAATTGAAGTTTATAAAAGATTTTTTGAAGAGAGAAAATAAATTGAAAAAAAAAGAATTGTTTAAAGCAAATTTGGATTTTTAATAGTGTATTTTGTTATATATTTTAAAAAGTCTTAAAATGTAGGAACAAATTAGTAATAAAAGGAAATGAACAAAGAAGTAATAATTAAAAATTGTTGTTGTTTTAGAAGTTTGAATTAATATTAATATTTTTTATAAATAAATGTCTTATTAACAGAAGGGGTTAAATGCAATAAGATTGACTCAAATGAATTCAACAATTTTGAAAGCTAGAAAAAGTTAAGAATATTCTTGTGAGTTGTCTTAGGAATATCTATCGAGAAATAATTTGTTAAAATAAAATAGAGCTATTAGTCAACATTATTCAAGATTAATAATTGAAGATGAGTTTTAAAAAATGAAACGTCCATAAACATCAGAAGGAAGTAGAAGGAAGAAAAAGAATGATTTTGAAGGTATTTAGGTTAATTAAAATTCAAACACAAAATGTGAGATTTTAGAATGTGAAAATGAGGATGATAAGGAGTAACTAATGATAAAATAAGTAGGGAATAAGGGGTGTTATATAATTAATTTATAACATGTAATCCAAGGAATAGAATACGGAATGATTAGAATTAGGTTCCATTTTAAACAGCTTTGGATTAAGATTTTCTAAATTTGTTTGCTAATGATTGATTAATTAACTTTTAATTTATAATATATATAAAATGGGTAATGGAGCCTGTCATTAATAAGTTCCTTCTATAGATGAGGTAAATTTGGTAGCTAGAAACTTTAAATAATAATTTGAACCTTCTTGCGAAAATAAATATATGCTACCTCTATTGAATTCATAATGTCAAAGTCCATCTAAACCAAGTATTGAATCAAAGAATCCAACTATTGCCAGATTAGAGGAAGATGAATTTGAAATTTCAATTACTAATGAAGATAAATAGATTGAGGAAGATTTATCACCTGTCAGAAATACTAAATTATCTAGAGCATAGTCTCCTACAAAACTCATCAAAACTAAACAGCATTACAAATAAGAAGAAGTTTATTTTTTGGAATTGTTGAAATAAGATAAAACAAATCTTACTAGAAGAAAATCTGCAGATAGATAATTAAGTCCCGTCAAAGTTATACATACAGGTTCAAAGAAACATAATACAGCATTATTAATTAATAGTCCTAATTAAAGATCAAATCAACTTATCAAAATGAATCGGTTATCTTGTTAACTTGATGAAGCTGTCATTATATCTATTGAACCTAAATCTATTTTAAAATCTATTGGATCAGAAAAATCTCTAACCAATTCTCAAAAAAGTAAAACCAATAGTTAAAAAAGAGTAAGATTTGGTATGGTTTATCGATAATATAAATGAGCATTACTATTTCAAACTCAAATACTACTATTATTTTGAAATCTAATAATTATTATATTATTATTAACTATTTTATATCAATTTTTTTATCAAGATACTTTCATAACATAGATATTTCATCAGCATTAAATAAAATAAAATAAAATTATAACATAAATTTATTAAATTATGTAGAAAATCAACTTTCTTCCATATACTTTTAAAAACATCATCTTATGGTCCAAAATCTAATTAAAATGTAAGAAGTCTCTTTCAAATATTTTCTCTTAATAGATTTAGGATATTAATTTTAATTTTTTTTCATAATAGTTAAAGTTTAAAAATTATGATTAGTTTTCAAATTGAAATAAATAAGTCAAAAAAATACTCAATCTAGGAAGATGAATGAGACAATATATTATAGATTGAAAATATTTATTAATAATCGTTATATTTTTAAATATGAATCAATTATAGGAAGTATTTAATGAATTCTCATAATTACACAATCAGAAATTCAATATAAGTGAAATCTTATCATTTTTGGATTCAAAATGTGCTAATGGTTATTTTGATAGAGATGTATATTAATAATTGATTGAATAAATTCCATAAGGATAAACATCATAATAATGCACTATAAATTAGTTAATAAATGTATTTAAAAAGGCTTAGGATGTCTTAAATGATAAAATTAACAAATGCTAACAAATTATAGATTAAAAAAATATGTAATTTGATATTTGAATTATGATTAGTGAAATTAGAGCATATAATGATAAACTTAGGTAATCATAAACAAATAGTATGAATTCATCATCAAGTAAATTGAATGTAGAAATTCTTGATGCTGAAATTTTTTATTAAGGCAATGGATAATTACAAATTAGTTTAGAATGTATGTCATCTGTAGTTTATACATGTAAATAAATAATTGATTTTAGAATTGACTAAAAGGTAGAAACCTGTTTGGAATGAATCATTTGATTTGTATTAATATAATTTTATGGGTTAGCAATGTTAATGAATAAACAGTAATGAAATTTATTTTATTGGATACAGAATTGCAGTAAAAAAGAGGAATAGGAGGAGTTGCTTATATAGATATTAATACTTTTGGAGATTAAATGCTTCATGATATTACAGTGAATTTAACTGATGAAAGTAATTCTAATATTAGAGCCAATTTACATCTTAAAATCTAATGGATTTTTTCAAAAGTAATCTATACTGAAATTTGTAGAATAAATATTTATAAGACCTAATAAATGAAAATATGATATAGATCAATTAATTAGAATAGGAAATCAATGATCACATTGTTGATTTGGATATCATTAATTCCCCATTCAAATAAGTAATCAAATTTCAAAATAATCTAACTATATCTACATATCAAACACAACCAAATTAATAATAACAATAAGCAGGTCCTTTATTAATTAGTGAAAATTCGATAGATAGGTTGGTTCAGATTTCATTATTATTAATTATAATTTATTTAGTATTTGGTTTATTGAATAGCATCTATAGAACATTAAATTTTGATGTAAACTATGTTGTTTTATTTTAGTTTTTAGTTATTTTCTATTGTTTTTTATTTTATTAGAAAAATTATAGACTTCAATCATTACTTCACATTAAAATTATAATGGTTATGTTGGGGGTTGCTTTATTGATAGATATTATTTGGCTTGCTATTTATAGCACTGTAAATATTAAATTAAATTAATAGCCTTATTTAGGTGAATTTAATGCACATTATGATCATTTAGAATATGGATTACAGAAATATTAAATCATTATAAGTTGGTTGTTACTATTTGTCAAAGTAAAAGTACAATTTAAATTAAGATTGTTGTTTTGATTTTTTATGTTCACATTTATGCTACTTATCCTGATAAATCTACCTAAGTTTATGATTAATAATGGAATTCAATTTTTGGATGGAAGGATATTAAACAAATAAATGTATACCGAAATTATAATTGATTATTATTATTATTATTTTCTAATTTTATACCTTCTATGTTTATTTACTATTCTTTTGAGTAATTGAATATTAAACTGAATGAATTCATTTCTTAGATTATTTTTCAATCATTTTTAATTAATTTCATTTAAAACGAAATTCATGAAGAATTCATTATATTGAATTGCTTACAAAATAAAAAATTTAAATATTTTAATAAATTTTAATAAATTTTATTGACGAAATAATGGAGAGTTCATATATAACTATTTCTATATTCTTTTTATTTAATTTTACTTAATTTATTTAATTCTTTTTAATTTTACTTAATTTATTTTATTCATTTTAATTTATTTAATTCCTTTTAGTTTATTTTATTCATTTTAATTTCAGAAAAATATTAAGTATTTCTGTTGAAAAAGATTTGAATTATCTATGTAAATTATTATTAATTTATCAATATTGAATTTTTCCTAAACCAAGACGTCGTTATTTTTTTGTAGTATTAAAAACGAATTGTAATATAATATTTTAAATTTAAATTATTAATATATTTTTCAGTATTTAATTTGTAACAGAGCATTTTTTTATAAAAAAATAGCCATTAAATTTAGATTAAATACATTTTCTTATTTTTCCTTTAAGGAAATTTGATTGTGGTAAAGATACCTTAAATAGAAATTGATTTATAAAAATCTCATAATCCATTTTATAAAATCTTGATAGATTTTCAAATACTTAAAAATAAAATAAGTATTTAAAGTTAATATAAATAAAATGTAAAAAGATTTAAACGATCTATACATAAGATTAAAAATAGAGCTATTAAAAATTTATGTTTCCTCTAAAATTGATTAATTGAGAAAAAACTAAAAATAACTAATTTTTATATATAAATTTGAAAAGCTATAATAAAATAAGGAAGTAACATGAAATTAATTTACTGATATAGTAATTTAACTCATATTTGAAATTTATCATAATCATTATTAAAATAGTTCAAATAGTTTAATAACCTTTAGATTTAGAAATCAGAATGTCAATACTATAAACTTTTTAAGCAGATATTGGTATAAAATATATAGGTTAAATTAGTGTAATATTATTTGATGAATTAGAATAACCTCATAGATGTTTAACGAATAGTGAAGCGTTGAATTTTATTGACACAAAATAGAAAATTCATCGATTATTATAAAGGAAAAATATAGGATATCTAAAATTTGATGGATCAGACTTAATATAATCTAAAGAGTAGAAATATTTTATAAAAATAATTAATATTTTTATATTATATCTCTTTTTTAATTATAAATAAATATATTTTTTTCTATGTTTTACATGGTTGAAGTTTTAAAGAAAAGTTTATATCAAATATCACCCTTAGATGTGTTACTTTGCAGAATGGAGATGTCTTACCTATTTCATAAAGTGATGGTACTAATTTTGATACTTTTGAATGCGTTTTATAAGTTTGTAAACATAAAACTATAAATATGATTGTATTTTGGTTAATGGATTTTAATGTATTTTGGGAACTCATTAATTTTATTCAATTTGTTTAAGTGGATTCTCTGTTTGTGCTTCTTATTTTACACAGAAAACTTATACTCAAAATAAAGGATTGTGTATGTGAAATCAAATCTATTTTTAAATATTGAGTATGTTATTTAATTAAAAATAGATGTTAACAATACTAAAGTTTTACTGTATTTGTTAAGAAAGAGATTTATGTGAATGAAATCCACTAAAAATGAGATGTTAACTCAATTTAACATAAAGCAACAACCATTGTTATTCAGAATATTTAGATTAACTGAATTTAAGTTAGATCTTTTAAATAGTTTTTATTATTTTCTTTATTATGAGGGGATGATTTTAAAATTTTATTATATTCTGTCATTTTTAATAAAAATAATATATATATAATTAAATTAATAATCATTAATTTAATAATATATTGATTAATTCAGTGGCTCTTCATAGTTTTGCTAAGGAATTTTTTCACCATTTTATTATCTCTGTATCTATTTAAAAGAGATTTTTATGATAGTTTTTAAATATTTATAAAAACTGATTGAAGCTTCTTAATATTTTTTTATTTATTTCCTTTTTTTTAAAAAAATACTGGCATTTTTTCTAAAATAATATTGATTTAGCTTATGATTGTTAAGAGTATTATTATTAAGACTCATATTAATCATTATCATTATAGGGTTTAAATTAATATATTAAAATTCATTTAATCTCAAAATTTGAATAAAGTAACATTTCTTAAGCAGTCTGTTTAACCTTTTCTACATTTGAATGAGACCATGGTAATCTTTTAACATCAAATTCAAACTATAAATTGTTTATACAGGATTAATTACATTTTTTTCATCATGAAAATGATTCATAATTTTATTACAGAGGGATGCTATCTTTTTTTTGGAATCCTTTTGTATTTCCTATTCTAAACAACCTAAAATAAGTAATTATTATACATAAATATTCTTTATAGTAAATAACAAATGTTTGAGAAGAGAAAATTTATTTTAAAAAATCTGAATTCATTGTTTTATTTTTGCTATTTTTTCTGAATGGAAGTATAATATTAGTTTATATTTCTTTCTCCACAATTGACATAAATATTTTTTTTGCTGATTTCAAATTAGTTTCTATGAATATAATAAAAGTAATACTTGATTTATCATATTTTTCTTATACTCTTTAGAATATAAATTTCAATGCTTTTCTCAAACAAAATTTAATAAGTTCTTCTCTACTTTTCTATTAAGATTTTAATTTTTAAACAAGCAATTCAAACAGATTAAATAAAACAATCTAATTGCTATTTTTTAGGTTTGTTATTATATTATGAAAAGTTTCATCTTCATTTATAATCATCATTATATATTGTTCAAGAGTATCATGATTGATTTATTGTTTTACATCATAATGCTCTAAAATTGATCTTCTAGTACATTAAGTAGAAATTGGGTCTTCATAATAATATGCTAGTATATATTTAAAAGGAAGCAATACCTTTTTATATATTTTATGGAACTTTTTAAAGATAATAAGGGTTAGTTTAAGGTTAAGCAAATACTATCTATTAGTAATAATTATTATTTTAGTAAGAGTTTTGTAGATTCTGATATGTATTCCAGTAATTCATTGATGAATAGAAGTCAAAGAAGAGTTAGTTGGGTTAAAATTAATGCATGGTTTAGCAAATAATACCTAATTTTATAAATCAAGATAAAAATAAGATTTAGAAATTTAAAGTCATTTATTCATTTTATATATTAATATATATAACTAAATTTATCCAAGTTTAATTGGTTTCCATAATTCAAATTACATGGCTAGGATATACTTAATAGTTATCAAAATAAAGATTTATAAGGATATCTTATGAAATTCAAGAATGTTTTTAAATATAATTAATTTAAATTACTGATATTTTAAGAATTGGTTTGAAGTTTATTAATTTTAGTTTTATAAAATGTTTAGTTTTTAAAAAAATTAATATAGACTTTATAGTTGTTAGAAAATAACAATTATAAATGACTTAAGATCTGAAACTTAAAAATAAATATTTAAAAATATAATAAAATTTAATGGATAATTCTCAAAATTTTAATCTAAATCGATTATTAGAATATATGGCAATAGTAAGTGTTGATTTAGATAAATTAAATGAATTTGATAAGTTTGTACTTATGTGTAGAGAATTAACGAAGGTATTTAATATTGAAATCTAAATTTTAGATATTTATGGAGATGGGTGGAATTTTAAAAAAAGCTTTTGAAGATATTAATTCAAAATGTAGATTATTAGAGTTGAATTGGAGTATGCATAAACATGGATCTTTGATAGAGTTTATATAATTTGAAAAATAGAAAGGTATATAATAATATATAAAAGACATTGCAAAATTGAATGGATAGAATACTGAAAATTTTGGATATAAATAAGGAGATTTTTATTTTGATTATGAATCATCAGCTCGTACATTATTAAGATTAATGTGGTTTTTTGATTTTATTTACTATTTAACAAACCAATTACTAACTGATAAGAAGAAAAGTTTTAGTTCTATATGTTCTGAAGCATACAAAGAAAGTCTTGCTCCTCATCATTCATTTACTTTAAAAACAGTTGTTAAAGCAGGTTTATATACTGTTGGAAGGTACAATACTTATATTAATATTATAGTTGTGATAATTTCTATAAAGTTATTTTTAAAGAAAATGAAGATAAAGATGAAAAATTAGGAATAATAAGAGATACTATTATGAAATTGAAATTTAGATTATGGACATTTTACAAAAATGAAAATTTGTGTGAATTGCCATGATTTTTCATTTTTATAATAACATAGTTGCCCCTTTTGTTTTTATTTATTTAATCTTATCTATTCTTTCAAATTAATAAACATTATTATTGTGACCTAATCCTAAATTTCCATGTTCATTCCATCCACTAACAAATATTTCTTATTTATCCTAATTTATTAATATTGTAGATTCTGATCCGCATTTAACATTCGTTGCAATTATATCAATCTATTAATATTTGTAATTATGTTATTTTTTATTATCTCCTTATTATCCAAGATCACCTCTTCCACAAATAAAAACTTATCTATTTTTTGTTAATATAGAATGATGACTCCAACCACAATCAAAATCTTCTATATTTTTCATTAATTCCTATTTGTCTAAGATTGAAAATTAAGATTCTTAGCATAATTAACCAAAACTATTACTACCCCATCCATATAAAGTATTATCATCTTAATATTTATAAATATTATATACATGACAATGCTAATGTAAACTTTTATCCACATTTAATTTTTTTAATACACTCTTGGACATTAATCTTTGTAAATTCCAGAACTATTTTAGTATTAATGATATTTAATTCATTCTATTTGTTTTACCCAACTCCATATATGAATTTTTCTTCTATTATAAAACTTTATCTAAAGCCACATACAATATCATAAATTTTAGTGTAATCAAAATTTAACTATTAAGGTTCTTCAAATATTTATTTAACTTAATGTCCAAATTCATTGAATTTATTTGAACCCATACCAAAAAGACCATTATCTGTCAGAATCATACAATGTTACCAACCACAAGAAAATTTAGAAACTTTGTTGATTTATTTTATCTCTTTTGGAATAGTATAAATTTAAATCCATTATCCATACAAAAATATTCTATCTCCTTATTTTATTAATCCTATCAATCCACTAAATTTAATTTTTAGATCATTCAAATTCTTATCTATTAATTTATGACATATTTTTGGTATATTAATATCATCAATTGTTTCTTAAAGTAATAATCCACATCCACCTGATCCACATGAATAATATTATAGTTATTACATTAAAATAATTATAATTATCTATAATAATCAATTCATCACTTCCAATAGTATTATTATTAAAACTTATATTACAAATAAAATGTTTCCTATCCTTATAAATTTTCTATGTTCTATATCCACTTAATTAACTACTTTTCTCTTTATTTCTGGAGTATAATAAATCTAGTTTTATTTACACCTTCCTTTTTTTGGAGTAAAGAATTAAATTTGCTAAGTTTCCATCTCCTGATCTTCTTATACTTTTTAAGAAATTATTTCCTTTTAAGTTTGTCTATAATCTGTTTCTGGTGAAAAAAATTATGTATTGAACTATTAATCTGAAGTATCCTACCTTTTGAACAAATATTAATTTTCTGAAATATGCATTTGTCTTTAAAATTTTATTATCTAGCGCCAATCCTTAAATATTTTGGTTAAATAATTATATAAATCTATATATATATTTAAATAATTTATTATAAATTTTAAAGATAATATAGTTTTAAATACTTTAGTAAATTTATTAATTCTCTTACATCACCATATATTATATAAAAATATCATTTTTTGTTTAATGATAATTTATTGAATTATTTATATATAATTATAATCATTTAAAATAATGAAAGCATCCATTATTTATGACACATGTAATTAAAACAAATTTTATAAAATTCTTAATTTTAATTATATATTTTTTTAAAATATATAATTATTTAAAGAAATGTAAAGTCGAATGGCAAAGAGACTTCAAAAAGATTTAGAGTAGATGCAAAAATCTTACACAGACCAATTTAATGTTAGAATGCCAAATAATGATATAAAACATTGGATTGTAGCTTTTGAAGGTGCAAAAGGAACATTATATTAAGGAGAGAAATTCGAGTAATATAATTTAAATAATTTAGATTACAATTCAAGTTTTCAAATGATTATGTAGAAATACTTATACTTATTTAGCTCTTTTTTTTAATGAAATTAGCCAATCGAATCTCCTGAAGTAATATAATAATGAATAATTAGGTAATCTTTATTGGTAAACCACCTGAACATGAGCATATTTATTCCAATGGATTTATTTGCTTATCAATATTATTTGATGGTATATTTCATAAATAACAATTTATAGAATGGTCAGCAGCATTAACTGTAAGTTCTGTCTGCCTATCCATATAATCAATGTTATCAAGTGCAACTAAGAAGGTCTATTATTCAATCATATTTATCAGATGAAACCACCTAATGATGCAGAATTTGTTAAAAGAGCAGCTGGAAGAGGACCAAAGAGTTTTCTTTGGAGTTATCATGATGAAAAATGTTGAACCATCTTTAAAAATTTATAAATTAAATACAATACATATTTTTAATATAACTATCATTCTATTTACTATTTAAATCTATTCTATTTATCTAACATAATTATCATTACCATATAATGTATAATTAAATTTATTAATATTAGTTTATTATTATATCTAATTAAATATCAGAGATATTCATCTATCATTCATTTAGATTATTAATAATAATTAAGAATATCAATTTTTCAGTTCCTCTTCAAAAATAATTTGAAATAAAAAAGAAAAATTGTAGAAGTTCAGACTATTTCTTTATTAAATAATTCTTAACTATATACATATTGACTTATATATTTTATTTATCTTTACCATATTAAACAAAAGATCTAATTCTTTTATATAAGCCAAACACTCTAAATTCTTTTCTGATTAATACTATATTTCATTATTCAATTATTTGATTCTTTTTATTTTTTTCTAATTAAATCACTACAATATCAGAAATTGCTTGAAATCTTTAATTTCTTCTATATAAAGTTTGTAGTGTCCATCTAAGATATTAAGAAAATTTTATTTTACTTGTTTAATTTTTCATCATCAAGAAACTCAGGAATAATATCGGCCTTATGCATTTTTATGAAATTGACATGAAAGTTTTTCTTTGTTTTTTTTTGACCTAGTTAAGGACATATTTTCATTACTTAGCTATAAATCCAATCAAAAAATTAAACTATTAAAAATAGTAAATAATTCTCGAAACTCAATTAATCCTCTTTAATTTATTAGAACAAAAATATTAAAATTTCTTTAACAGATTATGCTATTTAATTATAGATTTAAATTTAATAAGAGTATTAATTTTAAATTAAAATTAAAATCGAAAATTAAATAAATATAAAAAGATGAGAGGAGCAATAAAAAAGAATTAATTTATCCCCTTAATGAAAAATTAAATGTAAGGTTTTATATATCAATCATTTTCTATTCTTATAATATCTTCTAACATATATTCTAACAAAATCTCATCCACAATAAGTAGATTTGTAAATTTTTACTTGATGTTTTTATCTCTGAATACTAGATTGCTTAATGTATCTATAATGTTATTTAAGGATCTCAGAAATAATTAATTTAGATATTTGATTAATTATATAAATAAGATTCATTCTGTTAATTCATGGATGATAGTATAATAAAAAACAGAATATTATAAATAAGGTGACCAAGCAAATTTCATATAGTTTTTCTTCATAAGATGTAGGAATAGTTTAGTACACTTTTAAGCTTTGTTTAATAATTTTCCTTTTTCTATCTAATTCTATAATTTTTTTGAAGCCCTCTTTTGTATTTTATAATACTTTTTCTGATTCGTCTCTGTATTTTATCATGCTTTTGATTTTGATTTCTTATATTGCCTTAACTAAATATTTTTTTTTGTTTATGAATAAAGAATCATTATTAATTTTATAGTGTGAAGACAAGTTTAAAAATAATTTTTCTTTAGGATTTATGTGACTTAATTCCATTTGGATTATTGAGTAAGTTCTAATTTAATCAAAACTTATCATAAGTATTCTTTTTTCTAAGATTTAGGCAAACTTTGAAAAAAGAACAATTTAATTTTTAGATAATTTTTGATGATTCAAACTAAATTTCATTTTAAATATTATAGTAAAAATATATATAATATAAATAGTGTAGCAAAAAAGATATTTAAGAACAAACTTCTAATTTATTGAATGTGGAATAATTAATTAATATATTTTACAATAATTTATTTTCAATTTAAAAAGATAGATGTTAGTAAAGAGATATCGAGTTTAAGTTGATTATGAAATATAAAAAGATAAGGTTTATTATTAAATCTTAGTTACTAATATTAATAATGAAAATGAAACAAAAACAACAATTAATAGATATTCTGAAATAAAAGATTTTAATGATCAATTGTAAAAGAATGTTTGTCTATTAAAATTATTATTACAATTGCCGTAGTTCCCTGGAAGATCTTTCTTTAGCAAAACTAATGATGATAAAGAAAAAATAATATAAAGAAAAATAGAGTTAGAAACTTATTTTAATGAACTATTTAGTATTGAGAAAATATTAAGCTTAAAACCAGTTTAATAATATTTACCTATAGATAATACTTAAAATAAAGAGTAAATAATCAATATATTATATAGAATGAATATTAGTATTAAAATAGAAAATTATGTAATTTATGATGACATCGTTGTATATTCTCTTCGTTTTAAGAATAATTTAGAAGGTGATGAATGGATATATAAATAAAGATATTCAGAAATAAAAAATATTCATGATGCTCTTCTTGATTAAGGATTTAAAAATAAGTTGCCATCATTTCCAACAAGGAAATTATTTGGATAAACTAATGAAAATCCTGGTATCATTATTTTTATTTATTTTATAAGAAACTATAGAAAAACGTAAAGAAGATCTATAAAATTATCTTAATTCTTTGTTCTGTGCACAAGAAGTATAAGAAAGTTAAATCATTAAATTTCTTATATCAGATTCAAAAAAGTATCATGAAAAGAATTTAAAACTTGAAGAATTAAAAAAATCTTCTACTCTTAAAGCTTAAGCAGACTTTAACTAAAAATATAGAGAAAAAACATAGAAAAATAGCTTATTAATTCATGAAAATATATGATTTATTATTATTTATAAAATTCTCATAACATTATATCCATTATTTCATATTATTTTAAAAATTTAACTCATTTTATTTTGGATAGTTGATATTAATTAATTTAAAATTAGTAATATCTCATAATGCAACAGAATTCTTTTGGATATTTTAATATTGACAATTCTAGCAATAAAGACTCTTGGGTGAGTTAAACTTAATATAATAATAAAAGTAACAAATAAATAAAACGATTTATGACTGATGACTTCTCTCATTTTGAAAAAGTGAACTTTAAATAAATATAAAAATAAAACTCACATGAGTTTTAGCCTCAAACAATAAAAGAGGTGATAAATAAGGCAAAACTTAGATTTGTTTAAACTTCACCTAATTCTATAACAAGAAGACAAGAAAAATAAGTAAAAAGTATTTAAAATAACTTAAGACTGTACCATTCTATATTAAAGAAAGGGATGATCAAGTTAAAAAAGTTAAGTCTTTTAAGTCCCCTATTAAAGAAAAGTAAGAAAAAGATGAAGACTATAATTAAAAAGTTTATATCTTCCTTATAGAAGCCTTTTTGATTATTTTCTTGATCCTCTTTGCTACTGAACTATTTCTAAGAAAGTATTTATAATGATAATATAATAACTTTTTCAAATATTTTATCTAGCTTAACTGCACAATATTTTTCAATCAAATAAATGTGTTAATTAGATTGTAATTATAGACTTATAAATCTTTTTATCCTAAAAAAAATTAGAAATATCTAAGTCTTCATTAAAAATCAAGAAGTTATTTAAATAACAATTATTTGTTGTATTTTTTTATATTATTTGTTTCTAGTTAAATCAATTGAAACTATGACATATAATTGAATAATATCAAATTTATAAGATGGAACTAACTTATTTGATCATGCCAGTTGAAGTTAATATTTATTATTAATATATTAATGAAAGCTGATAGTTTTCATTCTGTTTTTTCAGATAAGCATGCAAAATACAATTAATTCATAAGTTCTTAGCTTTTTAGTGGTTATAAAGTTCGAGGAAAAGATAATCAAAAAAAATAATATTTAATTTCAAGCCCATCAGGTGATTAAAAAATGACTAACAACTTTACAGCATCATAAAGTTATTTAAATGCTATGAAAGCATTATAAGAAAAGATTAAATCACTTGAATTAGAAAATTTAAGTTTACAAACTTTAGTGGTATATATAAATTTATCAATTAGTCATCAAATGATAATAAGAGTGATGTAAAATAAAATGACTTGAAGTTAAAGGAAACAAGTTTGCATCTAAAAACAAATGAAACTGTATAAATTAAAGGACTTGAATAAAAACTAATGCAACAGGAATTTACTAATAAAATGAAGATTGAAGATTATGAATGTAAATTAGCACAATTATAACATAATTTGCTAAATATTGCATAACAAGCTGATCAAAAATTTAGAGAATATATTGAGGAGATCTAAAATTTGTAATTTTCTTTCTTTATTAAGAAATGAGTAATTAAGGATTTAAGAAGAAAATAACTAAAACTATAGGAATAAAATAAATTCATATACCTAAACTCTTTAATAAGAAAAATAAGTAAATATAAAATTGACATAGAATTATTCAAATTTATAGTTCCTGTTTGAATAAGAGAAAAATGAAAAAAGAATTTTGTTTGAGAATACTGAAAAGTTGCAGTTAGAATTTTAAAAATTGAAAGAGAAACTATTTGAGGCCGATTCTTATATCGAATAATATACAGAATATTATAATGATAAAAAATTTAGAAGTAATAAAATAAGTAATTTAGAATTGGAAGATGAAAATAATAAATTAAAATATTAAATAGAAAATATGAAGATAGAAAATGAATAACTTTAAGAAGAGATTAAAAATTTGAAATTAAATTTAGATTTAAAATAGAAGGAACTTGAAGAATCAGAGTATAGAAGAGTTAAAAAATTTTCAGAATCAAATATTAGAATAGAGTAATTAAGATAATAATTACTTTCTTTATCTTCAAAATCTAATATATCTACTTTAAGTCCAAGAGTACCTAAAAAAAAGAATATTAAGCAAATATCATCTAAATAAATGTCAATAAAGCCATAAAAAGTTAGAGACTTACGTTAAATAAAAAGCAAGAGCTTAAATAAATTAATGGATAATAAATTTTTAACTTAATCATAATCAATGCAAAACAATAACTTTATACATTAAAAATAATAAGGATATGATTCATAAAGTAGTGGTGTTAGTAGAATGATAGTAAAAACTTTAGAAGAGAATTATCCTTCTTAAGGAAAAAATGAAGAGTTTAATCATGCAATTATTATTAGTGATGAAATCACTTAGACAGATTAATAATTTTGTTTAAAACAATAGAAATATATTTAAGTTGTTGAAAGAATTAAATTTTTGGATGAACTTTTGGCTGCACTAAATTTATAATACTAAGATATTGAAGAACAAATTCAATAATAAACAGATATGAATATCAAAAAACAAAAAAGATAGAAATTACTTGAGATAATTGATTAAATGTAAGAAGTCAATAAAGAATTAAATGATCTTGTAACTATATAGAAACTTGCTTCACAATAATGATTCTTCGCATTGTATTTTTTTGTCTGTATAACAAACTTGTAATTATTAGCTTTAATTTGAGGATTTGTTAAGACTTAATTTAAAATTGTGGCTTGAATTACTTCTTAGGTAAAACATATTATCTCTTGGACCTAATATTATCAATATTTATTTTACTTGATTATTATTAATACGATTTTCCTAATAAAGAGAATCCTTTATTTTTATGGGCTGACTAACTTCTATAAAATTTTTTTAAAGAACCCACAATTGGTTTTGGAGTATGTACACTCTTTATTAATAATCTTGTTGGTTGTTATTGAGAATTATCATTGTTGTTGTTATTATTTGTACTTGGTTCATCTCCAAGATATGATGTAATGGGGCGTTTTGGTTATTTAGGAATTTAAGGGTTCTTTATTTTGACAATTCCATGTTAAATTAACACTGAAAATTGTTGTCTTTTATAATTAGATCCTTTCTAAATATAATTAAGTGGATCATGCACTTTCTCAAATAATTAGTATGGATTATTGTAATGTTGTTGTCTTTAAATGAATTACTGTAGTGTTATTTCATTAGTTTTTTTATTAGATTCTAATTATTTTTATTTAAAGTATTGTTAAATAAAATTAGGAATTTTTTTAACAGGGCTTTTGGTTCTTTAAAATTCAGCCAATTCTTCATCTTAATTCTTAGGAGTATTACTAATATTTATTTTAGTAATATTAATAGTAGTATTGTTAGTTTATTATTATTTTTCAGAAGTAGATTTGAGAACTTTAAAACTTATAGTTTTTTTAATTTCTGAATTAATAATCTGTTATTTAGAAGTAGATTACCAATTTTTTTCCATTTCTTCACATTATTAATTAAAGATTTCTTCTCTTTAAATATGTTTATCATGAAATAAATCTTATAATGATTAAATGACAACACTAATATTTAAAAAATTCTTTAATTATTTAATTGAAATCATTTATAAGACTGCAATTTTAGATATAATTTTAACATTATAAAATGCAAGATCTTAATAGAGAAGTTCTTCTCCAATAACACCTGAATTAGTAAGTTAACATATATTAATTTCAGTTTGCCAATATTTTTTAGGTAAAACTTATTTTTCATATTAAGTCATTTTTTTTTCATAAAATCGAGAGATTTATAAAACTCCTTCTGAGAGTACATAAAGATATTATGCAGATTCATTCTACTTATAAATAATGTTTCCGGCTGAAAGAGTTGTTTCTGTAAAAGTTCTAATAAGTTTTTCTTAGATTTTGCTAGAGTTAATTTTATCGATAGATGTAATATTTTATAATAAAATATTTTTGCGATATTGAAAATTAGATCCATGAGTATGATTAAAGTTTTTGTAAGTGTTAATAGGTACTATAATACAATGTGTATCGATCTTTGTAAAACAGAATTAGTACCACTACATAGAATGAATAATCTAAATCGTACCATACATCAACACCAAATGTATCACCATTATCTGCTAATATTTATCCTTTAAGAATAAAGTAAGCATATTCACTTTTATTATTTACATGTTCACCATGCTTGAATGATTTATAATTCATACTATAACATAGCTATATAAATATATTTATACCTCTTTAAGTATTTCATAAGGAGCATGAAATTATGGTAATTAACTCATATAATCTTAAATAGCTGCAATATCTTCTTAAGATTTATTAACTTTGCTTAATTTAGATATTAGGTACATTGTTAAAATTAATTATTTTATAAAAATAGAATTACTAAACAAAATCATACACTTTCTTCCACTAACAAAACTCTCATATATCTTTCAAATTGATCTTCTAATAGAGTAATTGTTGTTGGTAACAATTAAATGAATCTTTTTACTATATTAAATTCAATCTCTAAATACTTTCTCAATCCCAATATTAATATTAAAATTGATAATAATGCAAAAATTAAATATATTGTAGACAATACCTAATTTAAATATGTAATTTTACTAAAGAGATGTTCTATAAATCATTAGTTACACCTAACATGCTTGATTTTAATTTCTATGTCATCAATTAAAATACTCTTACCATTATAATCCCTGCTTCATTATCATAAAATGGATGTTCCAATCTCTTAGTAAAATTATTTACTACTATCTATGTCTAAATTTAATTTTTAATAAAATTTAACGCTGCAATTACTCCCTTTAAATAATTCCCTTAAATTGATATTGGACAAAAATCTTTCAAAAAAGACAATTATTCTATAGTAAGAATATCACATACTGAGTCTTTTTGGATTTTATTAAAAAAAGAAACAAAGTCATCATTTACTTAGTAAGCATTCTAATCAAAAGAAGTACATAATTTATTAAATTTCTCTATATTCTCTATTCCAGAATATATCAGATTAAATATTTATTCTTCATCTTTCTTAGTTAAATAGGTAAAGTTTTAAAATATAAAATGATATTCTCTATTTTGATATAATGTTGCAGATGAATATGTCATATCCTAAATCAACTTATATATGTCAACTGTATCAGAATACTTATTTAAGTATGTCATTTAACCTTAAAAAATTATTATACTTATTCCAAAAAAAATCATCCAAACTCCCATCATTAAAGATGATCCCATTATTATTGATACTTATTCATAAGAAATTTATATATTTCTTTATTAATCTTTGTTTTTCTTACTCAAAGCATCCTAAATTTTAGCTTATGTAATTAATTAAGATTCCTTTTAATTTAAATCAAAGTTATATAGAAATATTTAATCTGCATTCTTTTGTAAAGATCTTTACATTATTTTGTATCTATCTATTTCGTATTACAGTTTGTTCTAATTGCAAAATTTAAAAATTCCTAAATATTTATCATATCTTTAATTGTATTATCTATAATAATAGATTTCACTCATAGTTAATATAATTGTAATCAAAATGAAAACAATCCAAATTACAGTCCAATCCTATTTTATCGATTCACTTCGATATTTAGAATATTCTAGAATTTCTATTGTTAAGATTTCTAACCAGCTATGTAAATAAAATTGATTAGCTACTCCAAAAACTTAGATTGCACTTCCTGAAGTACTCATACGATTTTCATATCTATATTTATATTAGTATAAATTTTAGATAATTTATTAGAAGGCTTCACGAATATTCAATGTTTTATTATAAACATCACTTGTATTAGCATTCATAAAAACCATATCTATAGTTTTATTTTCAAAAAAAGGTTATAAATTTTAATTTGTTAATTATTTAATAAAGATTTCTTTTATTTCAGAATATCCTATATAAATATTATCATAAAATGGTTGAGTAAGTACTGTAGCTTAAGTTTAATTAATAACACCTTCAGTAACATAAGAATTATAAGAAATGATGGCAAGTCTCATTGATACAAAAATATCATGGGGTGCCATAAAACTACTATGTAATTCAATCATATCTATTTCAGATATAAATTAGTTTAAATCAGCTTAATTTTTAATCATTATGATTAAAAAATGTATACAACCAAATAAAAATTAGCAAACTAATAATATTATGAGTAATCTTAATTGTTTTGGATTATGTTATGCTATAACTTAAGAATACATTTGATATTTTTTAAAAAATTTAGACTTTTTAGCACCTCCATATGAAGATGAATTAGTATCTTCTCCTTTGATTCTAATTTATTATTTATTATTTTAATCCTCTTATTATATTTCAAAACCTTAACCCAAATGATTTTTAGATGAAAAAGAATTAGCTACATTTTATTAATCACCTACCATACTACTAAAAAACTCTTATTACCTAATTCTTAATAAAGGATTTGCTGAATTTAAAGCCATTGGATTCATACTTAAATCCATTGGACTCATTAAATTAATTTCATAATGAGCTAAATCTGGTTAATAAAATTATTGCCATTTATCATTATCACCTTAAACTATAAATTAATTTAAATCTCTATTAAAAACTTCAAATTTCTACTTATCTATTTTTAATACACATGGTGAATTTATTATTGCTTCTTAATCTGAAACATAAGAAAATGCTTAATCTATAGAATTGAAATCCTTATCTATAGTTTTATATGTTATTTCTGTCTTTAATTCCTTTATTTCTACAATAAAATATAAAAAACCAAATAATTCTCTTTAATGTATTTATATTAAACTTTCACAATGTATAAGGCTTTCAGGATTTTACCATTCTACAAAATTGCCTTTAGAGTAATTTTAATATCCATTTTAACTAAATGGATTCAAAAGAATTGATTATTTTAAAAATTTAAATTCACTTACATTTAATATTTCTTATTTGTTAGAAATCTATGTAAAATTAGGAATTAATAATTCTATTGGTACTTAATTTATATATTGCCATTTTATATTTTCTAAATAATAATTTGTGTATCCTAATTTGTCCAATAAATTTTATGTAATTCCGCCTAATTAGTAATTAACATCAACCATTAAATAAGCTGAAGTTTAAAAATTTTCATAAAAAAAAGCCAAAAATTAAATTTAATTAATATCACTAAAATTGACTTCAAAAAAGAATTCACATGGTTTAATGATTTCATTTTAAATTTTATAAAAATTTAAGCTTTTTTTTAAGTAAAATTTTGAAACTGAAGTTTATAAGAATCTTTACACTAAAAGAAAATGCTATTCCTTAATAGCTGTTGGAAGTAGTATATCTATTGAATTATTAAGTTTAAAATCATCATATGTTTTTTAAAAAAATTAACAAACTCTAGGTGTTATATTTTGTATTAATAATTCTTAAGTTTCATCTATTAGATTGATATTTAAATAAACTAAATCTTTATTAAATAAAGTAAATTAACAGCCATCTGTATTATTATGTAAATTATTTAACTTTTCATCTGATATGGATGTATTACAAGTGATCTTATGAGCATCTAAATAATTATTAAAGAGTTCTCCTTAACAATATGTATAAAGAGATTATATTCGTTGACTTGGAAAATATTTGTATAGCTTTAACAATTTAATTTCAAGTGATTGAATTTTCAAACACAATTCTTTTGATACTTTAAATAATTGTGATAATTTAATTTATTTAACCTATTATAATTAAATAAAAAATTGTAATTTAGAATTAACTAAATTAAGTACTTGATCTTTAAGAATTTGATTTCTTCTCTCACTCTTTAAAAATATCTCTATTGCATTTTATAATCCAAAAGAATCTCCTACTATTTCTCTATATAAAAATGATTATTTTAATTTATCTCTAACTTTTTCCCTTAAAATATACAATCTAACCTTCTAATAAAAAGTTAATATATTATTTCCAGTAGTTGCTAACATTTTATTTGTTTTATTTATCTGATGATTTCCTGCCTCTTAAACTTCTTAAGATTTAGATGATCTACTATAAGATGATTTTGCTCCTTATTGTATTGTATTAAGTGATTTCATATGATCACTTTAATTTTCTTTCGCTAAAGATCGACTATGTTTATTAAAGTTTTAATTAAACAATAATATATTTATTTGTTTAAGTGATAAATTGTTTAATCCAATTTTAAATAAAATTGATGCGTAATGAATATAATGATTGGCATTTCTTGATTTACTATTTGTTTTTTGTAATTCACATAAGTATTATTTAGCAAGAGTCTTATAATAAAAATTAATCAATTCCTTAGACATAAATTCTTGATTTATACATTTTAATGGAAGTTATGCAATAGGTTCAAGATTTTTCTTTTATTAATATAATTATTAGATTTTAGCATATATTACAATTTTCTATGTATATGAAGTAAATTCATCATTAAAAAATTTAGAAAGTATATATTTGCAATGAATGATTGAAATTTTTATTGTATTGGTTGAAATTTGAAAATCATATGAATGATAAACTTTTATTAGTATATAATTCAGAAGGGGTACTAAAATATAAAGTAGTATATTAATATGTGTTGATATATTTAATTAAAGATTTATTAATATTAAAATTGATTGAATAAATTGATAGGAAGCAATTGTAATAGAAACTATTATTATATAATTTAAACAAGTTATTAGATTAAAAGTGTTTACAAGTATCATTAATGAATTGAATAATAGTAATATTGCTTAAATAGATTCATTAAATTTCTGCAAATGATAATATGCAATAATTTAAAAAAAACATGTAATCCATATGACAAAATCTATGAAACTCAATTTTAATGTCAAAAAAGCATTTAAATCAAAATCTATTGATTCTCTACAAAGAAGAAAAGTCAAAAAATTTAATGAGCATAACAAAAATAATGTGATTATAGCAAACACTATATTTAAATAACTAGTCTCAATATTGATATTTGAATTAAAATTAAATTGCAGTGATTTAAAGCATATGGAACATAAAGGAATCTATAAATAAATTGGTTGAAGTTAAAAAATTATTGAACTTAGATTTAAATAAGGCAAAAATATGTTTGCTCTTTTTTTCGTTTTATTCTTCCGTTTCAATTCAATAAATAAAAACAATGGAATCATATTAAAAATTATGCATAGTAGCAAGGATATTAAATATTCAAACTCAGGTGTATTTGTAGAAATTATTAAATCAGGCCGAGCTATCATCTCAATATACCAAAATTAATTAATTGGTGTTAATATTTACTCATTTAATTTAGGATTTTAGTTTTTTTGATAATTTTAAAAGAGCATCGGTTAAAGTAATCCTAAAAAATAAAAACCTCTTAATATAAATTTGTTCACTTTAATGTTATGATAGAGGTTAAGTATTGAATTTATAAATTATTCTTTTGCTTCAAATTTTCCTTTTTCTTTTTAATTCTTCATTGATCGTCTAATTCAAATTTAATATTTAATTTTTTGAGGTAAGATTTTAGAGAAATTATTATAAAAAATGCAAAATTATTAAAAATAATATTTCCTTTAAATCGAAAGAATTTAGGAATTATAGATGTCTAAATAGCCTTGATATGAAACAATTTTGTAAGTTTCTAATATTTGAATCCTCTTTAGATTTAAACAATGCTCTTAACTTATGAAATTTTTAAAGAAAATAAAATTAACTTGATATAAATGGATTTTTCAATAAAAAGAAGTGAAAACAAATCGTAACATATTGATAATGTTAATTTGGAATACTACAGGATAGGATAAATTTAGAACTTCATAAAAAATATTATAAGTTTATTAATTTAGTATATTTTTATGCGATTGAAGATGTGAAAATCATTTTAAGAAACAGTTTATTGATTAGAAATCCATAAAATTAAATGGCAAAAAGAAATTCCAATTAATGTAAATTGCTTATAAAAAAGATAGTGATTAGTATCACTATAAAAATGATTATAACTAAATTTTGGGTTTGATTATTTTGCAATAAAAGTAAAATTAGATCTTAATGTGAATGAGACATTACATTTATTAGTTAGTTGATTTAGCAATTTAATAATTTAATAGTAAATTATCTTTGCTTATACATTACCAATTCAATTAGTTATTAAGAAATATTTATACATCATCTCTCTTAAAATAAAAAGAGCATTAGAATTAAATTATATTAACTTAACTAATTATTTTATGTTTTTAATTATTTCTATTTTTTTCTTAACTTTTGCAAAAGATTCTCCTGATCCTAATGATGCCTTTCTTAATTAATCAATAGCAGTGGTTTTAGGAGGATAATAAAAGCATTATTATGACAATAACATTGTTGTCCATTCATCAACTACAAACTATGAAAATAAATATTAGGATGTTCCTTCTAATTATTTCGATGATGATGATGAAACATCTGATTTTGTAGAATAGCTATCTCCATACGATTATAATTAAGAAATAGACTTGAATGATTTAAGAGTATCTAGAATATATTAAAACGTAAATAAAAAGGAAATAATGCCTTTAATAATACCTGAAGGAAACATGAGTAATTATGCAGTAAAAAAATACTTAGGAGATGGTACATTTGCATTTGTTTAAAGCGGAATAAGGTTAACAGATGGTATAGGTGTGGTTTTGAAATAAATAAAATCAAAATACCTTTGGTGGGCTCGAATGGAAGCACATATAATCGATTAATTGAATGAGGAAAAGAATGTTTCAGTAGTGAGATTGATAGATATGTATATGAATAATACAAGTCCTGTTTTAGTGTTTTAGGAATTATAAAATAGTAAGACATTGGATTATCGTATATATTCATTATATCATGATTTGAATTTGGAAGAGATAAAGCGATTTTATTTATAGTTATTTTATGGTTTATATGTAAGTCATAAGAAAGGGATAATGCATTTGGATATAAAGCCATCGAATATAATAGTATCAGATGATGAAATATAAATAATAGATTGGGGGGTGAGTGATTTTTATTATCCATTAAAAGAATATAGAACGAGAGTTGGTACTCGTCATTATCGTGCTCCAGAATAATTGATTCATTATAAGAATTATGATTATGCAGTAGATGTTTGGGCATTGGGTTCAATATTAGCATCAACGATATTTAAAAAGTATCCATTCTTTAAAGGAAAGAACAATGACGATTAATTATTATAAGTGGTAAGAGTATTGGGTTCTAAAGACTTTTTTATGTTTTGTGAAAAGTACAATATAAAAATAGGATAAGAGTTATAAAGAAGATTAGAAGGATATGAAAGAAAGGCATTAGAGAGTTATATTAATGAAGAGAATAGAGAATTAGTTAGTCCAGAAGTAATTGATTTATTAAACAAAATATTTGTTTATGATCATAGAATGAGAATATCAGCAGAAGAAATAGTTTAACATGAATTTTTTAGAAGATGATGGTTAAATTGTAAAATTGATTTTGTTTAGTGTGATTATTATTATTATTATTATATAAATAGTTCAAATAAATTATAAGATTATGATGAATGTTCTCTAATCTAACTAACTGTCACCTTTTATCACTTAAAAAATAGTTAAGAAACCTACAGTTCTAATGTAGCCTAATTAATTAAAGAAAAGTTAAGTGGATGCTAAGCCTATAAAATTCTTATAATGGGATGATGACAACAAATTAATTAAGTTATGTTTAGATCTCAAAAAATATGTAAATTATATTAATTATTGAATTAGAATTCTTTATTTAGAACTGGTCCAGCTTCATTTATTGTATATATAGCTACTAAATCAGAAACAAATTAAATTTCTAAAATGAATTTAGATAAGGGTTTACCTCTAATAGATACTACACTAAAAAAAGGGATTTATATTTGGAATCATGTTATATACAATGAACATAAGAACATTTAATAATATTAACTATTATGTATATTAGGTGAACAAATTAAAGAGAAACAGTTGAGAAGATAAACTTTAAATTTAGTGGATAATAGTAATGTGTTCATTCATGCAGATACTATATTAATGACAGTAGCATCTCTTTTAGCTAGTGAAATTGTATTTCTTATAAATAATGATGATGATGAGATTTTGGAAAACTTTTATTAAATCACATCAAATGATTAACAAAGTTATTATAAATTATAGGTTATCAATTTTGTTGATGGTTTATCTTGTAGCATTGATCAATTTAAATGGTATCAAATATATAATAATATTAAAATTACGATCATTGAAGAAACTCATTATTTCAATGTATCAAATTCATCTTTTGTTGATAATCCTACAGAGATTATTAATAATTGGGCATTAGAATTAGAAATGTCCTTACAAAAAAAAATTTATTCATCTTATGAAATTGATTTTCTAACATTCCTTTCTATTGCTGAAATTATTACTAAAAGTTCTATGTCAGAATTATCAAAATTAGATGTCTAAGAAAATATGTAATACCTTCTATTATTCTATAGTTTCTTTAAAGCTATTCAAAAATAAATCAAATATGAAAAAGATTATATTGAAAGCATTTATTATAAAGAAATCAGAGAATTCTGTTCTATCTCAGATGAAGTCACTGTTGACTCTTTGACATCTAAACTTAATTAAATGAGAGAATAAGCTATGTCATTATATTATATTCAATTAGGTCAATTTTATGATAATCCTGATTATAATAAATTTTAATCGGCTATCTAATAAAAAATCGATCAACTAGAATTAGAATGCATTAGGTATAATTTTGAATTAATGGATATGTACTATTATTTAAGTTATTTAGATCACTTTAGTGAATTAAGCTAATAATTTGATAAAATAGATAAAAAATATAAGGATTCATTCCCTGATTCCTATACCTTATTTTTGAATGAAATTCTTAAATTTAGAGAATTTAGGGGATTAAAATATTAAAATATTTAATAAAACTTATCAGGAACTTACAAATCTAAATTATATTCATATATCACAGAATACAATAATAAATAAAAAATACTCTATGATAAACGTATGTAAACTTAAAATGAAAAACAATACTAATTTCTTAAGAAAAGAGACAAAGAAGTTATCAGAGGATTGGAAATTCTATAAAATTACACAGAATTAATGAGGGATGAAATTGGAACCCTCAAAAATCTTATTGATGTAACTTATTTGTATGTAATATTAGTTCAATAATCAAATCAATATTGTTGTTAAATATAAAAAAGAAATCAGAAAATTGGATGATGAAATAAGATAATTATAATTATAAGCCGATAAAATTTAGATTAAAAAAAAGTAATCATGAGTTTTGATTCTCAATTCTATATAAAATCAACATCTAATTAGTTAAGAAATGAATTTGTAATTAGACATCCCTTCTTGTCCATTAATTCTGTCATTTTAATACTCTTATTCACTGAAGTCTCAACCTTAATCATTTTTAGAATTCAATTTTAATGATTAATTAATTTTTTGTTTTCAATTAACTTATTCTGAATTTCCCTTTTAATTTATTCATTAATTTAGATATTTTGATTAAGGATAACTTTATGGATAAGTAAAATTTCTACTTGAATCGTTTCTTTATAGATAAAAAAAACAAATCAAATACATTTTGGGAAAAAGATTTTAGAAAATTGATATCAAATGAAAGTAATTTCACACTAAACAACGATAATTGTATTTGCTTGTATAAAAAGGGAAAATATTTCAATAAATTCATTCCTAGATATTATACTATATAAGGAACCTATTTGTTTTATGGAGATAAAGTATAATCTGAAGATATATTATCATATAGGATTTAAAAGGTTTTAGAAAATTAGAAAATGTGTATATGTCAACATAATTAGGTAAGAATATATATCCATATTAAATTGAACTGATGCATAATCATAATTAGATTGTGTTATAGACTAATTCTGAATAAGATTTCACTTAATTTAAATCGTAGTTAGAATAATTTTGCATCTTAGTCGGATTTCAGAATGAATACATAATAATCACTCAGATAGGTTTTGGATCCACTGCCTAAGTAAATCTATTAGATATTGAAGGTGTTTGTTTCAAAATCTTTAAGTGATGGTTCTCACTACGCTATAAAAAGAATTAAGAAAAATTCTAAACTGAATCCTTAATTTTTAATGGAGGAAATACAAGTATTGAATGATCTATCACATCCAAATATAATTAAATTACATAGAGTATTTGAAACTAATTGTATTTAATTATATATAGCTTTTAGAACATATTAACATGGTTTTATAATTAGTGGAAGGAGGTGAACTATTGAAAAGTTAAAGATATAATATACGTGATGCAAGAACAATCTTTAAATAATTGGCAGAATGTGTAGATTATATGCATTAGAAAGGTGTAATGCATAGAGATTTAAAACCTTAGAATATATTATGCAAGACGAATTCGTTGGATATAGTTTTAGCTGATTTTGGTCTTGCCACTTATATAAAAGCTAAATCTCACATTTATTATAGATGTGGTACAACAGGTTATGTAGCTCCAGAAATATTGTAATACAAAGAAGGAAATAAAATGTATACAGAAAAATGTGATATCTTTAGTCTTGGAGTTATTTTATATCAATTGTAAATTATTTGTTATTTACTTTTAGAATATATAATTAACATCCATTTAAAGATCATTAAAAGGAAAAGATGTTAAAAAATAATCTTAATGTTGAATATAAATTTGATGATACCATTAAAATTCCATATAGTTGTAAAGATCTTATTTCTTTGATGTTAAAACAAAATCCTAAATTAAGACCAAGTGCTTCAGAAATTCTAAAACATGAATTCTTTGATGAATAATTCTTTGAGCATCAAAATCAAACTTACACTCTTCTAGAAGTATAGTATAAATAATCATTATTTGAGTTCTGAATAAAAACGTTCTGGACCTTCTTTAAGTAGTTATAATGTTGATATGAAATTTTCAACTCTCAATAATGGATTTAAATTATTTGAGGATGAAGTTGATTCTCATGAACGTGAAGATGCAGATTTAATTGAAACATCACCTCTTTGGTCTAAAAAAATTGAATTATAGAGATGTCAATCATATCGTTCTTAAGCTAGCTCTATTGTTATTTAAAGGCAATAATCTTAAGATTTTAAGACCAAAAAATTGTCTATATTCAGATCAGAATTAAAATAATAATCTCTTTAAGTTCTTCAACCATAAATGGATAAATCATCTTCAGATTCATACGATTATCATCAAATACCCTATATTATCTAAACTAATATGCTTTTGGTTCATAAATAAAAATATTATTGAATTCACTATCTGAATTATAAATCTATATATCTAATTCATATGAATAATTACTTTTCTAAACTTAATAATAGTATTTTATAAATACCTAAAAATAATATTATAAATTCTTAATTATTATCTTTCAAAATAATATATATTTTCTATACACCATAAATTAAATTTTAAAATTAATTTAGACCATTTGAGATTGAAATAAAAAATTACGATTTTATGAATCTATACATCCTTAAAGTAGTAAAAAATATTGTACATTTTATCAAATTATTAAATTATGATAAATCAAAAATTTTTATTTTTAAGTTTATTTCGCTTCATTTAATCATATAGAAATTCTGATTTTTATCTATCTTAATAAAAATTTTAAATCATAAAAAGATAAAAAACTTTTGTATTTTATAATAAGAAAAAACAAATTTGTTAAAATATTTATACTTGATTCTCGTGCATCATTTTACTAATTCTTTCATGTTTATATTCTTAATTGTGTTATTCTAACAGCCATTGTAGAATTTTTATAATTAATAAAAGTATATAGATGTTATTATAAACTCCTTTTAAACAAAATTATATTAAATAATCTAAAATGTCCATCAATTTATATTGATTATCAATAAAAAATTTTAGTGACATAAATATCATTTCTGAAGAGCTGAGATTCAAAAATTCTTATATTTAAATCTCGCTTCTTTTGAAATATTTCTTAAGTTTAAATTCTCAAATATAATCATATATATTTTAATATTCTTAAAGTAAATCTAAAACAAATTTGATTTATTATTAAAAACTTTAAAATGAATTCAAAGCCTTAACATTAGACCAATAGAAAAATCTCTAATCAAGAATAAATAGGTAATCCAAAAAAACCTAAAAACAATGGTTAAAATTAATTCGAGTCTTAGAATGAAATAAGAACTGAATTTATAATTAGATAGATGGAATACGAGGAATTATATAAATTTTCTAATTCCTAGAGTGAAAATTAAGTAAATATTTCAGAGAGAAAAGATCATCAATAAAACAAATTTAGAAATATTATCAATGATGCTAAATTAAGATATATGAACTCTTATTCTTAACCAAGCTAATACTACATCGAAAAGTAAGAAAGCTCCATAAGATAAATAATAGAATAATAAAGAAATTAAAAGAGACTTCTAAGCAAAATCAATAAAGATAACCCTTAAAATACCAATTAAATCAATTTAAATTTGATTCTTCTCTTATTTATCCCAATACTCTGCTTAATTGTTCTAGTATCCGAATTATTCAATAAAAATTAGACAATCATATGATATTATATAAAAATGTATTAAATCTTTTATTAAAAATGAATTAATTTTATTTAATTTAAAAAAATTATCTTGTTTAATTTAAACTTATGTATTTAATTAATCAATTATTCCAATAGCAAATAAAATTTAATCTAAAAATATTAAATATTACTTAATTAGTTAAGTTTTCCAGTTCAAATTTTTTATATTCATTCTCAAAATTTTCTTTATTCTTTCCTAGAAATAAAAAGAGATTAGATTAAAAATTAAGCTGAATATTTTTCAATGATTAAAAGTTTATTTTGTACATGGTGAAAAAATATTAAGTATTTTTTTTTTATAAATACAGAAATAATTATTAAAAATTTGTGTGAGATAATAAGAAGAAGTATTAATGATCATAAAAAAATTTAAAAGCATTATTATTTATATTTATTTAGAGATGGTTCCAAATAGAATTGAAAGACATTCACGATAACATCAAAGTGCACCTATACTCTTAAATCATAAAGTTACATATCTCTAATTTTAACGAGAAATATCATAATAAGAAATCACAAAAGATCTTCTAGACAGATAAAAAGAATATGATAAGCTTAATAAGGTTTATATTCCTCTAAAATCCAATAAACTTCGATCTTCTTAAAAAAAATCAAAATTTTATTAAATGAAAGAAGCTGTGAGAGAAGCAAAAATTAAGTTTTTAGAAAATACTACTTTTAATTAAAAAATGTTAAAAAATAACACTCAATATTTTTAATAATAGAAAAACTCCATTTCATTGATTGCACAAATTTTTCGAAATTAAAAAACAACTCTAAATTTAAGATCGAATTGTAATAATTAAAGAAGAAATAAATGGAATCTAGAATTGATGCTAATCGTCACACTTCCTACGATTTGTCTCTTAGTGATAATATTTGAATCTATATTTTGAATTGAAAAATTAATAATTAGAGGATTTCGATTTTNTTTGATTCTTCTCTTATTTATCCCAATACTCTGCTTAATTGTTCTAGTATCCGAATTATTCAATAAAAATTAGACAATCATATGATATTATATAAAAATGTATTAAATCTTTTATTAAAAATGAATTAATTTTATTTAATTTAAAAAAATTATCTTGTTTAATTTAAACTTATGTATTTAATTAATCAATTATTCCAATAGCAAATAAAATTTAATCTAAAAATATTAAATATTACTTAATTAGTTAAGTTTTCCAGTTCAAATTTTTTATATTCATTCTCAAAATTTTCTTTATTCTTTCCTAGAAATAAAAAGAGATTAGATTAAAAATTAAGCTGAATATTTTTCAATGATTAAAAGTTTATTTTGTACATGGTGAAAAAATATTAAGTATTTTTTTTTTATAAATACAGAAATAATTATTAAAAATTTGTGTGAGATAATAAGAAGAAGTATTAATGATCATAAAAAAATTTAAAAGCATTATTATTTATATTTATTTAGAGATGGTTCCAAATAGAATTGAAAGACATTCACGATAACATCAAAGTGCACCTATACTCTTAAATCATAAAGTTACATATCTCTAATTTTAACGAGAAATATCATAATAAGAAATCACAAAAGATCTTCTAGACAGATAAAAAGAATATGATAAGCTTAATAAGGTTTATATTCCTCTAAAATCCAATAAACTTCGATCTTCTTAAAAAAAATCAAAATTTTATTAAATGAAAGAAGCTGTGAGAGAAGCAAAAATTAAGTTTTTAGAAAATACTACTTTTAATTAAAAAATGTTAAAAAATAACACTCAATATTTTTAATAATAGAAAAACTCCATTTCATTGATTGCACAAATTTTTCGAAATTAAAAAACAACTCTAAATTTAAGATCGAATTGTAATAATTAAAGAAGAAATAAATGGAATCTAGAATTGATGCTAATCGTCACACTTCCTACGATTTGTCTCTTAGTGATAATATTTGAATCTATATTTTGAATTGAAAAATTAATAATTAGAGGATTTCGATTTTATATAAATATTATCATTTTTTTTTTCTAATTATTTATACTTTTTTTGTATTGGAATATAGAATTTTGAATTTTTTTTTACCAAATTCTAAAGAAATCTCAAATTAGTCAGAAAACAGTCATAGTTATAATTTATTTAGAAACTTAAAAATTTAAAACAGAAATATTGTTCTTTTTACTCTTTGTAATTCTATTTTTGAAGTTAATTTGAGAACAAAATAAGCTCTAAAACCTTTATTTCAACAAATTTATTTTATCGAAATCCAAATAACATCTTTATACTTATTTTTTAAAATCATTTTTTTAATTTAAACCATTCTATGAGCTTAAACAAATATAGTTTTACTCTAGATTTATAATTCATATCCTTTAATTAAAAGTTTCTTGGTAGTATTAAAAATAGGAGCTTAATATTAGTAAAAATTTAGAATTCATTTTTATTTGACTACCTGAAAGTTAAATGGAATAGTTTTCTCATCTATTTATACTATGTATTTTACTTTATAAAATGTTAATTTTCGAAATTTTTATTAGATATATCAAGATATAATCAATTTAATGCTATTAAGTATAAATAGTAATATAATAATAATATTTTAATTATATTAAAAGTTTATGTATAACGATTGAAAAGATAGACCTCAATTTTAATAACCTTAATTTGATTTTTTTTCAACAATAATTTTTAATTTATCTATCATATAGGTATTCAAGATATAAATTTAAAATGTAATAGAAATTATCAAGTTAAATAGTTCCATTAATTTAAAAAAAAAAAATTGTTTTAGAGTCTTCTCGCCAGTTTTATTTTAATATTTTCATTTATAAATATTTTGTTTCAAAATTCCCTTGTAACAAAGGAAATATAATTTCAAATCTTAATTTTTTTGATTATTTTTTTTTTTAGCTTCTAACAATATTTTTCCCTGAAAATTTGATTGATGATATATGAACAATTTAGTAGGCTAAAAAATATTGTTGTTATATATAATAAATGTAGGTTAACACTAAAAAGTTAATAGTTTGATAGCATTATTGATGACTAATAGAAGATTTTTTTATATATTTCTAAACTTCAAATTCTTTTTTCCGTCAAGCGTTTAGACAGTTTTAATCGTGCTTATGACATAATCAGCATAAGCTTACATAAAGTAATTTTGTTTTACATTATCAGCAGTTCAGACAATATAATAATTATTGCTGTAGTTATAAAAATATGTGATAACTATAGAGATAATTATAAATTTAAGTAAAGATCCTTAAGCTATATGAACAATCAAAATAAGTGATTTAATATCTTATATAATATATTCATTTATTAATTATAAGAATATCATTTCATTATAATATTTGTAAAATATTATATTCAAGGAATTGCTTATATTCTAATTCGATTGAATTAAAAGTATTTATTTTAAACAATTTTTTGATTTTCAGTAGTAGTTTAAGGAGTGTTAAAAAATAATTTGATGGATTGAAATCTCAAATTTGAATTTCATTAAAATAAGAGATTCTTAAAAATTGTGATGAAGAGCTTGAAAAAAATGGTAAACTTAATATTTATCATATTTTTCATCTTTAATAAGAATTGATTTGTAAAAAATATAAGATTTTCTTATGTGATTAATAATGATGAAATATTTAATGTTGTAATATTTTATAAATATTTTTAATATTAAATGCAATAACGACCAATAATTAATAGAGATTTATAAGAAAAAAGAGATGTAAATAGTAATGTAACAATTAGAAAGCAGCAAGATCTTTGCACAATTATAAAAAGAGTGTAGAACTTAATTATTAAGAGTATGTTTCTTAAACATCTGAATAATAAATGAATGATTTTGAAAGTTTATCAAGACCTTCAGTAAAGAGTATGCCTGTTAAGACAAGAGATTTGTTAAATAAATATAAGGCTTAACTTGAAATATAACCAAAATTTCAAATAGTGTCAAAACCAAGTTAATAATTAGAAATAAAGAAAAATTAAGAAAATGAAGATCATTAATAAAGTGTTTCTTCTCCACGTTCAGAACCTCCAAAGAATCCTTTTGAAGATAGTCGTAAAACTAAATAGGATGAAACGAATATGTCTTTTAGCAGATAAAAGGAGGTTAAATTACCTGATAGTCAAATTCAAGAAGATATAAATTAAACTGATTAAGAAGGAAAGAAGAATCCTTTTGAAAATTCAAGTTTAATGTAATATACTTAAACATAAATGCTTGATCCGTATGCAAAAACGATATCTGATAGAAATTAAGTTAATAACTATACAAGTTAAGAGAGTAGTAATATTTAGAATTTAAGTTAAACTCAAGAGAAATCAGTAGATTCTGAATAATTCTATGACACAATAGAGGAATAAGGATAATTTTAATAATCAGATAAAGTCAGTATGGGAACTTAATGTTAAAAATTTGAACATAATTATTAACAATCTTCAAGAACTTATAATAGTATAAAGGAAGAGATTTAAGATGAATTAAGTAGTATGACTCATTCATCTCATTAAGATAATAAAGCTCATTATTAATCTAATCAAAGTCCAATTTATGAAAGTATTGATTAAGAGTCATAATTGGTTGAAACTACTTAGAGATGGAGTTAGTATCAAACTATTCCATAAAATACAGCTTAATTCAATCCAAATGTATAACCAACTATTATTGAAGTTAAATAAGAATATAATAATTCTTTATAAACTAAATAAGATTCCTCAAATAATGATATTAGTTATGGCTAATCTTTCGATTAGGCATAATAATCTAGTTAACTTAATAATTAAATTAATTCCAAAATTATTGAAAAAGATTCATCAAAAGAACCTGTTATTTTTAATAATTAAATAATTTCTAAAAAACTATCTCAAGAATTAGTTATTGATATGGAAAAATTTGAAAAAAATAGCCACTTATTGAATAGTATTAATAAAACTTAATTATTGTTTATTATTGAAAAATATTTCGATTATATGATTGAATAAAATAATAGAAATTTATTGCAAGAATTTAGATTGTTAACAAAGTTATAATTACACATTTATAAAAAGAATCATTTAATCTTAAATAAGTGTATGAAATAATTTCAGATTTATAAAAATAAATAATTAATAAAATATGAGAAAGAAAGAATATCTAGACATTTTCTATTTTTAAATTAATAAAAATTAAAACAAAATGTATTCTTAATACTTAAACAAAATAGAATTGCATAGTAATAATTTATTTAGAATTTGATACGATTAATGAATAACCATAAATAGAAGATATTTTTGAATAGATGGAAAAATTAGGTTTACAAACAAAAAATGAAAAAGTAAATGGATCTATAGTATAAATAATTTTTATTTACTGCTTGGTTAAATGTAGTTAAAAGGGAGAGAAAAGAAAAAGATATAAAATGCTTAACAAAATATTATATATCAACAATAAAGAAATATTATCAATCTTGGAAATATTTTACATATTAATAATAAAGACTTCAATCTAAATTTTTGAATGCATATACAAATGTTAATTTATTGAAGAAAAAATTTATATTGTTAAAATGGATTAATTTCGTTTAAGAAATCAAAAAAGAAAAAGAATTTGAAGCTTATGCTAAATAGGCTAATGAATACATTCCTGTTAAGGTAAGTCTAAAACCTTAAAATATAAAAATCTATAATATCAAATGAATTAATATTTATTATTTATCACTAATTAAATCATATAAGTAACATTTATGCCAATTAAATTTGGCTTTTTCATTAATAATAAAATGCTATATAATTTTGATATTCCATTACATCTAAGTCCTTAATACTAAATAAATTAATCACAATAAAATAATAAAGGTTAGAAGAATGTTTCAATTTAAAAATCTCTGAGTCAAATTTCGAATTTTGAACTTCAATAAACTAATGATATAAAAAACAAGTTATTACCTCTTTTAAATAATAAACTCAAATAAAGGAATTCATTCAAATTAGGTGTATAAAGTCCTAGATTAATATAATTATAAAGTGACAACTCAATTGATGATTAAAACAAAAGAATTGTTCTTAGATAGTTACCTTCAATATATTTAAAACAAAATAATATTGTGAAATCTAATTATTCATAAGATAAGATGAGTTTGAGTCCTCAAAAATAGGATATAAATCAAATAAGCAAAAGAATTTTTACTGATGGATCAGATATCTAATAATCAGATAGGTTAAGCCTTAGAAAACTAAATGAATTACTAAATAGTCATAATGTTAAAATCCCTTAGCCAAATAAAACATAACTTTTTCCAGAAGTTTAAGAACTTTAAGATTTACCTAAATAAATGGAACATATTTTTAAGAAAAACAACATCAATCCAATAAAAATTAAAGCAAATTTGAAATTTTACAGTCCAAGAGAAAAGAAAAACACAACTTAATCAATTGATTCTTTGATTAAGTTATTAAAAAAATGATTTAAAATATAATAAATCTCAATTCTCATCGTATTAGAATATATTAAAATTCAATAAGCTTATCTTAGAATATTAATTTTTGTCTTTAAGAAATAATATAATTTCTGTCAAATTAAAAAATAATACATAAAATAACACTATTTAATAATATTTTATATAAGATAGCTATTTTCTATAATAAATTGATAAATACATTTCTAGAACTATAATTAAATGTGGGTTTTTTAGAGAATGTAATCTAATTATATAAAACTTGAAAATAGTTAAACAAAATATTATTTACTTTACTAATTATGCCCATGAATGAATTATTATTGCTGTAAATATATTAGTTTATTTCTCATCAAATGAACATTAATTTTAAGTAGTAATTTATTTTTAATTGCTTCTTAATTTTAGAAATTTTTTGATGAAATATTTATGGAGTTAAGTTTTTTATATTATCATTTACATTATGATATAATAAAATTGGAGATCTTTGTTTATGCTTGGATATCCTGGATTCATTAAATGATGAACATTCTTATTGTTAATTTGTCTCTACTTTATTAATATTTAATTAACTACTGTATCATTTTAATATAGAAGATTATGCAATTCAGGAAAAATGTAGTTTTTTAATATATAATTACTTAAATGATACAAAAAGGACAACAAACTTTTAATTTACTTCAAGATATAATGATTTAAGTGTATCTCACTAATTGATAGATTTGAATGTGAACATTTGCTTCTAGTGTCAATATTTAGCATTTCTAATGTATGGGATCTCTTTGAAAAATAAGTTAGAATTAAGTTTTCCTATTCATGGATGAAAATCATTCATAAGATTTATATCTTAGCTTTTCTTTATTTAATGTATTTAAGAACTTAAATAAATTATATCATGAAAACCAGATTAAATAAAAGAAAACATCAAGTTTTATTNCCAATAAAAATTAAAGCAAATTTGAAATTTTACAGTCCAAGAGAAAAGAAAAACACAACTTAATCAATTGATTCTTTGATTAAGTTATTAAAAAAATGATTTAAAATATAATAAATCTCAATTCTCATCGTATTAGAATATATTAAAATTCAATAAGCTTATCTTAGAATATTAATTTTTGTCTTTAAGAAATAATATAATTTCTGTCAAATTAAAAAATAATACATAAAATAACACTATTTAATAATATTTTATATAAGATAGCTATTTTCTATAATAAATTGATAAATACATTTCTAGAACTATAATTAAATGTGGGTTTTTTAGAGAATGTAATCTAATTATATAAAACTTGAAAATAGTTAAACAAAATATTATTTACTTTACTAATTATGCCCATGAATGAATTATTATTGCTGTAAATATATTAGTTTATTTCTCATCAAATGAACATTAATTTTAAGTAGTAATTTATTTTTAATTGCTTCTTAATTTTAGAAATTTTTTGATGAAATATTTATGGAGTTAAGTTTTTTATATTATCATTTACATTATGATATAATAAAATTGGAGATCTTTGTTTATGCTTGGATATCCTGGATTCATTAAATGATGAACATTCTTATTGTTAATTTGTCTCTACTTTATTAATATTTAATTAACTACTGTATCATTTTAATATAGAAGATTATGCAATTCAGGAAAAATGTAGTTTTTTAATATATAATTACTTAAATGATACAAAAAGGACAACAAACTTTTAATTTACTTCAAGATATAATGATTTAAGTGTATCTCACTAATTGATAGATTTGAATGTGAACATTTGCTTCTAGTGTCAATATTTAGCATTTCTAATGTATGGGATCTCTTTGAAAAATAAGTTAGAATTAAGTTTTCCTATTCATGGATGAAAATCATTCATAAGATTTATATCTTAGCTTTTCTTTATTTAATGTATTTAAGAACTTAAATAAATTATATCATGAAAACCAGATTAAATAAAAGAAAACATCAAGTTTTATTAAAAATGTAGATAAAATTAGTGAAATTTCAAAAATTTTCGTTACTTTGATTTTTAATCATAAAATATTATTTTTTAAATTACAACTTTATTTTATTAAAATAATATAATTATTAATTAATAAGAATTTTATCTGTAATTATAATTTTAAGATTTTTTTCTATATATACACATTTTTAAAATTTAGGATTTATTGAGGTATATGAATGGGATCGACATAGGCGTCACAAAAAAAAGTTAATATTAATTGGTAAAAAAAGATAAAAGTAAGAAAATTAAAAAACTATTTTTAGAAAACTTTGATTTATATTTTTATAAATTCAATTATTTAATTTTAATTGCTTTACTAAGTCTTATATTAAAGAATCCTATTAAAGTTCATCAATAATTCTTAGAATAGTATTTGTTTCATTTGGACTTAATTACAAATTGAATTTGAATTGACAATTATGTAATAAAAACATAGTGTCTATCTAAAAATAAAAATTTTAATTACAGGACAAATAGGAAAGGCAAATAAAATTAAATTCTTTAATGCTTCTTAATCAATTTCTGTCAAAAGAACTAAATTAGAAATAATTACTAAAAGTTATCTTTAAACTAAAGTATTTGAAACTGGGATCATATTAAAAAGCTAATTTATATTACAATTTGTAGGAATTATTTATTATCCTGTTAAATTAGTATAGATGAATAAACTTATTAATTATAATTCTTCACTATCTGATTCCTTTATTTGTAATTAAGCAATGTCACATGGAATTATTTGTGATAATTCTGCATACAACCAATATATTTAAATCAATTAATTTTTATCAAGTTTATTTTCATTTTTCTTCACATATTATATTAAGTATTGAGGTAATTCTGATTAACCTATCTTTATCAATACTTAATTTAATAAAGAAGTCTCATTGTGAATTGCATATAAAATATTATTCAATGCCCATATTGCTTAAAATAACAATCTTTTTTGCCCAAAAATTATCTAATATTATAAAATATCAATTAAATTTGCTTAAAATGCACTAATAAATCCATTATTACATGAAATATTACCTAATTATTTTATATATATATATTTATACCTATAAAAGCAAGAATTTTATCTAAAATTTAGTAAGAAAGTGCTTGATTAATATGATTGTTGTACTTTTCCATTAATTTATAAAGTGTTTACAATATGTTAAACAATTCTTACGTTGAATTGCTAAACAAACTTAATTTTACTAAAATATTTAAACATTCATTATGTAAAGCAGAAGTATCATCTTCAACTTTTAACTTAAACAGTGTTTCAATTAAATGAACTAATTTAATTTCTTATTCTTAATTGAAGTGATTTTATTCATAGATTTACTTTAAGTAATTTTTAATATCCTTTTTACTATAAATTGTAATTGCACCATTAAGAAGATGAAGTGTTTTATCCAATTCAACTTCATTAATGTTTTACTACAACATTTTTTTTCTATTATTTTGAAATAAAGTCTCTCTGTCAATACGTTTAACATTCAGAGCAAATATCTCTCGTTTTTTTTATAAGCTCAATGTTGTGTTATTAATCATTAATTAATTAATTAATCATAGAATAATTTCCCGCTTCAAATTTGTGAATTATGTTATAATAATATTCTAAAAAAACTGTAACTAACATTCTAAAGATTTCAATTACGTTTTCATATTTAAATTAAAATTAAAATAAAAAATACCTAAAAAGTTTATTATTATTTAAAAAAAACAAAAGTTATAGCCATTTAAAGTAATTTGTTTACTAAATTTCATCATTAAATTAAGAATAACAAACAATATATTATAAATGGTAAAATGTAAATGAATAATTATGTCATTTATTCTAAAAATATTTTTGGCTAATTTAATTGAATTCTTGCAGCCATTTAGTTTTAAATTTATCACCATAATCAAAATATAATTCTTCCCCTACCTCAATATCCTTAGTTGCAAGCCTAAAAATATTCTTAAATGCATTACATTCCTATTTTCCATCTACCTTCTGAAAATAATATAATAGCTTAGCAATTAGCTGTTTCTGATTAATTAGTTGCATGATTAATGAATCTTAGATTATTACTATAATAAGTTCCATCTACTTGCCATTTATCATCAATTTCAAATAAATAATGCTTTCCAGTGAGCATATTGCATTCTAAATGAATTAAAGTTATAAATTACATTCAATAATAAAGCTTTCTTCATTAAGGAGAAGATAACTGCCTCTATATTCTCCAATATATTCATAAGGTTTGAAATGTTATGCAGCAAATAAGCCTAAGCCATTACATATTAATGATTTTCCTAAGATTAATTACTTAGATTTTCCCATCAATAAATTAACATTATTGCAATTAAGACATTTGCAAATAGCAGGATCACATTCAAATCCTTAATTGAAACAAGAACATAAATATTTACGTTTTTTTTCATCATATCCACAATATTTACAATCACATCTTTTAATTTGTTTTTCACATTTACCTTAACAACAACAATATTTAGGACACATAATGCAACTACAATCATCATCTTTACAGCTTCCTTCATGAAAGCATGGAATATATTATTATTATTAGTAATTACTGACATTTTACAGTTTTTATGAAAATTAATGACCATCATAAATATCAGGTATTATTTATAGTTTTTTAATAGAATTAAATTTTGTGTTAGAATAATTTTTGATTATAGAGCTGATTTAATCACAATAAATCTTATAATTGGGATGCTTTAATATTTTAGCAATAAAACAGCAATTTATAAAGCCAAACTCAAGAAGTTGTTGAATAGATTTGATTTAAAACTTCTTTAATTTTTTTTTATCATTACAATAATATCGACCACATCTATCAGATTTAGTACATTTGATTTCAATTTCATATTTATTATTATTAGTATGATAATTGAGTACACATTCTTTTAAAACTTTTTGATTAGGTTTAAACTCAGTTTCATAAAAGTCATCAATTGATTTTATATTAATTTTGGTTTCATCTATAGGTTCTTTTTCAATAAACACTCTTTGATTCTTAGAACTATATAAGACTTAAAACTTAACCTATAATGCCAACTACACATATATAAATTGCATATGGGACAAAAATACCTATTGAATCTAACCAATTGATATTTTACAATAGATTTCATAGTGTATTTGCTTTGTAATTTTGATAAAAAATATAATTATATCTGATCAACTGAAATATTTAAAGCATCTGCAATCTCATTAAATTTGAATACATCTTTAATAGAATGAAATTAATCTTTATTTTTTTCAAGAAAATAGTCTAGAAAAACTTTTAGTTCATTTCTTAATATAGATTTACTTTTATCAATACTATCCTATTATGCTTATTCAATTATTTTAATTAATTCTTCTGTTTCTTCACATTATGACAACTCAACTGACAAGGGTGCTATGTAATTATTTAATTATACTCAATCTCTCAAGTAAAACTGGAGTAGGATTTTATAATCTTATATTTTATGGTATGCTTTTATAATGATTTGTCATTAAAGGAAGATTATCTCTGTTTTTTCTAATTTTAATATCAATTTCATAGTAGTTATTTCTATTTAGATTTATATTTATTCTTTTTCTTTAAATCTATTCATCTTGAAGATATTTGAATTATAAGTGTTGCACATATCGTTTAAAATTCCTGTATTCTAGAATTATGTCTTTTTTTTTCATGGTTAAAATTGTATTTAATTATAAATCAAATTTTATTAAAATGCTTTAAAGACATTCTGAAACTATTGAATATATGAGAGAATGCTTTAGATAAAAAATACTGAGAGAACAAAGAGAGGCCATCTTTAAAAATAAAAGAAAACCATTAGATTGTTAGAAACAATGTGTCTACAAGAATGATTCTTTAAATAACTAATTTAATTCTTTATAATTAGGAGATAGACAAAATAACAATGAAATATAAGTCAACACATTAGATAAGAATCATTAAGAGATGAATATTTAATAATAGATGCTTTAAATTTTAAATGCTGAATTTATAAATAATTTCAAATTAATTAAATTAGAAACCAATTTATTAGTTTCTTTGAAATAATTTCCAGCTTTTAGTAATGAAGAATAATTGACTCTCTGGTTTCAATTAATTGAATAGATTATAATATCATCAGACTTTTAAAACATTATTATAAATATAGCACAATTAGAATAAGTTATTAATTAGGCAATTTAATTAAAAAAATTTGATTCATTATTTAGAATTTTAAATTGCCTGCTGAAATTAGTATAATTAAATGATATTAGTATATTAAAATATTTTGAATGTGAGTAGATGTATGAATACTTAATATATGCATTACAAAATTAATAAATAAATGCAATAATAATTTGTGAAAAATTACTTGAAATTTCCTAATATGGAACAATATTCTTAATAAGACAAGGATTATTGGATTACATATACAATTTTTTTTTGCAAAACTTTTAATTCAAGAATTTCTTCATAATATTATTAGCAAAGATTAATTGTTTAAATGTGGAAGAAGTAGTAACTAATTTAATCAGATCAAAAATATTTAACGAAATAATGAATCTTCATGGAAGTGAGATAGATGGTCATGGATATAAATGTATAGGAGTTCTATTATAAAGTTTAATATAAAAAGTAAATAATAAAGATTTGTTAAATTAACTAATATACAATTCAAATTTGATGTGTATGTTATAATAGATTTTGGGTTTATATCATAATGAAGATCTGATATTAATGGGGATTCAAATATTATAGATGATCTTCAGTAAATCAAGTAAAGATTGTATACAGGAATTCAAAAAAGTAAAGTAATAATTTTATAAAATAGGATATTCCATAGATATTATTGCAGTTATATTTTTTGAAGAAGTTTTGTGTAGAGAATACCATTTCCGATAAGTTAAATTAATTAATTGAATATTGATGAAAAATTATGATTTATTTAAGCATGATAGTTAATCTTTTGAATAGAATTAATGGTGTTATAGAGGTAACATTAATTGTAATTTGAAGAGAGTCAGTTATTCTAATAATTTTAATAATGTTTAGCCGGTAACAATTGAGATCGTATGTATGATTCTTTTACCTAGCTATCCCACTGAATCGATTGAATTTATAGAGTATAAGGCAGATAACAAAATGTATGCGAAAGTATTAGCAACAACAAGAGAATCAAAGGAATCAGCATTATTATCTAAATTAGTCACATTAAGAGAATAGTAAATGGAAATATAAATCAATAGAATATCGACAATTGGAAGTCCTAGAACTACTGTCAAGACAGCCAGAGGAATGTCTGAACATCTTGGAGCAATTTCTCCACGTTCTTTTGGGAGAAGATTGGATGAAAAATTGCCTATGAAAGAATTGGGGGAAATTGCGAATTATTTTAATTCATTGACAGCCTAATAAGCAAAAACGTTATCAAAAAATTATGTGAATGAAATGGTGCGTTTGTAGTAGTGTATTGAGAAGAAGTTGAAAAGATGATGTTGTTAATAAATTAAATTACCAATGAATCAAAAGCCACTAAAGAGTATTCATTATCGAGTTGAGACACATATTGATTTTTCTTCGAAGGGCAAGATGTCATCTGTTGAGAGTAATTCTTAGCGTTACGGTTCCCCTAACAAATTGCCTTCTCTTCAAAACATATGCAGAACTATATAGGGTGAGGATGGAACGGTAATGAATGAAGATGAGGAGATCATAGGTCTTTGCCATGAGATCCCTTATGAGTAGGGCCAATAATGTGAGTAGTAATCGCACTACTAGAACTAAGTGGGTACTTGAATTAAATGAACGCAAAGATCTTAAACAATTAGAATAATGGACAGATGTATACTAATTTAATATTGTAGCTTATGGTTCAATAATTATAATAACAACAATATAGCAATATACGAGATTTCTATGAAAAAATGGAGTTGGTCTACACTGGTTCCATTACTTAACTAGGTCAACAACTTGCTATAAAGTGTATAGACTATCAGACAATGCTTGATAAAATATGGTCATCATTTACTCATGCAGTCAAAGAGATTATTGAAAAACAATCTGAAACCAATAGAAAATTGGAGAAAGATTGTCTATCAGAAACTGTTAAATTGCATCAAATGTACTAAAAAACATTGAATGATAAAGGTAGTAAGTTGTAAGAGGCTGAAAGATATTTGAAATAGAATTCTGATTAAAATGATAAAATGATTAAAGAGGGTAGATATTTGAGAAAGAAATGTTAAAAATTAGAATAAGAACTACTAAATATAAGAAGAGAATGTGATTTTCTTAAATTGTAGAATTCAGATCTTATCAGAGAAATTGATGCTATGAAAGTATTTATCAATCATTAAGTTGATCCATCTATCTACATTCATTAAAATATTGTTAATGCATAATAAATTGAAGAAAAATTTGCAGATGAATTGCAACATGCAAAAAAAGAGATGTTTGAAGATTTTAAACATTAATTTGAATAAAGAACTATGATATATGAAGAAATGTATTAAAAAAAATTAGATGATTTAGAAAGGAGAGATATTCTAAATTAAAATTAGGAAGATGAATAAATATTATAAGATTATTAATAAACTATTTTTAAGGATGAATGTGTAGGTAATTCAGTTACTTAAAAAACCTAAGAAACACATACTGATGATTTGCTTGAATTATAAGATGTAGGTGTTTAAACTATTTAATTTAAAAAAAAAGTATACGATTGGAGTACTTAAACACCTAGCATTGTTACATTTAATTAATCAGTTGAAGCAAACTTTTCTATGATTAAAAGGGAATGTATTCCCAGAAATAAAGAAGAATAGACATATTTAGAAATGTCCAGATATCCAATTTAAGTTTTTATTGATGATTATAATGAAATCAAACTTGTTTATAATAAAAATACATTTGATTAAGATTTAAATGATCTAATAGAATAGCTTGGATAGAGATCTAGATAATTATTTAATATATTGACAATGAAGGAAGAATTTCATTTAGATGATTTTCAATGTGTGAATTAATATGTCATTAATAGTTATAATATTTTTGTAAAATTGATTAGGAATTTAGAATCTTTAATTATAGAAAACAAATCAACTTTAGTAGAAAATATGATTTGTCTATATGAAACTTAAATAGATTCTAAATAATCCTATAGAAAATAGATTCATGCTGAAAAGAAATTAGATTTATTAATAACTAAACATTAGTTAACTTTGAAATAGGTTTAATTTTTGTAAAAATAAATTGTAAGAATTCATAAATATTTACCGAATTTTCAGATTGAAACAATTAAAAGATAAGCAATTAAAAGAAAAATATTTTTGGAATTTCCAAAGATTTAATCACCTGGTCCTAATCTTCTTCCACCTGAAAAATCAAATACAATATTCTTTTCTTCTTAACCTTAATTATAGATACCTCCTTAAATAAATTAATCTACAAGTTCATAGATATAAAAATCAGTCTTAGATATAGCTTAAAGTGAATCAACTGAACCTTAATAATTAAGAAGAGATTAATCAGTTGATCTTTATAGAGAACCTAGAGAAACTCCACCAATTAGTCCAGCTAAAAAACATCATTAAGTTTAAATATGTAAAATAAATAAATTAAATAATAATTAGTTTTTTAAGATACATTGGTACCACCAGATGATTCTTCTTCTGATGATGATTAAGAGATTGATATTGAAGCTTAATTGTCTCCGATAAAAAATTTATTATCTATAGAAAAAAAACTATTTGTAAATAAATGTCCATCCAAAAATACATAAACAGCTACTTAACTTCTATTATAAGAGATTTAATAATTTAGGAGAGATAAAATTGATAATATTGTTACTCGATAAACTCTACTAAAATATTTATCAAGTTTTGTATGTTGGTGTGTTAAATATGGAAAGTATAATTATCCTTTACACATTTAACTCTATGAATTTTATTAAATTGAGAATTTCTAATAACCTCCTCAAGTTTGGTTATAAAAATATTAAAGAATCATTAAAAGTATACTTTATTATAAGAAAAAAACAACTTATGCTAAGTTATTTCATTAAATGTTGATTGGAGATCAAAGTTTTAATATTTATTTGAGTATTTTGAATAATATACAAAATAAGGAATTTACAGAAACTGGTATTGTTGTCCAATAATCATAACTTTCTGAAGCTATAGGACAATATATAAAAAATACTATTCCAAAGTATGTTTAACTTGTTGATTATGATTAAGAAATTCTTCCCTATATGTAAGGTTTGTTGGATTATAAAACAAAAGAGATTACTCAAAAATATTAGTTAATTTTAACTCTGTTTGATTAGGATCGATTTACATCACTTTAATTCAGATTATTAATTTAAGAATTAGATTCTTAAAAAACTGAATAATAGATAATAAATTTATTTACAAGTGAATGTGATTTAGAATAGAACAATATTTCATATATTTCACATAAGAGATTTTCATAAATTTGTGAAGAACATAATTTATTATCAAATTTAAGTGAGTATTTATAAAAAAACAATGCTCAATATTTCAATGATATGAATTTATGGAAAATTAGAGAAATTGAATTAAAATTGATGTTAATACGATCATAGAAATATGATTCAATGGAAAGAGATGTGTTTTATCGTATGAATGATTTAAATTCTAATGAATAGAGAATATTGTTGGGAAGATTTCTTGAGAGAAGAGCAAAAGAATTATTATTAGAGTAATATGCATTTGAATGCTTACCCTAATTTATGCAAATCATACTAAATTCTTAATGATTTATTTTAAAATTAATTAAAGCTTTATATATAAAATTTGATAAGTTCTAATAGTGATTCAAAAATTAAATTAATATGGCTTCCAAATTAACTACAATTGATGCAAATAATCTTGACCACCAAATCTAACATTTGTACTAATGTAAACCACTACCAGAATAAGAAGTGAAAATGATATGTGAAAAGGTATTTTGTGCTCTAGATGTTATATTATAATAGGCCAAAGAAATTTTGATTGAAGAATCGAATGTATAACCAGTACGTGCACCAGTAATAATTTGTGGAGATATTCATGGTCAATTCCATGATTTAATGGAACTATTCAAAATAGGTGGCAAAGCACCAGTAATGAAGTGATTTTAATTTGAGGATACTAATTATCTATTTATGGGAGATTATGTAGATCGAGGTCATCATTCTGTTGAGTGTGTAACACTACTTGTATTGTTGAAAGTATTTAATATAATAATTAAAATAGATTCGTCATAGAGACAGAATTACCATCCTTAGAGGTAACCATGAATCAAGACAAATAACATAAGTTTATGGATTTTATGATGAATGTTCTCGTAAATATGGCAATAGTAATGTTTGGAAATGTTTCACTGAGTTGTTTGATTACTTGCCATTGACAGCAGTTGTTGAATCATAAGTATATTACACTTATTTATCCAGTTTTTCTGTCTTCATGGAGGTATTTCACCTTCTATTGATACATTGGATCATATTCGTCAATTAGATAGAGTTTAAGAAGTACCACATGAAGGTCCAATGTGTGATTTACTTTGGAGTGATCCAGATGATAGATCCGGATGGGGTATTTCTCCTAGAGGTGCAGGATATACATTTGGATAAGATATTTCAGAGTAATTCAATCACAATAACAAATTAAAAATGATTGCAAGAGCTCATCAATTAGTGATGGAAGTAAGTTATTTAATTAATGAAAATAGGGTTACTCATTGGCTCATGACAGAAATGTAGTAACAATATTTTCAGCTCCAAATTATTGTTATAGATGCGGTAATTAAGCTGGTATAATGGAAGTTGATGAGAATTTACGTTAAACATTGTAAAATTATGATTTAATGAATATAGCATATAATTTGATCCAGCTCCTAGATCTGAAAATGAAACGGTTCCAAAAAGAGTTCCAGATTATTTCTTATGATTCATAATATAAGCAGCAATAACAATCAATGATAATTTAAATTTCTTTTTAGGGTTTCGTTTGATTCACTCTATTAAAGTATTCTTTTGTATTAAGAAAATAATAAATAATTTTAACATAAGTTTATTAGAGAAATGAACCTTGATGACATTTATAATTGGTATAAACTATGCATAAGAGTATAGGATTCTTCAACATCCATAAAACTATCCTGGAAAACAATAGGAATCTCAACCAAGAACTGTTTAATCTTATAAGCCTCTAGAACCTAAAGCTTAATTTCATATTATTGTAAAGGCCACTGCTGAATACATAAAAGAGAAAATGCTAAATGGAAATGTATTTATAAAAATTACATAAAAAGGGAGTAAATATGAAAGAATTGGGAGCATTTACAATGGAAGTAATTTCCGATTATGTGAAACCTCTATAACATTCAGGATTCAATATGACCCAAGACTTAGCTATTCAGAGAGCAGATAGAAAACATGTTCATTAAATAAGGTACCCAATTTTTATATAAAATTTATAGACCTTGTTTTGTTCCTGACAATGCATTCAAATATTTTTTAGCTCGTTATCCAGGCAAAGAGGAAATTACTAAACCTTTGAGTCAGCATTCAATTTATTAGAAAGGATTTGGAATGAACTTCTGCAATCCAGGTCCAATAGCAGCATCAAGGTTAGTAATAATTAATACTGATTAAGTTATCTTGGTAAAGATGTAGTACAATCTGTTCATTCTTCTTTGATTAAAGCAATACATGATCTTACTAGACTTGGACATGATTTAAACATTGATTTTGGATTTATTAAGATATCTGTATAAAATAGAGACATGAAATATAAATATGATCAATCATTTATTTAAAGACTTAACTAAACAGATTATGAACTAAAAGTAAATATAGAATATTATATAAGATGCGTAAATCTGATTTAGGAACATCATAACATTGGACTACTACTTATTAAGAGAAATGGTCAAAGAGCACGTAATATATTATAATTAATCATATAGATTAAATAATTTATTAACCAGACCTAATCCAAATTAAGTGTAAGAAAATTATGAGAAATCAATGGCTTTGAAGATAATGTCATTAGATTTGAATACAGCAGAACATACCAATTACAGTAAAAAGTAAAAAGTATAATTACCAACACTTAATAAATGAAAATATTTTTTATTTTAAAAGTAAATTGATGAATATCTATTTAAAACATATTAATGTTTCAGAATAATAAATGTTATACTCAAAGTTCCATAAACGAAAGTACCTCTGATGTACTATTCAAGTGAATATAACAAGTAGAATAAGTATATAATCGATCATATAATTTAAAAATGTGTGATAATTACTAAAGATTGATTTTCTATTTAATATGTATTGAACTCTACTACATATTCCTCTTTTAAGAATAATAAATATTTTTCAGGATAATTGAGCTTCTGAATTCTAAACATAATGAATCCTGAATAACATTATTATATTAAATATTGTCAAAGTCATTAAATCTTAAACGAAATTCGGGAAAAATCTAAAGGATTTTCTTTAAAAGGATTTCAAAAACACTTTAAGCATCAATTTATTAGATTTAATTACCTATTTTCCTATTAAATAAATTATATTCCCTCTTAGATATTGTATATGTCGAAAAGAATGCTTTTCATTTAAGATATTTGCATATGATAAACACAAAATTGTCGAAAGCTTTTATTAGATAAACATATTTTTGGTTTGCTTCAAATTGAGAAAGCTCTGGTTTTTACTTCATCTTAAGTTCCATCTATTTCTTTCTATTATATTTTTTAATTTTTATATATCTGAATTTCAATAACAATTATGTTTTAAATTGCTTTTTATAATTTCACTTATTCTCCATATTTTAAATCAACCTTGCCATCTAACTCAATTTCTCTATGTCTAATGGAGTATTATCTTATTTCTTTTCTTCAATTTTAATATAATCTTATCCTTAAGGATTTTTCCTTTAAATATTCAATTATTGTGTACCCATATGAACTTAAACGAACTGCACTAATATATGTGAAATTTTTTTCAACCAAATTTTTCAAATGTTCATTAACTCTATTTTATAATTCATTTATCCATTTTTTATATACTTGTTAGGTATTCAACAATTCACATAATTAATCACATCCACTTATTAATTCTGAGTATTTATTTTCGAAAACAAGTTTCAAAAATTTAGTCATCTCCTTTCCTAATTTTTCTGTCTCCAAAAGCTTTAAATATTTGTAATAGAAAAATCTTGCATTTACAATGTCCCATGTTAGAATATATGAAAAATATTATAAACAAGCCATTTTACTATCAAAACTCTTAAATATTAAAACACATCTTACTTCAGAAGTAATTTCTAGTTTTTCTAACTTATCAACCATATCTTTTGAATCTAAAGCAAGGAGGGCTGTCTAATTCTAAATTTCAAGTTCCATATTAATAATGTTTATATAAATTTATGTATATAATAAGGTTGATATTGTATTTTCCAAATTTAAATACATCAACACCAATAGACCAAATATTATATCATAATTATTTAAAAATTAAAGCCCATAAGATAAATACCTTCATATTTTCCATCTTATAAAGAATGATCATATTTGAATAATTTGAATGAATAATAGAGTGTTATTAGAATATATTTGATTAAAATTTATTGATCATTTATTTTAGAATGATTATTTGAAAATAACAATCTATTAGGAGTAAAACCTAAATGATTGTAATAATTTTATAAATCTAAAAATTGACAAGAGTAAGAAGAGGAATATTATAGGTGAAATGTATTAATGGAATAGAAGTGTGGGTGGTTGTATAATAATAATAATAATGTTTATTAGATTTATAATGGTGTAAATCAATGCCATTTATTGATAAACACATCTCTTCTTGGTGCTCTTAATTCTTCTGGATATTAGGTACCAGCTGGATCGGATAAATCTTTCTTATTTAATCTATAGATGTAAATTTGAAAGAATACCTATTTGCATGCACTTACCATAATTATTCAATGTGATCATGGTAATGAATAAATGTATACTCGTTTGCAATTGCGAAAGGAAGGACTAGAGTATAGAGATATTATCTTAATAATCTGTGAGTCTTGAAAACTGATCCATATTCTCTTAAAATACTTAAGACTTATCCTCTTTTAGCATATTAATAAAGGAAAGTCCATGAAGCACCTGTAACAATTGCTGCAAGTTCTAAAAAGATATTTAATTCGATATTACTAATATTTGAAGTCCAATCTTCACATAATTCTTCTTATGTATCTTTGACTATCTTTTAATATGGATAGAACTTGTATAGTGAGTTTAACTTTCCATATTATGTGAATCTATTGAGTGCATATGAAGCAAACAATCCCTTTACAGCTCTATATTGAACACCATCAAAGAATTGTCTGCTGATATCACCAGATGGAAGTGTGTTGAAATACTCTTCTGCTAATCTTAGATTGATAGGAGTGTAAGTTGGATGCACGGTGTAGAGACTGTGATTCATTTAATTAAATAATGATCATATCCAAATTATCATTAAAGCAAATGATAAAATTAAACCAATTCCTTAATAATTCTTTATCTCTATCTACTTCTCATTTTCAGCTTCTTAGATTTTATGTCTAATATCTTCCTAAATTGATTTTTCAATCCTTAAATTATTCAAACTAGCAACTACAATCAATATTATTTTCATATTTACTTTCTGAATTTTCATTATTCTCATTCTACATGTTTTAAGATTCTTAATTAATTAATAATGTATTTACCTTAACTTGAATCATCATCATCTTATTGGGAATTATTGATGGTTTATCCATTACTATCTTAATTGACATTTTAACTTATTAAAAAATATAAATTTACTTTCCATTTATATTAGGATCAGTTTAATGTGGTTCTTATGGTTATTATTCTGGATTAAATGGTTATTAAGGTTATTATGGATAAGGAGGAGATTATGGTTATTATGGTTATTATGGTTATTATGGCTATTATGGCTATTATGGTTATTATGGTTATTATGGTTATTATGGCTATTATGGTTATTATGGTTATTATGGTTATTATGGCTATTATGGTTGTTGTGGTTGTTATGGTTATTAAGGCTAATATGGTTATTATGGTTAATATGGTTATTATGGTTAATATGGTTATTATGGCTAGTAAGGTTATTATGGCTAATATGGTTAATATGGCTAGGATGGTTATTATTATGTCTATTAAAAAAAATGTATATCAATACTGATGGTCGATTTTATTCTTGCTGATGAGAATCTTCATTATGATGATGTCCATTTCTAACATCATTATCTCCTCCTCTACCTCCATTATTGCCTCCTCTTCCACCACCTCCTCTTTCTGCTATCTCTTCAAGAATTCGAGATTTCTTTATGTCCTACTATAATCTATTAACATTACCATGCATCTATTTAAATATTTCTCATAGTAACATTAGGATGTATTACAATTCAAAGGATATGAAGCATCTATCTCATCACATAAGTCTGATCTAGATGAACATTCACCAGAAGAGATCTAACATTATTCTTCATCACTTTAGTTTAATACTAAACATTGTTCTATTCTTCTATCTATGCATGAAGCATTTATGCTTCCTAATATTAAAATTATAATTAGCATGTAATATTTTAATTTATATAATCTAATCAATAATCTAGCTATACCTTTCAATAATCCCTAAGATTATTTATACTGATGATTTAATTTATCACTCCAAATTACTATTCATAATTTCAATAATTATTGAATATTTATCAATTATCTTTCAAGACTTAAAATTTGTTGAAAGATCATTTTTGTTTGATTTTACGTTAATTTTAATATTTGTTCTATTCATTCCATTACAGAGTTTTAATGTAGCTTTTTCTCTTATGGCTAATTTAATAGGTATCTTTATTTTAATTTTAATATTTACTTTCTATTTCATCCTCATTCCTGCTCTTTTTTATGATCTAAAATTCTCTTCAATAAGCTTTTATTTAGCAGAATTATAACTTTAATTCATAAAAAGTATTAGATCCTGCTTAAATTATTATCTTAACAATTATTTTTCTTATTTAGTATGCTGCTTTACAAAGAATAAATTTATAAATTTAAAATTAATTTTTCATTATTTTAAATCACTAAAACAATATTAAAATACAAAATTAAAAGATATTTTTAGTCTATTTTTATTTATAAAATTAAAAAATTTTGAATTAATAGTAGCATTTTTCATCTTAAAAGCAATAATACTAGAATTTAAAGGATGGTATTGATATTATTTAAGATACCCAAAAAAATATTTTTGTTAAAAAATATAGATGTTTTTGTATAATCAATCTTAATAAGACAAATATTTATTATTAATGAAAAAGAATTTGATTTTTTTTTTATTTTAAATCCATTAATTAAAAGATTACTAAAATGCTTAAAAACATAAAATATAAAAAAAGAATAGCTCTATGGTTCTATTATAGTTTAATATAATAAATTGTGAATTTGTTATAAAAAAATAAATAAATTGAGATGCAATAATTTTAAAGTTATAGAATTAATGTAGTGTTGAAATGAAAGCGGTAACTTGGTAAAAAGATTCTCACGGACTTTTTGATTATGAAATTTCACTTCTCACCGTTGAAAAGCACGTTATAATGTAAGAACAAAAGGTTTATCGATTGGGTATATCAATTGATTATAATAAAATAGGCTAAGAAGTTACAACACATCTTCCAGAAAGTGAATAAAAAGAGTCTCAATAATATTTAACAGCAGTTGAAGAATAGGATCATAAGTTTTTCATCAAGCCTAGTAGATATGATGAGAATGAAAAATTTTTGATAGTTAATAGTTTAAAAAATAGTTAAGGAGAATAGAAAGTATAAATTGATTATAATATGAGTAGGGATATATAATGGAAGCTGGAGACATAATAAAATTGGGAAGAATGGAATATGTGATATTAGAAACTAAGAATAAAGATAACTTAGTAAATTAAGCCAACAGTAAAATGCTCAAAGAATATTTCGAACAAAAGTCAGGATTGGTTTGAAATAAATGCATCATATGTTTCCAATAATTCAGCAATCTGTAGATTTTGTTTAATGGATACTTAAACAATAGAAGATCCTTTTATTTCTCCATGTAATCGTAAAGGAACCTGTTAATTTGTACATTTCAGTAGTATGAATCAGATGCTAATTTAAAAAATTTAATGAGCTTTGTGAATCATTATTGCCTTTGAAAATAAAGATGGATAATAGAGAATTTTATTTAGATGTAATATAACGTCCATCAACACCTTATTTGATAATTTAATCAAGACATAAGAAGCAGAAGAAGTAAGAAAAAGCAGTTTTAGTTATATCATTTTAAAATGCTGAACCTATTAAAATAGTATAGTTCTAATATATTATATAGGGAAGAGGTCATTAATGTGATATATAAATCTCAGACATTTCAGTATCCAGATTGCATGCTTATATCAAATATTAAGATGGACTTTTATCATTTTTGATAATAAAAGTAAATTTGGACCTCTAGGCAAATTAATTCAATCGTATCAAATTGAATAACAAAAAGTAGACATCTAAGTAATACTATTTAATATAAAAGGTTGGACGAACAGTCTTGACTTTTGTAGTCAAACTCTAAAGAATTGAGGANTAAAAGATTACTAAAATGCTTAAAAACATAAAATATAAAAAAAGAATAGCTCTATGGTTCTATTATAGTTTAATATAATAAATTGTGAATTTGTTATAAAAAAATAAATAAATTGAGATGCAATAATTTTAAAGTTATAGAATTAATGTAGTGTTGAAATGAAAGCGGTAACTTGGTAAAAAGATTCTCACGGACTTTTTGATTATGAAATTTCACTTCTCACCGTTGAAAAGCACGTTATAATGTAAGAACAAAAGGTTTATCGATTGGGTATATCAATTGATTATAATAAAATAGGCTAAGAAGTTACAACACATCTTCCAGAAAGTGAATAAAAAGAGTCTCAATAATATTTAACAGCAGTTGAAGAATAGGATCATAAGTTTTTCATCAAGCCTAGTAGATATGATGAGAATGAAAAATTTTTGATAGTTAATAGTTTAAAAAATAGTTAAGGAGAATAGAAAGTATAAATTGATTATAATATGAGTAGGGATATATAATGGAAGCTGGAGACATAATAAAATTGGGAAGAATGGAATATGTGATATTAGAAACTAAGAATAAAGATAACTTAGTAAATTAAGCCAACAGTAAAATGCTCAAAGAATATTTCGAACAAAAGTCAGGATTGGTTTGAAATAAATGCATCATATGTTTCCAATAATTCAGCAATCTGTAGATTTTGTTTAATGGATACTTAAACAATAGAAGATCCTTTTATTTCTCCATGTAATCGTAAAGGAACCTGTTAATTTGTACATTTCAGTAGTATGAATCAGATGCTAATTTAAAAAATTTAATGAGCTTTGTGAATCATTATTGCCTTTGAAAATAAAGATGGATAATAGAGAATTTTATTTAGATGTAATATAACGTCCATCAACACCTTATTTGATAATTTAATCAAGACATAAGAAGCAGAAGAAGTAAGAAAAAGCAGTTTTAGTTATATCATTTTAAAATGCTGAACCTATTAAAATAGTATAGTTCTAATATATTATATAGGGAAGAGGTCATTAATGTGATATATAAATCTCAGACATTTCAGTATCCAGATTGCATGCTTATATCAAATATTAAGATGGACTTTTATCATTTTTGATAATAAAAGTAAATTTGGACCTCTAGGCAAATTAATTCAATCGTATCAAATTGAATAACAAAAAGTAGACATCTAAGTAATACTATTTAATATAAAAGGTTGGACGAACAGTCTTGACTTTTGTAGTCAAACTCTAAAGAATTGAGGAAAACAATTGAATTTTATTATTATTTTTTTGATATTCATTAAATATATGAAAGTTTTCTAACAAAAGAACTGCTTTATGAATTTCTTTAAAATCTAAGCAATTTTACATAAATAGCAAATATGAACTTTGAATGGTGTTTAGATGAAGACATGGTGAAATAATTAAATATATAAAAAAATTTAAATCTTTTTTAATATTATGGCTCACAGAATTCAAGAAAATGCAGGAATGATCAATGATGAAAAATAAGTTGTCGATATTTATGTACCAAGAAAATGCCAATATACAAATATGATCTTGAATAGCAGCGATTACTCCAGTGTTTAAATCAATGTTGGATAAGTATTGTTTCAATTAATAATTAAAGGTAGATGAGAATGGAGTTTATAACAAAAAGAATAGCACAGTCATCTTGGCAGGATATTTGAGATAAAAGGGATAAAGTGCTTCAGCATTGGAGGCTATTCTTAGACAAAGAGGTGTTTTCCCATTTGCATAATGAGACATATATAATATATACATATTAGTACATTAATAGATAAAATCACAAATTGCAAATGCTATTTCTGTAATACAAACAAATCTATTCAGCAAGAAGTATTAAATTGGGACTCAATTTTTCTTCTTGCATAACTTATTTGATTAATTATACAAACAAATGAAAAGTTTATTCACTAATTTTTAATGGGTAATGAATAACTCTTAAATCATTTGCTTTGTAAATAGTTGAATTGGTGAAAATAAATCCAATGATTTTTTTGACATGAGATTTGAGTTGATATTCAGCATTTCTGAAATGATCACTGTAGATTTCATTATCTTAGAGATTTATTTAGACTTTGAATGATACTTAATCTAATCCATGTGGTCCAACACTACTTTCTATAGTTTTCTAATTTGTAACAATAAACCTTAATTAAAACCATAAATCAGCATAATCCTATAATATCAATCTATCTAAATTATAATTTTTAATTAATAAAAAGAAGTTATCCCTAAATGCATCTAGCCATTCGCTTTGTATAACACAACTCTTATGTAATGTTTAGAGATCTGTTTTTGTTAATAATGGTTGATGTTGATGAGTTATAAATTTTAATAAGAAATGTGCATGTCTTAAGAGAGTAGGAATATTTGGAAAATTCCTAAATCTAGGATCTCTTTATAATAAAACTTCATATTTTTTAACTTAAACTTTAAATAGAGTAGGTGATTAAAAATAGAAATCTAATAAACAATCTTAATTAACAATGCAACTACGATAACCATCCATTCTTTTAGTAATTAATTCAATTTAACTTTCTTTTAATCCTAATTCTTTCATTGCTTCAACTAAATGTTATTTAAATAATGTAAAATGAACATTAGTAAGATTCATTCTTTAATGAGATCTTCTTAAATAATTTACAACATGATCAACACTACAATTCCAACCCATCATTTAATGTAAAATAGATCCCAATTTCTTTGCTTATTCATCCATTTATATACCAACAAAGTATTCACAAAGAGTTTAATCTTCTAAGATTTTTTAATATGTTAAATCTGCTAAATGAACAATACTTTAAGGTGTTTCATCTTTATTATTTTCAGTTTTTTAATTATAGATTGAAGCAAATGTTTATTCTGAAGTAATAATACAATATTTATATTATTCAATAAGTGCACTGAATTCGAATATTAATTCAGGGGGACCTTTATTACTTTGAATAAAGCTACTCTTTCTAATTATAATATAAAATTTACAAGTAGATAACTCTTAAATTAATTATATAATGTGTGATCTATTTTGAAAGGAATATGTTTTTATTTAAGAGCTTCAATGTTAAAAAATACTGGTTTGCCCATTATGTATTCTAAAAATGTTGCAAATTTGGCTTCATACATAGCTGGATCATCAATTTCTGTTATAAATATATAGTAATTGATTACTCTAAATTGTAGGATGAATTTGAGAATGTTAATGAAATAATCTGGCTATATCTGATATGACTTATTCACCACCAATTTTAGTTAGAAAGATTCCGTCATCTTCTTCAAAGTTAGATTTAATGCAAAATGAACTCTTAGGTGTTATTGGAGATAGTTTTCCTTATTTTTATGGTGGTAAAGATCTTCGAGTTATAGATGTAGGAATTCCAATTCTTGATCTTGGAGTATTTGGATGAGAATGCTATATATAACTTTATGAATGCTATGAAGTAGTATTGCCTTTATTGAGACTTAAAACGAAATGTTATTTCATTGTTTAAAGATCTGGAATTACAGCATCAATCTTAGGAAGAAATGGACATCTCTATATATTTTCAGTATGATGACGTTTATTCTTTTTTATACTTCCTTCTTTCAAAGAATTAACATAATCTGCAAATGAAGGTGATTGTTAAATTACTTTTACTTTCCCTATGTCCAAAGTATTGTCTGATTTTGCTAAGAATTCACATTATCCAGCATATTGTTATCTGAAAGCACAGTTCTGCTATAATTATCGATTCATTATAATTATTAATAACTTAATCAAAATATTCATCTCTTTAATTATTCAACAAATATATCCCATTAATATATTGTCTCTAACTATTTACTATATATTCTCTAAACATTTATCTATCTTCATAATCAATCGTAGAATTTTTATTCTCATCATCTCAATCCTTCCTTACTCAATTAGTACTTACATATAAATCTAATGGAAATACATTCTCTCTTTAAAATATATATCATTAAATTCAACCACTTTTATTTTTATCTCTTTACTTCAAAGATTCTTCAATAAATCTTTCATTCTAAAAATAATAAAAAATATTATTAATAAATATCAATTATAACTTATATTCTTATTCATATTCATAAATTTTTACTATTAGTACACCAATTATAATTATTTAACTTAATTTATTATTAATCATTTTATACAATAAAATCATCCATCTAAACTTAAAAATAACTAATTTAATTAATTTCATTTTACCCATCTTAACAAAGTTATTTCATTTTATTTTATTTTCACTTATTCATTAATTCAATACTACGTCAAATTCTAATAAATACTATTAATAATCCTATTATAATTTATTTCAAGAAGCTTTTCAATCAAATCTTTAACTTATGCATTCACACTTTAATAAATCTAATCTTGAAAATCTGAATGTTCTTATTTTCAATTAGTTTTAAGTCTTATTCAAGATTATCTATCATTATCCAATTTTTATAACATATTAATTAAATAAATACAATAAATCATAAGATTGATAATTAATTTTATAGCTTCATTATCCTTTAATGATTAATAAAGAAATTATCATATAACATAAAAACTTCCGTTATTCAAATTTTTATTTCATCAACCAAAAATTAATCTGTTTGATTATAGTTTCATCGTCCTTATAGTTTTATTTCCCTTTTAAAAAAATTTTTAATTCTAAGTGAATCTTAAATCTCATTATTTTCTAATTATTTTTACTATTCCGGTCATAAGTTATATAACATAGTTGAAGTAGAATTTTAAAATATAATCATAATTTCGCATTTATTTATCTTAATTTATTATTTTAAACAAATAATTTAATGAAAAATAAAAACTTTAAGTTATAATTAAATAGTTCTATTAACAATAATCTTGTCTTTATATATATTAGTTATCCATAAAGGTTACATTAAAATTTATTATTCTAATTGACTTGATAATTAATTTATAAAATCATCTTTTTGTAATTTTCATCTATATGCCAAAATAGAAAAAAAGATTATTATAAAATATTTAAATTCCATTATTGTATAAAATTATCATAAAATCTAAATCATCACTTTATATCCAAAATTTTAAGAGAAATATGATTAAATTAATAATGAAACATAGATATTTATAAGTAAAATTTATTTTTAAAATTCATATTAATTATTCTGATGTAACAATTCTACGTAACTCCCTCTCATAATGATCATTCAAAAATATAGTTTGAAGTGGAAATACTAATGAAATAGTTTTTGTTCTCTAAAGTTTAAATTTAAATGTCTAGTATATTTTTAACTAAACTATTAAAATTAATAGTAATGTGAATGCTAAAGCTACTCCATGTATAACCTTAAATTTAAAATATTTATTTTACATCATACATGTATTCAATTTTTAATGCTTAGTTATAAATATCAGAGGCCATCTACTATGTAATGGTTGATATTATATCTGAACAAAAATAAACAGCTTCCAATTCTTCTAAAGGTGCAACTGTCCTTGATGTTGGAAAATCTAAATCTAACTCATTCTTTAAGAGATTACTGAAAGCATTTAAAGTTGGTATCAATCCTAATTTCAGAATTCCATTTTAAGAATGATTACAAAAATAATCAAAATCAAAATATTTACTGCTATTTAATAATAAACAAAGATTGCTTTTTTCTTAAAATTCATAATTATCCAAAAACTCAGATGAAAATTAATAATTTACATCTTACAATTTTAAATTTAAGAAAGTATCAATCTTCTTGACTGCTTTTTAAATTTATTCTCTAAAAAACACTCTATCTTCATTTTTAAAGTATGAAAAATAAAAAAAATAATACAGCATCTCTTTTTGAGAAAATGCAGCTGGAATATAAACACCAATATCAGAAAATGATTTAAAAAAATGTATAGTATCAGGAAATTTTCTCATATATTTAGCTCCTGTATAAGTTAATGGTCCTGTAATTAGAGAGTATTAAATTTAAAAAAACACAATCATAATTATTAGAGGAATTTTAGTAATTTTTACACTGCTTTTTGTTCTTCTAATTTCATTCTAAAAAGTTATTTAATTTCTTTTTTCTTTCTAATGACTTTTTCTTAACATCTCTTCCTTTCCAATAAGATTAAACTTATATTTATGGATTAAATCTGATCCTTATTTTAAAGATTATAAAATAAATAGTTGCCTTATAGAATCATTTTCAATAGCAGATTATTCTATAAAATTATTTAATGCAAAAAACCTTTACAATAAATGATTGAAAAGATTATGGTAATATGCTAATAAGATAATGATTAAACTAAAAATAATAGATATTGGAATTACTAATATTAACCATCTTTTAACAACCAAATCAATTTATATTATAGATTCTTAATGCATTTAATCAGATATTTGATCAAATATTGTTACAAAGAGTATATAATTGATATATTAATAGGTATTATGAGGATTAGTTCCTCTTGTTGTAGAATTATTCACATAGATTTATTATTACTTATAAAAAGCATCTAAAAGTATACTAAATGCATTAAATAGAGTTAAATTATATTCTTATTATTTGGTTGGAGAGTAATGATATGTTTATTATTTTACAACAACATATTAATCTCTAATGAATTCTGAGAAATGTTCATCCTAAAAATGATCCTAAAAATTTTATTTAAATTAATCAAAAGAATCAACTATAAGTGGTATAATAAATTTTGTATGATATCTTAATTTATTATCATCCAATATTCCATAGTAAGAAGAGATTTAATAATCTACTAACATATAGCGAGTTAAAAAGAATTTTTGCATAGGTTCAATAAAATAATGATTGATTTAGATGGATTCATAATAATAATTAAGAGAATTGAAGTCTTATTTGGAATATATAATATTCTAAATATTATGATAAAAATTACAATTATTAAATAAATGGATTAACTAAGTAAAGCAATCAATGTTAATCCAATAAGCTTTAAAAGAATAGGACTTGTAGCTTTGGATTCATTTAAGATATTTATTAAAGAATATTTTTTATAAAAAATTGATTTTCTTAATCCAGCCATTGAAGATGCTTATGATCCTCCTACTATCATATTTTCTTAATTTCTAATATCATTTTCATAGATATTTCCTAAGATTTATACAGTTTTATCTTCTTTTTCTGTTAAATATGAATCACTATAATCATTCAGAATTTCATGTTTGCTAAATTTAAAAATTTAATTTTTATCTTCAGTTTCACTAAATATCTTAATATCTGTCTTTCTTTATGTATCGAAAATGATATTATTTATGCAAGAACCTTTTGGTGATACCATATTACAATCATATGGATAAATAACAGATTCTTCATCATTAATTTCAAATATTTTATCATGAATACTTTATAAATCCATTGACAATAATTATCTAAATTATCCATTTTCTTATATCTTGTTAAATTTAAATATTTTATGGTTTTATCTATGATAAATATCACAGTTAATATCATATATAATTAAATTTGCATCTATTTTCTGTAAAGATACTTTTTACTGAACTAATTAAAGGAAGAAGGATTCTTTTGGAAAACTAAATTAAAAAGAAACTGTGTTTGAATTACTATTTAAAACATAGCCAGGAATAAAATTTATTGCTCCAATGTTATACAAGTTTTTCTCAATTTATAAAGTTTCTATTATTTTTGGATTAAAATTTAGTTGTTTAAATAATTCTTTATTAACTCCTTGAATTCTGTTATTTTTATCTATTAAAATAATTGGATCAACTTATTCTAGAGCACTAAAAAATGTTATGAATCTAAAACTTTAATTATTATCAAAGTATAAATCATAAAAAAAATCAATATTTTATAAAAATCCAGATTTCATTGAACAAATGATTTAAGATTTTTTTCTAAAGAAACTTCCCTTTCCATCACATAAGAATTATTCTATATAACTATTATGATTATCTCGAATAATTCTTGGTATTAATTAATCAGTATTAGCAAGATTATCAAAAGATTTATTGTTATGTCCAAAAATTTATGGAGCCTTTTTAGAAAATGATTTAATTTTTAATTTCCTTTCCTCAAATGAGAATATTACATAAGACATTTTGTTTGTTAATCTATTAATATCGATATCATGTTATTGATCTAATAATTAATTATCTAAAGCATTAATCTATAATTAATCAAATGCTTTCTACCAATCTTACTTGATTTCTCCATAAAAAAACATAAGTTAAGATTAATTTTTTTAACCTAATTTATTATAAATAATTAATACTTGGAAATTTTTCATAAATCATTCTTAAAGATTTTTCTTATTTTTCTATTTATTCCATTAGGTTGTAATATTAAAATAAAAAACCTTTTTCTTTATATTATTCTAAAAGGATTTAAGAGAAATCTAACTTTTTTTGAATAATATTTATCAGCCCCTCTTTAATGCTTTAATTGAAACTTTCTGATTGAACAAATTAATTAATTTTCATTGATAAATAAATTTAATCTTTGCTGTAATTTTCAATTTTTGCAGTAAAGCTATTATAAAGATTCTGTTTAATAATCATAGTGAAAACTTTCCATTTAATTTTTTACAGCTTATTTAAATTGTCCATTATATTTTTATTCTCAATTTTAGAGTAAATTTCATAAACTTCTCCATTATATTATTAAGCAAATAAAATATGACATAAAATATATAAAATATCTTTAGGTTATTTTAATGAAACTTATTTTTTTAAATTTTTGATCAAACTAAATTTAATATCATCTTCAATAATGTCAGGTAGATTTAAAAATTATTTTGAATCAGTTGAGTAATATTATTAATTATGACAGAAACATTGTATACTCAAGCATTTTTATTAATGCTTGCTTAATTTTATTGAATTTAGTACACAAGTATAATTAAATGAAGATTTTTCATTTGAAAGTTTTCTGCAAATTAAATTGTTTAGATCTAAGTAAGATAGTTAAAAAGACTCTTAATTTTAAATCTACATTTAGATCCTATTCCAGGCAAAAATACCAATATAAATTAAAAAGGGGCTAAGCAAAAGTATATAAATTAAAGGTTTATCAATGTTTGATAAAGTACAAAGAGATATTAATGTTCCACCTGAATGAATAATTATTAATAGATAAATTTGAGTTTATGATGAATATACTTTTGAAATGAAAATAGAATGTATTTCACATAGAGTAATTAATAAATAAATTATTGATTATACATATTTAGCGATATTAGGTAAGCTAAATGTAAAAATATATGATTAAGATAGAATTAATAAATACCCAATATATTCTATAAATGAGATTTATAATTTCTTATAAGAATTTAATTTTATAATTAATGTGCCTTCAGTTAATAAAAAATACATAATTTATGTAAAATGTATGTAAATTAAAAATAGAATATCGTTTATAATCCAAATGTACAGTTGTCTTTACATCGAATTTTTTATGTTATACAAACCAAATATTAATAGAGGTTATAAAATCGTTACATTTACAAAAGAGTTAATGAGACATATGGCTCTCATTAAAATAGTTCTTATATTTTCTTATTTGACATTATCATCTATTCTATCATTTTAATTGTAGTTGAGAATGATAGTTATTCCAAAAACTAAAGTAATAACAAAATTAAAAATCAAAGAAAAATAATGTTGTATTTCTTGATTGCCAAGACCTTAATTTATTACTTCAATTTGAAATTATAACAATGGGTAAAACCTATTTTCACTAGTTGATTATATCACATTCTAAAACTCATCACCTTAGTTTTATGGATAAATCACAAACAATAATGAAAATAATTTGCCTACAGTGAAAAATAAAGGGAGCAATAGTAACTTTATTTGTATTTCAAAATATCCAACTTGAATACAAATTGATTCTAGCAAATGAGTATTCATTCTTATATTTAAAATAATTAAGCTATCGAAAAATATGAGATTTTAATAANGCTTAATTTTATTGAATTTAGTACACAAGTATAATTAAATGAAGATTTTTCATTTGAAAGTTTTCTGCAAATTAAATTGTTTAGATCTAAGTAAGATAGTTAAAAAGACTCTTAATTTTAAATCTACATTTAGATCCTATTCCAGGCAAAAATACCAATATAAATTAAAAAGGGGCTAAGCAAAAGTATATAAATTAAAGGTTTATCAATGTTTGATAAAGTACAAAGAGATATTAATGTTCCACCTGAATGAATAATTATTAATAGATAAATTTGAGTTTATGATGAATATACTTTTGAAATGAAAATAGAATGTATTTCACATAGAGTAATTAATAAATAAATTATTGATTATACATATTTAGCGATATTAGGTAAGCTAAATGTAAAAATATATGATTAAGATAGAATTAATAAATACCCAATATATTCTATAAATGAGATTTATAATTTCTTATAAGAATTTAATTTTATAATTAATGTGCCTTCAGTTAATAAAAAATACATAATTTATGTAAAATGTATGTAAATTAAAAATAGAATATCGTTTATAATCCAAATGTACAGTTGTCTTTACATCGAATTTTTTATGTTATACAAACCAAATATTAATAGAGGTTATAAAATCGTTACATTTACAAAAGAGTTAATGAGACATATGGCTCTCATTAAAATAGTTCTTATATTTTCTTATTTGACATTATCATCTATTCTATCATTTTAATTGTAGTTGAGAATGATAGTTATTCCAAAAACTAAAGTAATAACAAAATTAAAAATCAAAGAAAAATAATGTTGTATTTCTTGATTGCCAAGACCTTAATTTATTACTTCAATTTGAAATTATAACAATGGGTAAAACCTATTTTCACTAGTTGATTATATCACATTCTAAAACTCATCACCTTAGTTTTATGGATAAATCACAAACAATAATGAAAATAATTTGCCTACAGTGAAAAATAAAGGGAGCAATAGTAACTTTATTTGTATTTCAAAATATCCAACTTGAATACAAATTGATTCTAGCAAATGAGTATTCATTCTTATATTTAAAATAATTAAGCTATCGAAAAATATGAGATTTTAATAATAGGTTGTAAATTGTTAGATTAAAAAATCCTATTGTATAAATATCAATTCAAATATTTCTTAATTAACATAGGTAAAGTTATTGATAATTAAATTCTAAATTTATAAACATCAATATCACAGAAATAAATATAAATGTAATAAATTTTATATTTGTTAATCAAACAAAATATATTTTAATAGTTAAGCATTATTAATGTATTGAATTTATTTGATTATTAATATAATAATAAAAGCGCTGAATATTACATCAATTTCTAAGTTCTGAATGTAAATTAATTAAAGATTACATTTTTAGTTATCCTACTATCTCTAAGTAGAAATTCTAGATTTATTATATGTTTTATATCATATATTCTTTCTAACCAAATATTTAAATATTGAGATCAATGACAAAAATTTAAATAGTCCAATAAATATACTTTTAATTGCAATTTTCTTTGATAAAACATCTTTAAATTGAAAATAATATTGTTATATATAAATTTCATCTTATCTTTTTTAAATCTAATCTTTTTTTGAAGGAAATTAAAAGTTTAACTAAAAATATTCTTTTTTAATAGTAAAACTTAAAGAGAGGTTTTTAAATATCATTATAATAAGATTTAAAGTAATTTTTATTAATATACTCTGCTATATTCTTTATCAAAAAGCAGAAGTATTGATAAATAGAAGAGTAATTCTTTTGTAGCAGTTTAATGTAATACTGTATAAATTTAATTATTTAATTTTATTTCAAACTTCAAAATAATAGCTAAATATATAAAATATTATTGAAAAAATTTTAATTTAAAAACCTTGTGAATAGTTTAGGATGATCAATAAAAGCATAATTATGAAAGAAAAGTTGTCACTATGCATTAATTTGAAATAAACTATTCAATATAATTGATAAAAAATAAATTTAAGAGTGATATATTTTAAAAGAATTAAAAAATGAGATATTTATAGAGATAATGAGGAATGAGACATAATTTATATTTAATTGAAGGAAAAATTGTCTGTTATTTATAAAAAACTATATTATATGTGATTATTGAATTCATTTTGGTAAATTTATCAAATAAATTATAAATGTCTCATAAATATTGATTAATATATTTCCAATGGTTGAAACAACTGATCTTAACATACATGTATTAGAAATTATTGATTAATTAACTAATCAATATTAGATGGTGTGCAGTAGAATTTAAAAGATAGATTAAGTTTGTTAAAGAGCTATAACATTTCAATTTTATAAAAACTATTAGTAGTCGAAACTTGATTATAAAATTTGAACAGCATAAAACATACATTCTATACAACTTGAATAGGATGGTTTAATTGGCTCTTCTTTGGTTGTCTTTTTTATATAACTACCCAGTTTGAATCTTTATTTATCACTAATTAAAACAATTAAAAGGTTATTTTCAAAAAAGTAAATATTATCTTCATGTTTAATTATTCCGGGATGTTGCCGAAAAGTTAAAGTTTATATTTTCATCCACCATTGCAAGTACCAAGTGCCAGAAATGTCTAATCTGAAGCTGAAATCTCAAAATAATAACATAGTACGTATTATTTTTAGCTGAAGTGCCTCATAAGAAATACAGTGTTATAACTGATGAGAAAAGGAATCTCCTTATTAAATAAGTTTTAGAAGAAGGGGTTTCAGTCAAATTAGCAGCCCAAGCAAGTGAAATAAAATTATCGACTGCAAAAGCAATTTTGAAGACTTACAAAACCCAAGGAAGAATTGGGAAAAAGAAAGAGCGCTAAAAAAGACCAAAGTTGAACAGAAAAACTGTTGAAAAACAATTAGATTAAGCTACATTAATTAAGAAGCAATTGCCCAAACTTGGTCAAAAGTAATCATTTAAACTAAATTAGTTTTATTTACTACCCTTATAGCTATTAACCTCCCCCTCTTTTTTATAAAGTTGAGCATACTAATGATGTTAAAACAGAAATTTGATGAATAATTATACTTTAAATATATATTTCTTTTATTCATTATATATTAGAATTTTTTCTAGATCAACCAGATAACCTAATTAGTCATCTGTTTAGAATCAAAAATGACTTCAGTCGCTTTATTTTCGTAAGAATGTACGATCATTTTTGTTTTAAAGTCAAATGATTAATTTATCTTTGGAAAATTTCGTATTATTGTCCAAAAATGATACTTAATTATTATTGTAATTATTCAATATCAATTTTCTTACTATTCATAAAGAAAATAAGTATATGTCTTTAAGAAGAATTGAACTTTCACTTTTTAAAAGGTATCTGTAAAAATAATGAAAGAGAAACCCATTAAAAAAGATTAGTTTCAAAGAATTCGATAAAAATATAGCAAGAATCAAGAAACTAAATATGTATATCTTCTTTATTATAAATCCTAAGAGCTTATCTATAGTAGTAAAATTTATTTAAGAACTTTCTAATTCAGAATTTTTAGAGCACTCAATCAAAAAGCTAGAAATAATCAACTATCGAAATAAATTTAATCTGGTATATGATAAGAGAACATAGAGGAAGAGGTTTTTAAATCATAAGTGAAGAAAAAGAGGAAAAATAAGGGTTTAAAAAAAAGAGAAAGTATTGAGTAATCAAATTATATAATAGCAGAGGAAATCTAAATGATTAATATTTATATAATATTTGGTGGGGTAAGTGTAATCATTGATAAATAGATTAAATATTTGTTAAACTTTGGGGATTTAAATATAATATCAGTAGCAATTAAGAAAATAGATTTTTAAATTATTTGTTTATATTATATAAATTATGTATTACATTATATTAATTGAATTATAGAAAAATATAAATAATTCATGTTAAGAATTGCTCATAAATTAAGATGTGGGTTTGCTAAAATGACGGTCAGAGAAGCCATAAATAGTGCTATGGCTTAAGAAATTGAAAGAGATTCAAATGTCTTTTTGATAGGTATTTAATAAGTATTATTAATTTATTAGGAGAGGAAGTAGGTTAATATTAAGGTGCTTATAAAGTATCTAAGGGTTTATATGATCGTTTTGGAAAGAGTAGAATCTGGGATACTCCAATAACAGAAGCTGGATTTACAGGTTTGAGTGTAGGAGCAGCAATGTAAAATTTACCTCATCTATTAATAGGTATGGACTTAAACCCATTGTTGAATTTATGACATTCAATTTTGCAATGTAAGCTATTGATCATGTTATCAATTCATCAGCAAAATTAAATTACATGAGTGCAGGTGGTCTCAAAACATCTATAGTATTTAGAGGAATTAATGGGTAACATTCTTTATTTATTCAAATTTAGTGCAGCAGCAGCAGTAGCTGCTTAACATTCACAATGTTTTGCAGCCTGGTATAGTTAAGTCCCAGGTTTGATTGTATTATCTCCATATGATTGTGATGATGCAAGAGGTCTTTTAAAGGCAGCAGTCAGAAATCCAAATCCTGTTGTTTTTCTTGAAAATGAAATAATGTATAATGAAGCTTTTGAAGTCCCTGAAAATGTTATGGATAAGGATTATCTAATACCTATTGGAAAAGCTAAAGTCATGAGAGAAGGAAAAGATGTCACAATTGTAACATTCTCAAAAATGGTCAAGTAAAATAATCAATTAATTTGAGATATTCGATGTTAGCTGCTGCAGAACTAGAAAGAGAAGGAATATCATGTGAAGTTATAAATCTTAGAACTTTGAAACCTTTAGATAGAAACACTATTATTAAAAGTCTCTAGAAGACTCATAGAGTTGTTACAGTTGAAGAAGGATGGGGATAGTGTGGAATTGGAGCAGAAATCTGTAGTATTATTAATGAAAGTAAATTGATATCCTATTTTTAAAGCTAATGCATTCTTCCATTTGGATGCACCTGTTGTTAGAGTTACAGGAGTAGACATTCCAACACCTTATGCATTTAATTTAGAAGAACTTAGTTTCCCTAAAACACACAATATTGTAGAGGCAGTTAAATTAGTATTAAAATGATAAAGTCATACATTTATATATTAAATAATATAGCCTCTATCTATTATTTTCTTATCTTTCTCATAAACATCGAAATTTACTGTAAAATTATTATATATTATTAAAATATCAAGATATTTATTATTTATATAACTGATTTAGCTTCTTTCCTGATTTAATTAGATTATTTACTTCAAATAGATATTGCATTTTAATGTTTTGTTTATTTTTTATATTAAAATGTTAAACATTATAATTTATTTATTTTACAATTAAAAATGATTAATGAAAAGCCTGTTCTAAGATTTATTATGTATGATTGCTTTAATATTGTTCATACAAATTTTCTAAATGCAAATTTCATATCATGGAATTATAAATATTGAAAAAAATTATTCCTCATAATCTGCTTTTTTAAATTAAAGAGTAAAATTTATATATGAATTTCAGAAATATTATACTTCACTAATTAATTGGATGAATTTAAAAATTTATATTAAAAATATTTTATTGTTATTTATAATCATTAAAATAACTTATTCTGCTCATACTTAATTATTGATTGTTAGATAAAAATTATATATCAATAGTAAAATTAATATTTTATTTTTTTTATATTATTTTTTAGTTTTTGTTCACTATCTCAATCATTTTTATTAATTTAAGAAAAATTGAATCAAATCTAAATTTCGTAAAATTAATTCTCACTCAATTTCTCAAAATTAAGCATTTGAGATTTCTTAAATGTATATTTCATCAGAGCAATTTAAATTTTTTTGATATGGCTTCAAACCTTTTGGAAAGCATTCTAACAGTAGAGTTATAACCAAAATTACTTAAATTATTTAGATATCTCATAAAATTTGATAAAGAAATAAGATCTGGAGCTCCTCAAGCTTGAATTATATATAGATATAAGACAAATTCACAAAAATAGTTAAATTTGAAGTATAATTAATTATTAGGTAAATATTCTCAAAATTAACATATTAAAAAATATCAGAGTCTTCTAATAAAAAGTCTAATTAAGAAATTATGAAATATAAACAAATTTCTTTTAAATTTGTTTACTCTTAATTAATTAAATAATTCTATAAAAACTTAAATAAGCTTATAAAATTTCATAATTTGTGATGTGAATATCAATATGGTAATGAGGAGAGATTGTATTTAATTAAAAAAAAATATTTGATAATTTTATGATTTATCATATAACTTTATGATTATTGATGGAGTAAATTCAATAATAAAGAAGGCCATTTAAGAACACTGCTAAAAGTACATAATTATTAAAACTTTGTTTCTCAAAAATATGCAGGATCATCTATTAAAATTTTTTTTTCATTAAACATTTCAGTAGTAGAGAATATCTGAATTTTAATAATTGGTAAATTTATTTTAAACTCACTTCCATATTTACTTAAACTCTACACCAAATATTATTTTATCAAGAAACAAACTAAATTTTAGGATTGAAAATAAATCCATGAAATTAATATTTAATTATCTCATCTTTATTTATTTACATGATGATATCTTTGAATAAATTAAAATTTAAGAAAATACCCTCCAAGGTGTAGAAGTTTGAAATATTTGAATTTGAGTAGTGAGTAGCAATTTAATTTATTAACTTAAAAAGATTACTTATGATCTTCCTAAATTAATATTGAGTCCAATTTATCATACATAAATATCTGCAAAAATCAAATTGGAAATTAAAACTTTGTAAGTTAGTCATATTCAATTAACAAAATAGTAGGATTTGGTTTTTAAAGTATATGAAGAATGAAATGTAAAGGGTAATTTACGACTAGAAAGACAAGATAAATTAGATAAAAGCTTAAAAATTTCTGATAAGTGGATTGTTCAATCCATTCATGAATTTATTGAATTTGCTTTAGATAATTAATTCACTTTATCCAACTCAAAAATTTTGAAGATATTTCTTATTCGAGAAGAGAGTAATCAATATGCTTAGATTATCTGAAACTTTTTACTAATTTGAACAATGAAAATGATATTGAGTAAGATGATAATTTAGAATTGAATTTTTTGTTAAATAATAGAAAAAGTTCATAACGAAATTAGCTGTAATAAAGTGATTATATTTGAGAATAATGGATAAAGAGTGAAAGATGTAAATTGGATTATAAAACTAAAATTAGAATAAATAAAAATTTGTTGATGATATAATTTATTTTATTTTGAATATGATTGTCAATTGATAAACTTTTTGTAGTTATCTGCATTTCTAATTAAAATATTTTCAATAGGTCCTAAAAGTCTTATAAATGCTTGATAATCTAAATAGACAACAATACAATCAGTCTAGAATAAATTTAAATGATTACTTCAGCTTAAATAGTTGCTTGTCTTGGTACTTTATTAATAAGAGCTAATTCACCAAAATAGTCACCAGTTTTATATTTAAGAACTTCTTCATTTTATTTAATAGCAATAAGAGTTCCTTTAACAACGATATAGAATTTATGTCCTTCTTCTCCTTCTTTAAGTATATATTCTTAAGATTTAAAGTGTTATTCTTTCAAACCATCACATATTTAAGTTTTTTCATAAGAATCAATAGATTTGAGTATTTCAACTTTAGATAGTACTTCTTCATAATGTTCTCTTCTTTTGACTGTGGCTTCTTTAACAATAGCATTGAAAGTAGATCTATCAAGTGCAAAAAGAATTGATTCAGTATTTGATTAGATGGAGGCTGCTCTAGGTGCATTGTATAGAAGAGCCAACTCACCGAACATATCTCCACTTTAATATTATTTAATTAATTTAGGTTCTTGATCTTTAGAGAATCGTCTATAACAATCTAATTAACCTTAAGCTACAACATATAATTCATTGCCATCATCACCTTAATTAATTATCCAATCTCCTGCATTGAAATGTTTTTCTTCCATGGCATCAATAATTATATTTTTTTCATTTTAATCCAATCCTTAAAACATAAAAACACCACTTAGTTTGTTTTCTATTCTTTCTCTCTGATCTTAACTTTTAGGAATTACTCTAGGTTTAAAGTCTTCTTTTTTATTGTAAAGTCCATATACTTCAGCACTTACAGAAGTACGAAATTGTTATTCTTTTCTTACAGCTTTTTCTAATTCGTCTACATCTTCTGCATTATCTTCTTCAGAGGATATATGATATTCAATCTATAGACTTTGTGTTGTTCTTACATTATTTTTAGCTCTTCTTACTTCTAAGTATTAAATCATCCAATCAATCTAACCTAAAATTTTAAATTACATAATTTTCTGGTTATTTTTTGAATAACTCATACACCATATTTTAGATAACATCATTAACTTTGGCTTTATATTTGGAAATTTTATCTTTGCTATTCATAAATATTTATCTATATCAAACAAATAAATAATTTTTAAATATATAATATTTATTTTACCATTGATTTACTTAAAATATCAAGCATTTATTATATATATTTAATCATAATGTTTCAATTTCTGAATCATTTTTAGGATTAATTTATTGTGATTCATCTTTTAAAATGCTTTCTTCAACTTAATTACTATTATTATTATTATTATCCTATTAACTTTTATTTAATTCATTTCCATCTTCACTCTTCTTTATATCATGCTAAGATTTCTATTTTGGAATGGATCTGATTTTTAATACTTAAATTGGACGTTTAAATAATGATCTTACATCCCCAGATTTATTAACTTAGTTTGTACTAGTCTTAGCAGTTAATCTTTCAGAAGTAGGATCAAATATTGATGAACTATTTTCATAAATCAATTTAGACTATTAAGATTTTATTGACACTTCAGATTAATTTCTATATACACTTTTCTTTGTTTTTGTAGATTCCAATAATTCTTAAAATAATGATTCCAATCTTAATTTAGATTCAATTAATGTTTAATTTTCAAAATCTAATTTCTTGACTCTACCCTTACAGTAGGATATATATTCAGTTGTTGATTTAAGTTAAGTCTAAGCAGTCTTGTAAGAATCTTTTATTAACTCAAGTTCAGTTTATAATTCATTTACTTGTTTCCTTAATCCTTCTATTTCACTTACTTTACCTTTTCGATTTTATTAAGCAATCAAAAAATCTAATTTTTCTTTTATTTCTGCCTTCTCTCTCTATAATAATCGATTCTATTCTTTAACTCTACTCAATTCACTTTCTAAATAAATGATTTACTCTCTACTCACTGAATTTGATTTCATCAACGCTTTTAACTATAGTAGAGAGTAGCACTCTATACCTCTAAATCTATTTTTTTCATGCGTTCTAATGCATCTATTAACTTTTTATCTTTCTCTACTTATTTATTGGTTGCCTCCTTACATTAGATCTCTAATAACCTTATTTATCTTAATAATTCCTTATTCTAATCATTTGTTTCTTATAATTAATTCAAAATAATTGCATAATCCCTAAATAAATATTATTCTTACTTTTCAATTTATCCTATCTTAATTTCATATGTTTTTTTAATCTCCAAAATTTAATTATCTTTATCTTTCAAAGATTTCTCAAATTATATAGATTATTCTTTTAATTTCTCTTCTAAATTAATAACATTTTATTATTGTTTAGCTATTAAATTATGTTCATTATTCACTTTATTTTCCAATTCTTAAATTAATTTATCTTTAGTTTAAATTTGTTAATTTTATGATTTGATTTATTATGTAAGAAGTGATATTTCTTAAATTTCTTTTTCATTCAATAATTTAAGATTATTATTTTCAAGTAATAAATTATCTCTCTATTATTTTAGTTAATTAAATTCTTCATCATTTTCATTTAACTTGTTTTATAGCTCTAATTATAATTTCTTAAGATTTTCTAGCTATTATTAATTCAATGTGTCTTTTTATTATTAATGATTTTATTGATTTTTAAGTAGATCTCTTAATTGTTCTAACTCAAATTAGTGTTTGTTATTTAAATCTTAAATTTGAAGTTACAATTATTTTTTCTGATCTTCTGAATCTTGGAGTTCTCTTTTTAAGTTTTCATTCTATATTGACATCTGATTGACATTTTAAAGTAACTTATCGTTTATAGATCTTAAGTCATTATGATCTGATTATAAATCACGAATGGTTTATTATAATCCTTCAACTCTACTTTCTTCAGGTTAAGAATTCCTTAGTAACTCATTAGCTTGATCTAATTGAGACTTGACAGAGGAAAGCTCATCTTACATCAATTTTAGTTATTGCTATTACAAGATGGTTGCAAATTTACTTTGAATTCATGTTCTCTTGTTTTCCAATCAACCACATCACTCTAATTTTTCTCGATAAGTTTAACATTTTAAGTTTCCAGCATTTTAATTTTTTCTGATAATTCAACAACCTACATTATTTAAGAAAATCACATCTGCATTTTGATCAATTCTCTATTGTAGATTAACAATATCAGTTTGGAGTACAATGATTTATTGTTATCGATTATCTAATTCAGACTCAAGTGATTTAATTTTTATGTCTTTATCAGTCATTAAATTTATAAAATTAATGGGATACTGTATATAAGTTAATGATGGTAAAAATATTATAAGGTAATGTTATGATAAATGAATTGTAAAAATAAAAAAGTAGTAAAAATATGATATTTACTATACATTGAATAATAATAAATAATATATATATTATTAATAATGGATAACAATAATGAGAATGATGAAAATCAAGAACTTCTTAATGAAGAAGAAGATGATGACTTTCCTGAATATGCCAATGAAGCAAATAAGGAACTTAATGAGAAGGTATTAATATGTGTAATTTTGAATTTTAGATAAAACATAAGAGAAGCATTATTCGAGACATCAATTCAAAGATTGAGGAAAAGAGTGATAAATTAAAAGTACTTTCAGAACACTTAAAGAACATTTAACAAGAATTACTTCACACTTAAGCTTTGGTATGAATTGAGTAATAGTTAAGATTGATACAAAAAATAAAGAAATTGAAACTGAAGACCATTTGAAATAAATAACAGAACGATAAATTGGTCGACTTTAAAATGAAATGACTAAATAATAAAAGATGTATAGTATTAATACTTAATTTTAGAATGATCGAGTAATAAGAGAGATTGAATGATGTTTAGAATTCAATCTATAGAGGAAATGAGAGATTAGATAAATATAAGATTGAAATGAATTGGAATTAAGAAGAATTAGAATAGTGGGTTTTGGCTGCGAGATAAAAGGAGGAAGACTCACTAACTATGGAGAAGTATAAAAGAGGAGACGAAGCTAAAATTAAAGAACTTAATCTTTAAATTGAAAAATTAACAGTTGAAGTTAGTAGAAGATAAAATGAATTAGATAGAGAAATTACAGAAACATAAACTGCTTAAATTGAATTAGATAAGACAGCTGAAGAATTTAGAAGATAACATGATGAACGTCATAAATTATTTTAATAATGGTAAGAAGTAACAGATAATATTGCAAGAAGAGATTAAGCTATTAGAGATGAATCAGAAAGATATGCAGACATTAAAGCTTAAATTAAAGCTAATTAATAAGACTTAGAAAATCGAAAGTCTTAATTAATGAATGAAAAATAAGAAAATAAATCAGTTGAAATTTAAAATTAATAATTAGAAAGAACTATTATTCAATAGAGATAATCAAATAAAGATATTGAATTGGCTATTGATAATTTAAAAGCAGATGTTGAAATCTAGAAGAATTAACTTTCTGCTTTTGCTACTGATTTATCGAATAAAAGAAATAGATTGGCTTAAATGTCATAAGAACTTTTAATTAAAAAGTAGAGATTAAATAATGCTTAAAAGAAATATGCTAGCGAAAAGTAGAAATTAAAATTGGAAGATATTTAACATTAAGAATTTGAAAAATAAAGAAGCATGGCATCAGATAGATATAAGAATTTAGAAAAATCAAGAATTGATTTGGATAAAGAAATTAAATTATAAAAAGAAGTTCTATTTAAAGCAACATAAGATTTATTTAAATTGAGAGAAAATGAAGCTAATTTATATGGAGAAATACAAGCTAATGTAAGTGCTTGCCGTAATTATTAAGCTCATATCAATAAATTAATTTAAGAATTTTAGAGATAATAAGAATTATTGTATAATGCAGAATATTAGATATAATTGATGGAAAGAAGAGTAGCAAGAGCTAAAGGAGAACGTACTTTGGAAGAGAAGAAGGATTTAGAAAATGAAATAAAAGAAATAGAGGAAAAAGTGAATTTATAAAAGAAAGAATATAAAACATTATTATTGAGTTTGAAAAGACTTGATGATGACTTAAGAGGAACAGATAGACAACTGACAGGTACTAAAGCATCATAAACGAAATTGAAATAAGCAATAGATGAATTAACTCTAGAAAATGATATGACATATTAGGATTTAAGCAAGATAGTAAAATCAAAAGAAGAAGTATTGGTTTAACATGATTTTATGAAATTGGAAATACAGAAGATATAAAAAGTGGTTACTACTGCTGTTGATAAAGTATTTAATTTAGAGAATCGTAAATATCAATTGGAAATGGCTATGTAAGAGAGAGAGTAGGAAATTTAAGTACATAAAGATGTTTTGGTTGCTGAACATAAGGCAGCTGAAGAAGAAAGACATAAAATTGCAGTTGAATTGGCTGAAAGATAAAATAGAGTGAAGAATTTGAGAATTAAATATGAATCTTTAGTTTAGAAGAATAAATCATCAAATGGAGAATAAGATACTTAAAATATTGAAGAACATTCATAAGCTTATTATATAATCAAGGCTTCTTAAGAAAGAGAAGAATTGCAGAGAAAGGGTGATGAATTGAATGCTGAAATCATAAAGAGAGATTAAGAATTAAAGGCTTTAGATAATACACTCTCTCATTTGAAGAATAGAAATAGTAAATATAGAGATAGTTTCTTGAATAAGGGTATTTCTTAGAAAGAAGTATCACATAGAGATGGATTAGAGGAATAATGTAGAGCAGCATCTGAAAATCTATTCAAAAAGAAAAAGGAATTATAAAGATTACAATAAGAAATTGATGAAGATATGAGGAGATTAACAGAAATATAAAATAGAGTAATTATCTATCATTTATTTATATAGATTGAAATCTTAGATAATCAAGAGAGGGAAGTAGAAATGTAGCTTTAGAAAATGGAAAGGGAATTATAAGATTAACAAGATAAAATAACAAGAGCTGAGAACATTATGAATTCTAAATTAGCGAAAGTCTAACAAAAAAGAATAGTCCTTGATGAATCAAATGCACATATCTCAGCATTAGAATTAGACATTTAGAATAATTTAAATAAAACACTAAAGACTTGCATTTTGTAATATTTTACATTCTATCAATCAATATAGTAATTTAGTCTAAGAATTCCCAGAAATGCAAGCCATTATAGATGCAGTCTTTTAAGAGAAAAATGTAACTGTTCCTAGTAAATAACCATCATCTGTTGGAGTTCCTTCTGTTAGATCCTCTGTACGTTCAGCTTCTTCTCAGGGCAGAAGATGATTATGATGATATTAATAAGTAATTAAACAAATAAATGTACCTAAAAAGTATCACTCGTTAAGAGATGCTATTTTAAATCGAAACTCTCAAATATCAATTAGAGCATGAGAAATAGAATCAAGAGAAAGAGGTAAAGTAGATTAAATTGGATGTGTAAAAAGAAGTATTAATGTTCACATTCTATAGATTGAAGAATTATAAGATGAACTGAAATAATTAGAAGAAATGAAAATAAATGCTTAATTCTAACAGTATTTTTAAATGAAGAAAGACAATAAGACTTTAAAACAATAAAATACTATTTTGAAAGATATGTTAAGAGCTTGTTAAATTACGAGTTCTACAAAAGAATTGGAAATATTAAGACTAAAATAGAAATTGTATAGATATAATCGTCATTAATTATAAATCAAAAAAGAAAGTCAGTTAGAGTGGTGTTAATAATAGAAACTTTAAAGTAAAGATGACAGAAATTAATCTCATCAGAGAAATAAAACTTAACCTTCATTGATGGATTCTACAGCAGAAACTTCATTAAAACTATAACCAATAAAATTCAAGATTAATTAATGATAACTTAATATTCATCTCTAAGAATTAATTTTAACTTTCTAAACTCTTTGAATTTCTTTTAATTTCAATTATTTGTATAGCTAATTTTAATAATTAAATTACATCTTATTTTAATTGTAAATTTGTACAATCTATTTGTGGAGANCATTTATTTATATAGATTGAAATCTTAGATAATCAAGAGAGGGAAGTAGAAATGTAGCTTTAGAAAATGGAAAGGGAATTATAAGATTAACAAGATAAAATAACAAGAGCTGAGAACATTATGAATTCTAAATTAGCGAAAGTCTAACAAAAAAGAATAGTCCTTGATGAATCAAATGCACATATCTCAGCATTAGAATTAGACATTTAGAATAATTTAAATAAAACACTAAAGACTTGCATTTTGTAATATTTTACATTCTATCAATCAATATAGTAATTTAGTCTAAGAATTCCCAGAAATGCAAGCCATTATAGATGCAGTCTTTTAAGAGAAAAATGTAACTGTTCCTAGTAAATAACCATCATCTGTTGGAGTTCCTTCTGTTAGATCCTCTGTACGTTCAGCTTCTTCTCAGGGCAGAAGATGATTATGATGATATTAATAAGTAATTAAACAAATAAATGTACCTAAAAAGTATCACTCGTTAAGAGATGCTATTTTAAATCGAAACTCTCAAATATCAATTAGAGCATGAGAAATAGAATCAAGAGAAAGAGGTAAAGTAGATTAAATTGGATGTGTAAAAAGAAGTATTAATGTTCACATTCTATAGATTGAAGAATTATAAGATGAACTGAAATAATTAGAAGAAATGAAAATAAATGCTTAATTCTAACAGTATTTTTAAATGAAGAAAGACAATAAGACTTTAAAACAATAAAATACTATTTTGAAAGATATGTTAAGAGCTTGTTAAATTACGAGTTCTACAAAAGAATTGGAAATATTAAGACTAAAATAGAAATTGTATAGATATAATCGTCATTAATTATAAATCAAAAAAGAAAGTCAGTTAGAGTGGTGTTAATAATAGAAACTTTAAAGTAAAGATGACAGAAATTAATCTCATCAGAGAAATAAAACTTAACCTTCATTGATGGATTCTACAGCAGAAACTTCATTAAAACTATAACCAATAAAATTCAAGATTAATTAATGATAACTTAATATTCATCTCTAAGAATTAATTTTAACTTTCTAAACTCTTTGAATTTCTTTTAATTTCAATTATTTGTATAGCTAATTTTAATAATTAAATTACATCTTATTTTAATTGTAAATTTGTACAATCTATTTGTGGAGATAATGATTTAGTATTTTGAATAAGTAGTTATTATTTAACAAAGTTTTCAACTTTCTGCTAAAAACAATTGGTGGCTTTATTAAATTATGAAGTTTGTTATGAATTACTAAAGTTAGTATTAGATGGGACTGTTTGTTTGTTAGTCAGATTGAAAAAGAAGGATTATTATGTACTTTTTCTTGAAGTATTGGTATGATTGTTTTATAAGAGTCTTTTAGGTTTTTAAGCGATAATAATAAATTGATCTTCTGGTCTTAACTATTTTAATAACTTTTTGTAAATCTTTAAAGAATCTTCTTCTGGATGTTCTGACAATCTCTTTTTTTTGAGAAATGTTTGTTTATAATCTTATAAATTAGTCATTGCTCTTTGTCTTAATCTTGAAGTATTGGATTCTTGTGGATTGCTAATTGATTCAATTTTATCTAGAGATTTGACTTAATGTAAATGAACAATATCTTCAATAGTTGAGAAAGCTTTAAATTCTTATAAAAGTGTAGGATTATATTTATTTTAATCGAGAATATGAAATAATTTTTATCCTGCTACTTCAACATATAATTTTGGCTGATTATTTTTTTATTAAGTTTCTTATTTTAATTTACATAATTCTTACGTCAGTCTTTATGAATTAAGTTTGGAGAATTCAAACTTTTACATATCAATCTTATCTCTTTCTGAAGTTTAAACTCTAATGTCAAGATAATTATTTCTTAAATGAAAACTATTGCTTTAATTATTAACAATATTAGTAGTGAAACCAGAACCTAAATCAAATTAAGTTTCTGCTGCTCCATTATACCAACCATTTACAGCTCCAGAAAGTAATTTATTTGTTTTCATGATTCTATGATCAGCAGGACCATCAAATATTTTAGTACTATCAATTTTACAGAGTCTTCGCATTCCAAATTGTAAAGCTGTCTTTCTATCTACATTCTAAGTTATGAAAGAATTAAATGACTTACATTCTCCTTTAAAAAGAGAAAATGTATTGCTCTATCAATAGGAGCTGGATCATTTGGTCTATCTTTGAATTTACAGCATTATCCAAAAAAGGCTACCTTAATCTATACAGAATTTATATACTTCTTCTTTTGCTGCTATTTTTAATGCATTTTCATAGTTCATTCTTTTTCTAGTAGGAGCCTTTTTCTTCATTAATTATTAAAATGTGTTCAGATACTGAATCTCTAAATAATTGGAAAATTAGAATCTATTCTAACTTTTTATCTGTCTTAAATAATTTGTAAAAGTAGAACTAACTATAATCTATAGATTCTAAATGATCCAAAAATCTATTATAAGGAAGAAAAATTTTATAAATTTCATTAAAGAAAGATTTATATTTCATTTCTTAGTAATCTTGATAACAAATAAATTCATAATAAATAAACATACTCAAAAAACATAGGCTAATTAGATGGATTTTATGAACCATACCCTAATAGGAGGAAAACATTTTATAATGTGATTCAGCAATAGTCAATTACAAACTTAAGATAAACTGTTAGAATTACTTTTTTAACTTTAGTCAGACTAATATAACTGAACTTTCTCATTATTTTTCACTAGAATAATATTTACTCTATCACATAATTTAAAGAGAATCACTAATATTTAATTCATCTATTTTCTATCATAATCATAATAATGTATCTACTTGGAACTCATATAAACTATCCTAAATACTATCAAAAATATTTCAGAAGATAAATAAATTAGCCAAAACATCAAAATTAGCTGTAATACTAAATAATTAGAACAAATTCTTAGAAAATATGAAACATATCTCAAGATATAAAATTTTGATGGCAGAACTATTTTACATCTTATTGCAGCCATAAAATATATTGTAATTAATCTAATTCTTAATGCTAGATTTAAAGAGGAGAATTACAAATTCTCTAACTTAAATATAATAAGTAAATTAAAAATCTTAATCAATTTGTTAATTTCGATAATAAAAATATTTAACAACTTTTTGTTTTAGTTAAAAATTAAAATTATCCAGTTAAGATATAAATCCAAATTTAAAAGGATCTTTAGGGCATTATACACCAAGAAAACACAATCAAATAATAGTAAAAAAATTAAATTATAAAAACTCATTTATATTGTTATTGACAAAATCATCAAAATTTTGCAAACCGTAATAAAAATGAATGACAATTTAAAAAATACCATTTATTCAAACAAAAATTCCGTTCTTTCTATTCTTTCTATTTTTATTATTTTTAATGTTAAATAATTCCAAAATTTTCCAAAAAAATCTTGTATTAATTTAATTTTTAATATTTTAAAAAAATTCATTCATACACCTAAATCAATTAAGATTAACTTTCTTTAAATTTTCTCTCCCTCTTTTAAATTCTTAGAATTTACACAATATCCATCTAATATTATTCCATACAATCTAATATTTTTAAATATTCATTTCATCAAGAATGAATTCATAATTCTTAATAATTTAATAAAATACATCATTCAAATGAAAACAGAATGTTTACATAATTCTAATAATAAAGCAATAGTAAATCTATTAAAATAAAACAAATGTAAAACCTTTACATATCACACTACTTAAACTGAAATTAGGGAAGATTTTTATAATAGATAAAAAGATTATGAAAAATTATACAAATACTACTACAATACCAAAAAAGTAACAACAACAACAACTCCCAAAAATTCAAATTATTCAAGTGCTGCCATAAAAATTAAAAAAGAGTTTCTTCAAAAAAGGTAAGGCTCTAAAAAATTTTTCATCTTTAATGAATAGCATGCAGAATAATAGAGGTCAATCAAAATAATCACAGAGTTTTTTAGAAATCAGAAAAAGGTTGTACAAGATAAGTAAGTAAATTGTGAACCAAAGATGAGATAATTTAACTTAGTTTTAATTTTGGCGATTGCGCTCCCTTTGTTATGCCTTTTGACTGTTTTTGCTGAGATAAGATGAATATTTAATATAAAATATATTATTTCAAGAATTTTAACATCTATATTAACTGTTAATAATTATTTTTTCTGAATCTAATAATACTAAATTAAAGATGGATATAATAAATAGAAAATATGAATTTAAGATAATTTATAATATATTCAACAAGAAAATATTATTTTTCTAGTCTAAATTGCAATTTTAATTATATGATCTGTTTTATCTAGCTTTATATTATAATTAAAAATAATTAAATAAAATTGACAAATAACAATTATAACCCCTTTATGCAGTCAATAGTTTTACAAAATAAAATTGTATTTATCTCAAATTATTATTTAATCTAGAATAAAAATCTGGAGGATAAGAAACAAAAATCCGTAAAGTTATCAAATATGTAATCAACTATTATAAGAGTTTTTACTTATTAAGCTTCTGGAAGTAATGCTTTTAAATTCAGCCAGTGGACTTTTTATAAATAATTTAATGGTCTAAAATAAAATAATATAAACAATTGATTGTTTATTTTTAATTTGATAAAAAAATAATGATTTCAAAGAACTTGAACTCGGAGCTTTTCTTTATGAGAGAGTAGCACTTGACCATTAAACTAGAATACATGAAACTTTAAAGATATTATGTATTTCTAATAATATAAGAAGATTCTTTATATAAACAAATCATTTCCAATTTGAGTGAGGGATATTATTATTTTTGTTAATTCTCATTTCAGATTAAAAGGTGGTTATAAATCTGTTATAAGTGACTTCATCTAAGATCACTTCAAACTCTATAATACTAGGATCTCCTCTCTTTACAGGAGGTCTTTATAATTCATTTTTAATTCCTGATATATTGCCATTATCATAAAGCCATTTTAATCTTTCAAAATGTTAATCAATATTATATTTAATTCTGTATAATTTTTTATTCATAACTTGATTAGATTTTTCTTCCATAATTTAGAGCAATTTTTTAATATTAATGTTCATCAATGCACTAATAGGTACAATAGGTTAATCTTGAGTTTCAATGGATTCATAATCGATAGGGTAATTGATTAAATCAATTTTATTCCATACTTCAATCTAAATTAGAATAAAGATTTACCATTTTTTTATTATAAAACTCTTAATCAAAACCTAAATCTTTAAGAATATTAAGAACAACTTATTTTTAATGTTCAGTTTATGGATGAGATATATCTCTAATATGTAAAACAATATCAGCATCTTAAATTCCTTCTAGAGTAGATTTAAAAGGTTCAATCAAATCTTTTGGGAGATCACTAATGAAACCAATGGTATCTAACAAAATTGCTTTTTATCCAGATATTAATCTTATTTATTTTGAAGTGATATCTAAAGTTTAAAAGAGTAAATCTTTATTTTAAATTGCATCTTTTTATAAAATACAATTTAATAGTTGTGATTTACCAGCATTAGTATATCCTATCAATGCAATTTTAGGAACAGTTTGAATAAGCTTTTTTCTTTTTATATTAATTCTTTAAATGTTTACTTCATCAATGTGTTTTTTGACTATTTCAATTCTATCATCAATAAGTTTTCTATATAATTATAGTTCACTTTCAACTGAATCATTCATTTTATTTAGAGCCTTTCTTGATTAAGCTTAGATGATTTCTAAATAAATTTCATTGGCCATCATTAAATCACCTTTGAAGATTTATAAAAGTGATATAAAAGCATTATTATTTCTTACTAATTATGTTTTTACAAATTTAAGAAAAGATAATTCAATTTATAATTTAGAAACACCTTGAGTTGATCTTTTGGCAAAAATTTATAAAATCATAGTGAATCTATCATAAACTTTGACTGAAAGACCTTCTTCATTATTTATATTATCATAATTTTGTTAATCTTCATTATAATCATTAATATTTTCATTAATAGTAGATGTTATATCTCCTTTAGAATATTGAGTCCATATTTTTTACAAGTTTTTAGTTTATAATTATGTTAATTCATGATTTATAAAGACTGCATTAATTTTATTAGATTGAATATATTATCCTAACATAGATAATTTACTTTTAGTGAAAAAGGTATTAGAATGAATATGAGGAACTTTAACAAGAGATGATTTAGCAATTGAATTTCTAATAATTTAATTTTTCCATTCATCATCTAAATCATCTTCATTTATCAATAATTCATCTTTATTATCTGAATTATTTTTTGTTTGATTTCTTTTGATATTTTAATCTTTCCAAAAAGGTCCTTATTGTAATGTCCAATTCAATTATTTCGATAATCCAATAGCTTCTTCTGCCATATATAATTCTAATTGTGGATCTTAATTTTAATGAAATATTGGATGTAAGACTATACATTTGATAGATTATTATGAGATTTATAATTTGGTTGGATTAGGTTTAGCAAAATCTAAAATTTCTTTAGAGAATCGATACTTAAGAATAGCGTTACTTAATTTCTTGATTAACATATATAAATTAATGAATAAATTAACAATCCCCTTTGATAATGAGAATGATGAATTTTTTGATGAAGATGCAATTTCAAAATCAACAATATAAGCATTGAATAATTCTTTTAATAAAGAATAATTAGATGAATAAATTGAAAGACCATTCACACCTTTAGATGTTTAGATAGAAATTATACCAAAAGAACAATGTCCACATTGTAAACGTTAATTCTTTTATGGTCGTTTACCATTACACCTACGTAGTTGTACAGCAGAACATCCATTTGTTAAGAAATCTAAAAAATAAAAAACTTAAGCTATTCCTAAATAACCAACCTTATAATCATGTTCATAATGTCATAAAAAATATAGAAATCTTAAAGTTCATACATGTTAAAATAAAATAAAAACACTAGATAAATATAAAGTTGTTGCATAAATTAATGAAGAAGAAGAAGCAGATGAAACTTTAATTTAAGAACTCTCCTCAAGTCAACCATCATTTCTACCTAAAATTAAATAAAGAACTCAAAACATATTATCCCGTTCTGTACCTATTGCCAAATGTCCATCATGTTAGAAGTCTTTTGAATAAAAAGCATATGAAAAACATATATAACTATGTATTCGTATCAATAGTGGAAATTAATTTCAACGTACTATCTTTTGTACTAATTGTGGCAATAAGTTTGCCAATAATCATAAATATTGTGGTTCATGTGGTAAAAAAAGACTTTGATAATTATATAATATCATTTCTATTTTACTCTACAAACAATTTTACTAATTCAAATCTCTTTAATTCTTAATTAACATATCCTTATATACTAATATTCATTATCTTCTTAAACACAAATAACTCATTTCAAATCTTTAAAAATTAATGACCATTCACTTTTACATTTTACACTAATAAATCACAACTCTATATTTTCACTTTTTATTTCCTCTATCAACTATCTCTCATAATTTTATTCTTCTATACTTCTACTCATCTATTTTTCACATATATAATTCATAATTCTATTTTAATATAAATCTATTATCTTTTAATCAGATTTTGTGGTAATTTATGATAAATAATTGTTATCAGATATACCGATAAATTAAGTAAGTAATTCATCTGAATCAAATAATCAGAATCAGCCAAAATAATAAAAACTATAATTAATAGTTGCTAAATTAGCATAATATGATTTCTTATTTTAGAATATTCTCTTTAAATGTGATACTAGAATCTAAACTAGAAAGATACTAATTTTGAAATAAGAGATGAAATATAATCTGAGCTTGAAGAATCAATATTTAAATAAGATTTTGAAAAAAATTAGGTAAGAACAAATACAATAAAGCATTATTGATTAAATTAATTAATAAATTACTTAATGCAAACAAAATAATGCAGAATCTTATCAAAAGATTGCAGATAATAATTAAAAAATAGCAGAACTTGAGCGATTAAAATATAAACAATAAATTTAAATAAAATAGATCGAAAGAGATATATTCAAAAAATAAAAGATTCTTGATAAAATTTAATAAGAAACATAAATCTATTCACAAAATTCGCAAAAATTTTAAATTCTAACAAAAGAAGTTTCATTAATTAAAAAAGAGAATTAAGTAACTTTTGATATTAAAGATTCTTAAACTATTAAAAAGAATATCTAAAACCTTGAAAGAGAAAAAACTTCTTAAACTTGAAATTATAAGAATACTTAAACAAATAAGAAAATAAAGATAAAAATAAATATGGGAAGAAATCACATAAGTAAGAGACAAAATTAAATTCTGAAATAGAAGCTATTTTTAAAGAAATAGAAGAAATTGAAAGTAAGATTAGAGAATAAAAAATTAATTAGAATAAGATATGAAAAATGATAATTATAACTTTTAAAAACAGAATAATTAAGAAAAAATAGGAAATGCTACTGCTACAAATTAGATATCAAAAAATTATAATAACAATTAAAATTATAATTAATATGTATAAAGAATATAGTTATGAATCGTAAAGATTTAAAATTCGTTTACAATATTAAAATAGATTATTATATATAATAAGTTTTTATTTTTAAAAAAAAACCTAATAACTTTAAAAGAAAATTGGTTTTTATCTATATATTTAAACTCTAGTGATTATATAAATTATAGTCTGCTTTTATTAATTTAGAGAGTTCTATTTTTATATTTATTAAAATAATTATGTATAAAATCTTGTAATTAGTGAAAAATTTGAATAAATTTTATATATGATGTAATCCAGATTTAAATATGAGAGTTACATTAGTATTAACAAAAACATCAATATATTTACTTATTCTGCATTGAATTTAAAACTTATTGAATCTGCAATTCAATTAATATTGCTATTAAATCGGTGTTTGATGATTTAAGGGAAAATCAAAGCATATAAATATGCTGGCTTATTCTTTTCAGCATAGAACAATATAGTATAATTTATATCTCTAATTAATAGGTATGCTAGCTTGTGAAAAACATTAATGATCAATTTAGTGAATAAGCATGAGAATATTTATAAAATAGATTTATTTAAGATACTTGAAAATTTTAAAGATTGAACATTAATTTTACAAAATGAATTAGTTGAATTAAAATTGATGGTATTTCTATTTTCATTTTAATGAACTATACAAAATACCAATCAATAGAATATTGTTTTTCAAATTAAATTTCTTGATTAATTAAGTATAGAAAATATTATTATTATTCTAATATCTTTAAATGTAATAAAAGATATGACGTTTATTTATTACAATGATCAAAGCTTAAATTTGAAGAAAGTGAAAAAACTCTTAAACAAATTAAATTATATTTATTGAGTTTTGAATAATACAGACTGATCTATCTTAAATAAGCAGTTTACTCAGATAAGAAAGTACTTCAATATAATTAAAAATTCAAACAAATTATTTTGATGAAGAACCTTATTATTTACAAGATCTTATGGACATTAAAATATTGATAAAATTCATTCCATCCTGATTTCTATTAAAATATTTTATGAAACCACGATATCAATAAATTTTATCATATAACATAATCAAAGTATTTTTAAACTTTATATAAAGCTAAAAGCATCTTTATTAATTAGATTGGTTAACTTAGAACTAATAAATATTACTTGAAATGACTTTATAAAATCTTTTATAATTTCTCTACTTCAGCTTAATATATCATTCATTATCTTCTTAATGTTATATATAGAAAGGAATTAGATTTGGAGATTTATTAGAATTGTGAATTTAATTTGGCGAATTTAATGATGTTTTTAAATTTCTTGATTGATTTTATTTTAATGAATAATCATTCAATTATAATTAAGATGCTTTCTTCTTTTCATCTTTATTTATATAATCACTATATATATTAATCATAGGTTTATGGAGTGAATTCATCAATTTTTTAAGTATTCTCTAAATACTTCACTTAAAATTAAACTTCTAATAATTCAGCAAAGTCATCTGTTTCCTGAGTGATTTGAGATACTTAATTTTATCAATAAAGCTATTGCATCTTAGACACCTAATAATTTTGGAATATCTCAGTCATTTAATAATAAAAAATATTTCAATCTAAAAACTTTAAAATAATGTATAATTATTCAGAATATTTAGTAGTTTTTCATTTAATGATTTTTTATGTTATATTCAATAATTCATAATTATTCTCATCCTATAAATTGTTATAATTAAAGAAATACAATTTCATAACAAATCTTATATATCACAAAACTAAAAATATGGAATATTCTTTTTTTACTTGAAAATTCTATTTTGATTAAAAATTATTAATTTTATTCTTCTTGAATTGAAAACAATTATTAATATTTAATTTTTATAAGAAGAAATTGCTATTTTAATTGTTAAATTTTATATTATCTCAATTTCAATCATATAACAAAATAAAAAATAAAAAACTAAAGTTAGTTATAAAAAAAATATTAATTTAAAATGTAAATTAAGATTAAGTTATTATCTATTAATATTTGTAAGATAATTGAGTATGATGAGATAATGAATTATCTGATTGATTAATTTTGTAGTTTAAAGTGATGTATGTAATTAAGTAAATATAAATATCTTAATTGAGTTAAATTGTTATAATGAGTTATGAGTAGTTGATTATTAATATTAATAATATCAGTGAAATTAAGTTTGATATGAAATAGAAATTGATTTTGAATCTTGTGATAGTAATATAGATGGCTGAGAACACTTTGTTCATAATGGACTGTATTTACTCGATAATTTATAAACATTATGAAGTATTAAAATAAAATAATGAAAGTATGTTGCTATGGTTACTTTATGTGTATTTATGATAGTATTACTCCTTTTGTTGTTGTTAAATACAAAAAGTAAGATAATGATTATTAAATTTAGTGACAATATTTAACAATAAGAGTGGGAATATAGATAAAGGATGTTTGAGTTGTGGTAGATTGAGTAAGGATTATGAATGCAAGTAATGTAAAATTTGTATGAAATGCGATGGTAAATTTCATTCAAATTACTTAAATAAATGTTTAGATAAAAATGAATTATAGTATAGAATATTTTATAATAAGAAAGATACATTTATAAGAGTATTTGGTTATTGGTACTAAAATGTTTATTATGTACATTTGTAAGAATATTTGGATTAATATCATATTTGGGAGATGTTACAAGTTTATTTATAGTAATGAATTGTAAAATATTAGGTATTTTGTATAAGTTTGTCTGGAGGTGTAATATTAGATTTAATAATAACAATATTGGTAATATCTATATAGCAATAATTATCAAAAGAATAAAATAATAATAGTAAAAATGTAGATAGAAAAAGTGAAGATGCTACATGTGTAATAGGATAAGTAGTTAGTTCTGGAAGTCCTAAATTAAATAAGCAATTAAAAATATTGGATTTTTTAGAGAAGAAATTAAGTCATCGAAATAAATTGATAAATTGTAAAAAGATTAATGAAACAGATCCAATTCCAGTAATATTAGATGAGAATGGAGAAGATATTATTTAATCACATAGATAACAATTAAATGTATTGACTCCATTGACTTTAAATAATATAATTAAGTAATAATAATGAGTTCTTATCGTAAAAATTGCACAAAATCAGAAATGTCTATGAATGATACTTCAAACAATGTTCCAGTCTAATAATAAATCATTTCATTGAATTCTTAACCTATCATGTAAGTTAGAAGACCAAGTGATTTGAATAGTTCTTTTACACCAATCGATTCTCAACATAGTATTAGAACTTCCATTAAATTAGAATAGGTACTCATAATGTATAGAAATCACCACTTTGTACATCAGGTGCTTTAGATGGTAGAACAACACCATTAAATCTCATTAATGAAGAATCAAGTGTAAATGAATAATCAGACAATAAAGCATTTGAGAGTTTAATCAATAAAAAAACTATACCATAAATCAATGATTTTACTATCAAAGAACCAGTACATTGGAGTTAAGTTTTTACACATTCTGGTACATTTAATTAGGATGATTAATTTAATAAGTTTGGATCATTTTTAGGAGATAATACTCATTCATAATTAAATATCTAATAAGAATAATAATACAATATTAAACCAACAATTATTATAATATAAATCATTCTCTATATCTATTATTTATATTCATTTCCACTTCTACTCTATGGAATAGCTTATGCAGATTATAAATTTACATATAACTTACTAACTTAACTCCCATTATTATTATTAAATTTTATACTCTTTACTTTAAGCATTCAAAAAGCTGCTTCATTTATAGACTATTTACCACTAGCTACATTTATTCCATTTATATGTACTTTGATTGATTTTAAGTATTTTATATACATTATCTTAGTTAGTAAGTTATCTTCATGCAAATCATACATTTACTAACATTTATTAGATTCTATTACATATTTAAATAGCTACTTTAAATTTCTATTTGTTTAACTCAATATCCTATATATTTCTTTATTGTTAGAATATCATAAATACATCTATTTTAAACTATATGTGGATTCCTTATTGTTATTACTTAACTTAATTCAAATTAATTAAGTTTAAATGAATACTATCAAAATCATTGTAGTTTATTCAATATTCTCATAACAACTAATGATAAATCTATACTTATTTATCCAATCAAAATTATTGTACTTATTTTTATTATTTATCAATTCACTATTATTAGCTATTAAATTAATCAACTCTATAAGAATTAAAATAATTTGATTTCAGGTTTAATTGAATTCTCTAAAATTGTTCACTAATTGCCATTTCATCTTAGATATTAAAGTTTATCTATTTCACATAAATAAATTTTATCAAGATTAAAAACTACAAGCCTTATTGATTATGAAAGATTACCTAATCAATTATCTAATAAATTATTAAATGCTTAGTATTCAAAAATATTAAGAAAAATACCCTTATTAGATAAATGTTTAAGTAAAGCTTCAATCACAAGTATTTTAATGAATGCTACTAAAGAAAGAATTTTAGAACCAAATGAAATTCTTATTGAAGCATAATCAGAAAATAAATTCTTATATTTTGTTCTATCAGGATAAGTCAAGTGCTTTTAACAGAGAGAAAATAAATAATTTCCAATAACTAATAATGATAATGGAATCTATAATTAGTATGGTTTCTTTTTAGAATAATTGTCTGAAGTTGGTGTTTAATGTGAAACTTGTTGTAAAATACTAGAAATTAATTCGGAAATGTTTTGGAAAGAAGTTAAAAAAAGTATTCCTGAACTTTAAAAAATTAAAATGTGTTTAGATAGAGTACAATTTAATTAAGAGTACAAATTAATTGGAGTTACATGTTAAATATGTAAAGGTAATCATAAAATAGACAATTGTACAAAAGTTCATTATATTCCTTCAAAATAATTATTAATGGATTACATTTATTTTGATGAAATAAATAAAAGATAAAAATTTTAAAGAGTAAATAATAATAATAAAATAGAGAAATCATACAAGAAAGTTTAGATGCATGAAAAATACTAGTATGATAGAATAAGTTGTTTGTAATGTTAGACATTTAATGTTTTTATCATCTGATACTTCTAAACGTCCAAAAACTATTACCAGTTTAGGAATGTAATTTGAATAATAGCATACAGTACATTCTGATGAAGAAGAACATCATAAAATGTCTTAATATGTGTAAAATTTGAGTCCTGTCTAATATGTTCCTTAAGTTGGGAGTAGTGCCAGTTCTTATGTTTTAAAAGAATTGAAATAAGCATAACAATTAAAATCACCTAAAGATAGTTTTATGGTTCATTAAAGGAGATATCAAGATAAAAGATAATCACATGTTACTAGGATTGAAAGAGGTAAGCAAATTTATTTATTTTAGATTTAAGTCCATCTATTATTAAATATGCTACAATTTAAGATAAAAAGAGTTAAAAATCTAAATCAATTATTAGTGAAGATCATGGTAATGGGGTTTTATAAAGTTCTGATCATAGATAATTCTCAAAATATGGCATTTAATCTTCTAAATTTACAAATGAAACAGCAAAACAGTTCATGAATAATCCATTTGATATGCCATTATATGATCTTAATTAATCTATTGATAATAATCATAGTTATAGTGATTATTTTCCTAGAAATAATATAGATTAGGTACATTCACTATTTTATTTAGGCACTTCTCTCCTATAAATAATATCAAGATAGTATTATATCAAATAAGAGTAAATAAAACAGTTGATTATCAAATATATATTTTTTATTATTGTTTATTATAATATCAAAGTGTTAATCATCAAATTTTATCTAATTCTTAACTAAATTAATTTTAAATCAAATTTCTAAAACAGATTATCTAATAAATCAACTAATCTATAAAATTTTGATAATTTATTTTTTATTTTTGAATCTTATAATAAATTTAATAGTATATATGATTAAATAAAACTTTTTCTTAATTGAAAAAAAGATAATGAAGAAAGAAAATAAAAAAAAAGACTAATGGGTGTGAAATCCTAAGTAGAATTAATTATGATTTATATTGAATTATTAAGTATAATAATCATTATATATTTTTCATTCTATTAATATTTTAAGTTTCTACTAATAGAATTCATGGAAATGATTATTATTCAAATAAACTCAATATTTAAGTTTTTATAAATGATCCTCTAGTAATTTAGAATGATATTTTTCTCTTGAACCATCTAAGTTTACAGTACCTCTCCATATAAATTTAGATTCTTTAAATACAATCATATTATCTGGCCAAATTCCAAATGTTTCATCAAATAAATTTTATGGGAATACATCCAAAAAAATTTCGAAATCATCAGGAATATGATATTATGTTTTAAGTATTTTAGCCATCTTGAATCTATCCTCTTAAGTTTTGTGTTATGGATATTCATATTCATAAAATCCAATAGGCCATCCATCTACAAATTTACCTTCCCCATCTCTTTCAACAAAATGAGCTTCCTTTATGTAAATGATAATGCATTTGCAAACTTCTTTATATTTTTATGCAAATGCAATATAATCATCCATAGCTTCACGATAAGGAGGTCATGTTATACTACCACCAAATACAACCAGAAGTTTATTCTCTTTATGACTATTTAACATTAATTCTTAAAGAAACACTTTCTCATTATTCAAATTCAATAATGGAATTTCAGGTGGTTATTCATATAATCCAATTTTACATCCATGCATTACATTATTTCTCCAAAAGAATACTTATTTCTTTAATTCAGGATCATTAATGTATTTTCTAGTCAAAGCATAGTATAATTTATGATTTAAAGGACAATCATCATATCCAAAATGTTTAAATATTTCTGAATGAATTAATTCCTCAACAGCTCCTGAGTAATTCATTTATCCATATAAGTCTTAAACATTCTTATCCAATCTCACTTACTAATCATATTAATTTTATATATAACTTATTCTTTTAGTATAAGTTCAAAGAATTTTTCTTTGTCATTAGGTATCAATTTGATATTTTGGTTCTTAATTCCCTCTTCAATTTCTTCATATGTTGGTGGTTTATAACATGATCCACAGTTTCTTGTTTACCCTTCCCCATATGTATTCACATCAAACAATTCCATAATATCCTAAAATTTTTAAATACTATATACATTTCCTATTGATTGGGATTACATTTAATATTAATAATATTGTTTTTATATATAATAATAATTGCAATTCAAATAGTCAATTTAATAGAATATTAAAGATCTTAGTAAAGACACATATAAATATTTAATAGATAAGCATATATCTATACCGATAATTTTTAATTTAATAAAATCAATAGATAATTTAAAATAATTATTTATCAATTAAAATATCCTTAATATCATCAATTTGCATAAAATAAAAGCAAAAGATTAAGATATAATAAATTTTAATCATCTTCTATATTTGATTGCTACAGGTATGGCAGTATTTAATGAAGTATTAGAATTAATGAAACTTTAGCAGATATAAAATTACTTATAATCCCAAAAGATAAAATAATTTGAGATATATCATGGTAAGTTCTATATATTGAACTACAAACTGAAGAGAATAATGTTTTTACTAAAAAATTATTCTACTTTATTAAAAAAAATTTATTTGGATCTAAAGTTTTGAATTTGATCATTTAAATTGAATAGAATTAATATCAAGTAGTCTTAGATGGTTTATAATTATTAGGGATCTTTTTAGTAATTTAATGTATTATGATAATCATAGAAATCATTTATGTTGTTTTCATTAAAAATTATATTATTTTTTATTATACCAGATGGATAAATAAATATTACTAAATTGATAAATATGTGAATTGATTTTTAAGATTTAGTTTTAATAGTACTGTTGTTAAAGAGACCTATTTAAGATATGAAATTCTTTTCTTTTTTTAAGAATTGTTTATTGAGTAAGATTATCATTTTAAATGGGATTTTAAATAAATAGTATTTTAAAAAATCCTAATTAGATTTGATATAGTATTGTTTGTTATATAATTATAGTAATAATAAGATTAAATAAAAAGAGAGTTAAAGTTATTCTTTTAATGTAGATAATTATTTTTAATATTAAAAATATAGTAAATAAACATAATGATTAATTGGGCTGCAAATGATGTATGTTAGAATAATCATAAACTACAATGGGTGAAAAAGCATATATAGAAATGTGCTTAATGTGGTCCAGTTGACACAATGTGTAGATATGGTTGTACATAATGCAATATATATTATTGTGTAAAATGTAGATAGCCTCCTGTGATGGGAGATTTTTGTGGAGGAGGACATGAGTATATTTTATGAATAATAGATTGAAATATGTTCCTAATTTGAAATATCATTCTTGTGATGTTTGTAGAAGTTCAATATCAGGAGGAGCATACAGATGTTAAGAATGTGATTATGATGTATGTGAAAAATGTTGGATAGTAAAAGAAGATTGATAAGTATATTATAATTATTTCACTTAACACCAAACTTAAGAAATGATTTAAATTTATAAGTTTTCATTCTAGTAATTCTTGTATTTTCTTATTTATATCTATTCCCTTTTAAACAATTTAGTATGTTACTTAAATTCTCTTTTTTTCTATAACATATCAATTCTTCATTTTTATCAATTCCTTCTATCTCTTCCTTCTTAAATGTTAAAAAATCTTTATGAATCTATTCTAATTATTTTTCATCTTCATTTTAAATATATTCTGATTAATTATACTCACTTGAAAGAAATATCTTTTTATAAACTTTAGGAGGTTTCAATAAATCCATTTATTATTGTTATTATTATTTTATCATTTCATTTTAAGAACCATTACTACCATTTAATTATCCTTATTTTCTTTCTCTATATCCACATCTCATTAAAAAATCTTCATTCACTTCATCTTAAATTATTCCTTAATCAAATGCTGCTTCTAAAGCATGTTCTACTGTCTCTTAAATCCTTGTAATCGCCTTTGATTTTAATTATTTCTTTCTTTAATGTGGAAATCTCTCCAAAATTACATTTGAACTTTTATCTTATGATATTTTTGATGATAATGGTTTATAAAATACAACTGGACAATTCATCAATTCATGAGTTCTTCTACATATTAAACATTGTATAGGTATTAAGTTAAATATTATTTCATCTCTTAAATTGCAATATTATTCATAATTATTTTGATCAGATCTCAAAACATTTACAAAATCTTCCTATGTTATATATGCTACCTCTGTAAATTAAATAGCTTTTGCATTATAATGTACTTATTCTGATGCTATAAATTCTTTTGATCCTACAGATCCTTTGTATTAAGTTGCAATTGACACTTTGTTGATATTGAATTCGACAACACCTTTTACAATAAAACATGCATTATTAATGAATTCACCCTATGAAAATATCATTGAACCAGGAATATAAGTTTATGATTTTACGACTTTACTCAATTATTTTAATGTGAAATCTGAAAATTTTGAAAATATTGAACATGTTTTCATTACTTATACATAAATATTTGATTTTAATTCTAATTTCAAATCATCATCTAATTTATCTAATAATTGTTCTGGACTATCATCCACATCAATAAAATAATCTAAATACTTTCTAACTTTCATTTACAACAAAGGATTTAATTTATGCTTTTTCATATAAGAATTCACTTTTGCCATATTATTTCTATGCAAATCTGTTTTCTCTCTTAATTACCCAAATATTGTTTATATTGAGGAAATAGTATATCCAAATATTAAGGATGTAACAAGTACCATAAATATCATAAAAGCTTACTCATATGAAGTCTATGGAACTATGTCACCATAACCTACAGTGAATGCTGTAATAGTAGCTAAATATAAAGAAGCAATATATCTGGTTGCCCAATTAGATTTATCTAAATTATATTTAATTAACCAACAATTATCAACACCTTATGTAATTTAGTATTAACCAATATAATGCCAAGCACAACCAAAAATATGAGATACAAAAACCATAAAAAACATAAGTTTTATTATATCTAAAGGTGCTGCGAATTTCTCTCTTATTAAAGTAATTTCCTCTATTTATTCAACCATTTTTGTTACTCTTGTTACTCGCAGCAAAAGTACAAAATTAATGTATGGGATATTATATTATGATATTAGAAAAGGTATAACAACAATTATATCTTTGAGAAAATCACCCTTTATATAATGTTTAAATATCATTTTTCTGCTTACATGTATCATACCTTCTGAATAGTAAGCAGTATTAAAATTAAGTAAAATTTCTAATAAAAATATGTAACTAGGTAGAGTACTAAAAAAAAAATCTACTTCATTATTATTGTCAATTTCAAATGATAATTGCATAGGAATATAAAATATGTTGATTATTACAAAAACCAAAATACAACAATCTAATAATAACTTACCTTTACTGTNTATTGAATTCGACAACACCTTTTACAATAAAACATGCATTATTAATGAATTCACCCTATGAAAATATCATTGAACCAGGAATATAAGTTTATGATTTTACGACTTTACTCAATTATTTTAATGTGAAATCTGAAAATTTTGAAAATATTGAACATGTTTTCATTACTTATACATAAATATTTGATTTTAATTCTAATTTCAAATCATCATCTAATTTATCTAATAATTGTTCTGGACTATCATCCACATCAATAAAATAATCTAAATACTTTCTAACTTTCATTTACAACAAAGGATTTAATTTATGCTTTTTCATATAAGAATTCACTTTTGCCATATTATTTCTATGCAAATCTGTTTTCTCTCTTAATTACCCAAATATTGTTTATATTGAGGAAATAGTATATCCAAATATTAAGGATGTAACAAGTACCATAAATATCATAAAAGCTTACTCATATGAAGTCTATGGAACTATGTCACCATAACCTACAGTGAATGCTGTAATAGTAGCTAAATATAAAGAAGCAATATATCTGGTTGCCCAATTAGATTTATCTAAATTATATTTAATTAACCAACAATTATCAACACCTTATGTAATTTAGTATTAACCAATATAATGCCAAGCACAACCAAAAATATGAGATACAAAAACCATAAAAAACATAAGTTTTATTATATCTAAAGGTGCTGCGAATTTCTCTCTTATTAAAGTAATTTCCTCTATTTATTCAACCATTTTTGTTACTCTTGTTACTCGCAGCAAAAGTACAAAATTAATGTATGGGATATTATATTATGATATTAGAAAAGGTATAACAACAATTATATCTTTGAGAAAATCACCCTTTATATAATGTTTAAATATCATTTTTCTGCTTACATGTATCATACCTTCTGAATAGTAAGCAGTATTAAAATTAAGTAAAATTTCTAATAAAAATATGTAACTAGGTAGAGTACTAAAAAAAAAATCTACTTCATTATTATTGTCAATTTCAAATGATAATTGCATAGGAATATAAAATATGTTGATTATTACAAAAACCAAAATACAACAATCTAATAATAACTTACCTTTACTGTCAGGTTAAATAACTCCAATTTAAATTTATGGCATTAAAGAATTGATGTATTTAATTAATGATTGAGATAATGAAATTTTAGAAAATACTAAGTTTTTATCTGAATAAAAATCATAATGAGATGATTAATCTCCAATGATTTCATGTATTCGATAAGTAACAGTTCTAAATCGATAGCGTTCAGCTGCTGTTTTTAATTTCAAAATAAATTTAGTAATGGCACAAAATATTTTTAATGAATGTTATCTCCAAAGTATATCAAATCCTAAATTAATTGAGACATCAGGAGTAGGTTCAGAAATATAAGGATGTTTATATGGTGAATTCATAACAAATCTTTTAGTTGATGAGGACCTATTTGTATTCATAATAAATTAAGAATTAGTTATTTCTTTAGATAAATTATGGTTTTAATAATTATATTGAAATAAAGACATTATCATTATTTAATTTTTGGTAATTGAGTTTAACTTTGACTTAATGTCATACTTTATTATTATTAGCTAGATTCTTTTTCATTTTAACTTCTATCTTTATCTAATTTTTCCCTATGAGATTTCAACCTATCTTACATATTCTTATAACCAATACCAAACTATATTATTATCAATAATCTATATTACTTTTCCCATTCTTTCAGGTGATGTTTCTTTTGGAGGAAATACTGCCCAATTTTTAAATTCTCCCAATTATCCTTTATATTTATCTAAGTCCTTATCACATGAAGCACAACTCCAAGAAAGAGGTTTTTTAACAAATAAAGAATCCTTATCTTTTGATCCATCTCCTTCAAGGATCATAAATATTTAATTAATCTATATTTAATAGTAATATATACTTTCTATTCAAGATATATTAGAGCTTTCTTTGTTTCTTATTTATTTGCTAATGTTTTAATAAGTTCAGTTACTACTTTTTATAATTAATCTAAGAATGTTTGATTTAAATCTTTAACTTCTTAAGCATCAGCTTTTCTATCTATACTTAGTTTAACTTCATCTCCAATTCTCTATACTTCATCTCTTACTTATTTTATTTTTGGATCAAATGTTTAAAATAATTCATCCTTTGTTACTATTGATTCGATTTTCTTTCCAAAATTATTAATTTTCATTCTATTTTAATCTTAATCACGTTTAATTAAATCCATCTATTCTCTCTAATTTTATAATTCAATGTAAATCTTATCAGTTTATATTCCTTAAAGTTTCTTCTCCAACTCAGCCAATTTTATATGAATTTATTAATTATTCTAATTCATTTAGGTTTTATGTATTAATAAATCACTATTAATTAATTATTTACATTTTACCTTTCAATTTCTTTTAATGTTTACTATAATTCTTTAATTTAATTTTATAATTCTTTATCAATATTAGGCTGTTTTTATGGTGTTTCAACATGAGGTTAAGATTTTCTCTATTATGACTTTCCTATTTACTCTCTCAATTATATTATTTCCTTTTCTAATTTAGCAATATCTGCTTATTCTGCCTTTTTATCTATTTTAATTTTAAATTCTCTTCTTGCTTTTTCTAATTCTTCATCTGCATGATCTTAAACAATCTTTATTCTAACTTCTTTTTTAGTATTCTCATTTTAAAAATCTGTTATCAGACAATAATTTTATAATTATTCTCTTAATTTATTAATTTCTCCTAAAATTAAAGCAACCTAATTCTCTTGCATATCTTCACCCTATCCAAAAGTAGCTAAATTTAATTATGTTTATAAAGCTTCTATTTGTGATTGTAATTTTTTAATATCATTTTTTATTTAATTTAATTCATCATTTGAAATATCTGATTATTAATTATTATTTTAATCTTTTAATTTTTATCTTAAACTATCTACTATCTCATATAATGATTATATTTCTTCTTCATGTCCAATTAATTTCTTATTAACATCTGATAAGTCTACTGGTTAATTTTCATCTAAAACTTTCTCATTATTTAATCCCTATTTTAAGTTATCAAGTTCTTTTTATAATTATTCTTATTATAATTCTAATACTTATGTAAATGTTTACTTAATTCGAGAGTTAATTTGTTTAATTTGTTGATTTATTCATCATTTCCAGCATATTAAATAGGTAGAGCCATAGCTTAAATTGGAGCTTCTTTTATTATTTCTTTTTCTATTATAATTTACTCTGGTTTTCGTTCCTCTACTTCATGCAATTCATTTTAGAAACCATTCATCTATTTCTTAATATTTTCAATCTCTTGACCTAGTTAATTTATCTATTCTTATTATTATTATTGAATATTATTAATATCTTCTATTTTCTTTGCTTAAACTGTTTATTCACCTTCTAAATCTTATAATGACTGTTCTTATTATTTAACAATTCTATCTATTAAAATGTTAATCAAATAATTACTAAATTTTTAATTTGTTTATTCTAATTCTTCCTTTGTAGCATAATCCTTTTTAGAAACATCTTATAATTCTAATAACTTTGATGTGATTTATTCTATTGTGTCTTTGTTTTATTATTTGGTTTCTGGAGTTTCACTTACTTCTTTTAATTTCTTTTTATTTATTCATTTATATATACCTACACCCAATCAGAATTATCTTATACTTTAGTATTCATCAATACCATTCCTTTATGTAATTGTTTTAATATTGATATCAAAACTGCAAAATTCTTTTGTAATAATTCTTCTGAGAATTAAATACTCATCATTTTATCCATGCTTAAATTAGCTAATTCTTAATCAAAAGATTAGAAATTTGGATCGAATATTACATTTATGAGTTATTCTTCCATTTTAAGATATTAAATTAATAAAATATATATATATATTAAAAAAATATCGATTTTAATTGTATTATTACCTCATCATTCTTTTATTACTTAGATATATGTTTCTTTCTTATAACTTTTATCAAATTTTGATGAATCATCATAATAAGTATATTAAATTATTATATTCTAAAAAGTTAGAATATAAATAGATTTTCTTTGTTAACAAATGATAAGTCTATAATAGATAATAATATGGGTAAATATAATTTACAAAAAATCTGATATTGATAATTTAATTTTACTTAATATATATATATAAATGAGAGAGCACTTAAAAACAGAAATTAGTGAAATATCTACAAAAAGATAAGAGACTTATTCTTTACAACATATAGGTTAATCTAGCATCTTTCTTGAGGATTAAAAAATGTCATTCAAATAATCTTTATTCCTAAGAAATAGCTACAATTAGATTAGACATCCTTATTCTCAAACTATTATCTTACCTAAACATGATTATCACATTTAAAAGGAAGATAACAATATAATTATTTCTGGGAAAACATATTTAACAAAAGCCATGGAACATAGATATATGAAGATTCCATGTCATAATATTGTTGGCACTTTACATTGTTTCATTTAATGCACAAGTGAATTTTAAGTTTTATTATCTTAAATACACCCTTTCCCAACCAATCATAATTGTGAATAGGTTATTAATAACAGAGGATTTCATATGTCAGTAATTTCAGGTGAATTTATTTATATTTCTTTTATCTCAAGAAAAGACTCTGAAGTCACTTTCAAAATTCAATCTTAAATTTAATACGAACAAAATTATAGAATGAAAACTTTGTAAGACACTCCTACTAATGATTTTCTACCTTCTATGAATTCTAAGTCTTTTTAATTCATTATTAATTCTAATAAAGAATAAGCAAAAATTAAAAAAAATAAATATTATGATGAAATTTCAAGATCTGAAAGATTTCTCAAAGTATTATAAACTAAAAACTTTTAAAAGTAATCCCAAAATTAAGCAATTATTTAAAAAAAGTTTGATATTAAAGCAAAATAATTAGCCAACAAAGAAAAAATCCTATAAAAAAGACTCAATTTTGTATTAAAACAGAAATTCTTTTTTGAACATCAATGGGTTATATTATTATATATAATTAAATTAGGATAATAGATAGCTAATATCTTTTATCATAAAAAGGGAATTATTTAAAAATATCGATTGGCTGCTTTTAAGATAAAATTAATATTGGTTGTATTAAGAAAATAATTAGCTAAAACTAAAGGTTGTAGTTTAAGTTCAAGAATAACAGTAGATGCCTTAATATCTATGAAAATGAGAGCAAAAATAGTGAGTAATATAGTAAGAATTAAATAAGGGGATATCTTAATACCTTATTTTAGATAGAGAGCATAAATATATGATCTAAAAGTAAAGATGTTAGAAAAAGCAAATAAAATATTAATCATAAAAAAATATGTGTTAATTTTTGAATCAAATTATTTGTAATACAAGAGAGAAATGATAGAAAAATGGGAGAAAACTAATGACAAATTAAGGGAATAAGAAATTAAAGAAAAATAACCAGCATTACGAAACAAAGCAATTGTCATGTGGTTTTAAGTATTAAAAGATAAGGATTTTGCTTAGTAGATGAGAAATTGTTTTATATTTGAATTAATGAGAGATAGAATAAAGGTTCATTTATAGGATTAATCAATAATTAAGAAATATAAATTTGATTTGAAATACTATAAATCAAAATTAAGAGTATGTAGAGATTCAAATGAAGCTAATTCTTATAGGTAAGAAATAGCATAAATAACAAATGAGATATATGCTATGCATATGAAAAGTTAATTATTTATGCATGTTGATGTTGATAAATATTTTTAGAAATTATTGAATAAATATATTGTTTTAGTAGATGAAACTGAAAATCTACCAGAAGATATACAAGTATAATAAAAACAAAAATAAAGATAATCTAGGATATCATTGAGGAAAGGTACAAGAAAATCCAAACTATGAATTTATGTTTAAATGAACCTGATATTTTTTGATTTTTATAATATTCTTAAATGAAAATCATTAAAAATTTTCAATTTATTGTTTATTTTTTATTTCAGTTTAAAATAAAGTTGGAAATTTAGAACGACAAATGGAACAATTTTTTTTTAGATAAATCCATTTAGATAAACAAACAGAATGAAAATTATGTCCTTAAAATATTGAGAATATTTATTACACATTTTGTTTCAATAACACATGTACAAATTACACAAATTTCTTCGGCTTTTATTTTTCTGGTTAAGAAAAATCTGGGTTCTTTTGTACATTGATAATTGTAGAAAATTACTTAAGTAGCATATAACAAAATAATTATAATTACTGTTTTGAGGATGTTAATGTATGTAGAAAATTATAAGGAAAATCTCATGGTTGATAAAAAACCAAATACAAAAAATTTATTCAATTATACGTAATGTATTTTATATGCTACATGAATTATTTAAGGTAATAAAAATAGGTTGACAATAATCAAAAAGACATTAAAGAAATAAACTAGATAATTAATAATAATTGCTAAAATTATCAAAAGCAAACAGAATTTTAACATTCCTAAAAATTTTTTGACTTGTTAATTGATATGCCAAATTTCTACTGATAGAATCAATTCTTTTACAAGCAAGTACATTTTACTCTAATATACAATAAATGAAGGACTAAAATAAAAAATTAATAATTCACTGGTCTTTGTTCTATAAATCTTGAGCCTACAATTCCTAAATAGACATCAAAAATCAGAAGAAAAACAAATATAAATTGACTGTATCATGTCATCATTCTATTGTTTTGTTCAAACTCCCTTTAGAATAATTATAAATTGATTAATTGAATTAAACGTAAAACTATAATTATTATGGTATAAATGATAGCTTAATTATGTATCTTATTTATAAAATTCATTTTTACATCAATATAATTAAAATTGAAACTAAAAGAAAATATTTTTGATAATAATTTATTATGAACTTTCAATAATATCTAATTTTTTGCTATCAAGATTAATATTATTCAAAATCATGGTTAAATTTGCATATATTTCTGTAATAGATTGATTTTATTAAAAAGCACTAAATCTTTCCATAGGTGTCTCTAATATTTTCATAGATATATTTATTATCTTCAAATGATAGAGCTAATTAAAGGTTGTGTTAATAACATAAAAATTAATTTTAATAATCTTCAAAGAACTTTCCTTCAATAAGAGTGACTGAGAATTAAATTGTATATGATTATTACGAATGTATTTATTTTATGAATCAATCCATGTTCCCTAAAAATATGACTAAGAATATGTTCTGACTACCTTTTCTAAGATTTTAGTATGTTATTAGAATTAAAGTAATATTTATTTAATATCTGTCATTTTGAAGGCACAATCAGTAAAATCATTTTAAGAGTGTAGAATTTAATTTTATTATTCTATGTATTGATTAGATTATATGAAAACATAAAAGATGGACATTATTAAAAGTAGAATGAGGATCATACCCTTACTTCTCTATTGTTATTTCATTTGGCATTTCTAATTAAAAATTTGATTTTAAGATCCAAATCAATTTATAACATATTAATATAATATTCAAAAAAATCTGTATTTAATGGCTTAATTAAATACAATATCTGGATCAATAGATTTTTATGTTGCTCAAGTTTAATAGAAGAGCAACTGTGTTATATTACTTAGTTATAAATTAATAAGAATTTAATATAAAAATTTATTTTAATTTAGGTATATCATTTATTAACAATATAAAATATTGTAGTAATATTTTTAAATATCTATCTTTTAACAATTAAATGTTTAATTTTTAATTATTGTTGTATAATTCTTTTTAAAAGTTATTTCTCAAAATAATTTGGATCATTTATCTTAATATTTCTAGATATGAAGATTCATATATCGTAAATAAGTCTTACTTAGAATTAGGAGTAGACTGTAACTCTATTGTTGCCATTTCATCATATTTTCTATTTAACCTTATTTTATAAATATTATTTTATTTAAACATGCTGTTGTAATAAGACAAATTATTGTAGATGTATAGATCTGTTTAATTTCTTATTAAATTAGTCAAAAGTAATATTATTTATTTTGTGTTCAAACAATTTGTCTTTATAAATTTCTAATTAAGTTAGTGCTTAAAATGAATTCAAATTTTTTTTAAATCGACAGATAATTGACTAGTAAGCTCTCAGAATTAAATTTAGTTATTTATTTCTTTACCATTTCCAAATAAGAAAGCTTTTAAATTGCCTAATAATCTAATCTTGTTTTTATTGGAATAACATCCAATAATTATCTCCTCCATTTTAATCAGAGTTAGAAATCACTACACCAAAATCCAAGTTAGATTTTTTAACTGCCAATAAAATGTATCTTGCCAATTTATCATCTAGATCAATCATCACAATCTCACAATCATCTAATTTCAATATATGTGAGCATAACTTATATGTGACATAAAAATTATTTCATACTACCAGATAAACAGAAACATAATTCATTATGTTCCTTTTTAAACACTCAATAAACATCTATATAGTACAATTTTTATAGAATGTACTAATAACTCTTCCAAATTTCTAATCATTTTTTTAGAGCGTTCTAAAGTTGTATTCGAAGAGAGTATTTTAGTTTATTTAAATCTTTAATGATGAATTCTTTATGATATTAAATTATATAATTGATCTTGAACTCTTTGATTATTTTGCAAATATCGACCCTTCAGGTGTATTAACAAGTGATATAGTATAACTATCTGTTCCTCTTTCTTCAAATTTTATTATCATTAAATCTTTAATTAAGTAATACACTTTTTAAACTCAAATATGGAGACATGATAATATATAAAAAATATCAAGTTTTTGTTGTTATCATTTTTATAATTATCATATGTTTAATTTATGGATAATTTATATTCCTAATGGAATATTATTACGATATTTTTATCCTAAGATCTATCCTAAATATAGGCTTCAGCTTTTTATATATTTTTAGTTTTTACAGTCTCATATTTCAGTCTAATTATAATTTAGCAAATTTATAAATGGAATTGTAGAATTTCCGAATCGAACTCCTCTTTCATTTTTCAGATTTATAAATATTAAAACAGAAAAAGACATATATCAACTCAAAGAATCTTCTATACGCATGTTACTCCAATATACTTTTAAAAATTTTAAAAAATATTTTCAAGTATAATTCTTGATATAATATATATATTCAATCTGTATATTGTGTTTCTAAACGACTCATTTCAATTAGTACTACTAGGCAGCATATTAAAGGTATAGCTATTACCAAAATTAAATTTAAGTTTAGTTACTTAAATTTCTTGGGGTTGTTAGGGTTATTATTAAGTTTGACATTATTTGTTTTCTTCTAATTTCTGAACTATTCAACAATGTCTGTTATTGAATTTTATTATAATTATATCATATTGTTTCTGATATTATTTGGGGATGTGGCAAATTTTAATTTTGCTGACTCGACAACATCTTTGTATTTACTATGTTTAATTGTCTTTTCAGAAGCAAGAAATTTTAAGCTTTCGCTTTTGAATTAGTTTGAATTATAAATATCGTCATACAGTTTTTGTCTGTTGAAAAACTCATTTATGCTATTTGATTGAGAAATTGAAACACGTTCAAGAGAATTGTAAGGCATTTTTTGATTCTTTGTTTAATCTTTAATTACTGTATTTCTTAAAGAAGTTTTTTAATTCATATTTTATTTAATTATCACGACAAATATATTTGAATCGATTTATATTTAAGCTTTTAAAATATTTATTTATTTATTTTTTTAACAAAGGACAGTTTTAATATTACTTTGTAAAAAAAAAATGGAATAAAAGAAATTATATTCAATTATTTTATAATCCCACTCACACATTCAATTTTTATTTATTTTATTTAAATTATTATTTATTAAAATTATTTTCACTAAAAACATCCTTCTTATTTTTATATAAAAATTTTCTTTATTGAGGCTTATAGCTCAAAATACTTTAAATTCACAATAATTATGTGCATTAGTAGTAACAATTTTTAATAAACTGTTACTATTTTGATATTATTTGATCTGATTAAATTTGGCTGAAGGACAAAAAATATTGATCAAATCTAGATTTAATATATTTAATTTTCTATTTGTTCTCAATAAAGAACAGACTTGAACGATAAGTTTATTAAAATCAGATATAATATTTATTCGTGATTATATATTTAATCGTGATTATAAAATTATATCGAGTTTTTCTTAATTAATTTTATCTAATGAAATTCTATAATAATTTGTAATGTTATTATTTGAGTTTAATTCTTATTAGGAAAAGTAATTTCAATCTATTTGGTCAAAATATTTACAAATTTTAAATACTTCAAATATTAGATTATTAGTTTAAAAATCGATGTCCATATTCTTAAATTATGAATAGTATTGATGTATCGAATTATATGCTCATAATAAGAAAATGAGAATCAAGTGAATATAATTCAATTTTAACAATAAAATTGAAATAGTAAGATGATGACGCATCTATTTTCATTAAATTTATATTATATATTAAATTAATCAATTATAATTAATCATTTGTTATAAAAAGAAAAAGATTTTTTTTGGCTTGAATTTTTAATTATAAATAAATCGTCACTATTAATAACATGTTAATATAGCAAAAGTAATTAATTTATATAGTTTTTAAAATAGAATTGGAAATTTGGAAGGTTTAAAAGTAGTTGAATTGACTGAATAAATTGAGGAGTAAGTACTAGAAAGAAAAAAGAAGTTATTTAAATGAGTCAAAAGATAGAAAAAGAGAAGATTGGTTCAAATATAGAAGAATAATTAAAAATATGATATAACAATCTTAATAAATCAAGGCAAACTATAATAATTAAATAATAAAAAAATAAAAAAGAACATATTCTGAGATTAAGCTATGCGTAAAAAATAATTTAAAATAAGAAAGAATACTATTAGAGGCACTAAAGGATTTAAAGAAATTGAAAAGAAGAATGGAAAATATATATTACTAATATAAGAAAATAAATATTACTAATATAAGAAAATGAATATTACTATTATAAGAAAATGAATATTACTAATATAAGAAAATGAATATTACTAATATAAGAAAATGAATATTACTATTATAAGAAAATGAATATTACTAATATAAGAAGATGAATATTACTATTATAAGAAAATAAAAAAAAGAATTAAGTGAAAGATAATATATTCTTTGAAATGGACTTAAAAATTTTAAAATTAATTAGAGTAATCAACATTTTTTTTGATTCACCTATTTTAATAGAGATAAGAGAATGGTAAGTTAGAAATATGTAATAATAATTTATTTTATTAATATTCTAATTAGCTTAATGAAGCTTGAAATAAGAAGTAATTTAGATCATCAAAAGTCTGTTAATAATATCAAATATTGATTAACAAGATGTGATTTATATAAATTATTTTATAAATGAATAATAAAATATAAAGTATAATAAAATAAAAGAGTTTGAGATAAATAAAAATGATAATCAGTGATCTAATTTAATTTTGGATTCATTCAAGAGTATAATGTCAAAGATTTCAATTAATTTGTTTGCTAATCTATAACCTCCAATAGCAAGATTATTTTCACAGAATGACTTGGCTTATTAAACATAGTCTTTGCTATATAAGTTAGATGTTTAAATCATAGGATAAAGAAATTATTAAGCTTATCTATAGCCAACATAAGTCCAAACAGTAGGATTACTATTTAATTAAATGAATAAATAGATACGTCATATCATAATTTAAATAATTAGAATAGGGGTATTATCTGATTAAGTCTTTAGACCAATTATCAAGATAATCTTAATCTTTTTAAGATAATGGACGTGATAGAAAAGTAGAATTCGAAGTAAATGCAAATGCACCAGCATCCCAAAATGAATGTAAATTAACAAAAGTTCCATTTTCTATCTTTAAATAATAAAGATAATGAATTTACTTATATTTTCATTAAATTTCCTCCATTATCTCCATTTGGATATGTAACATTCCAAAAAGTAGTATCATGTAGTGGTTAATGTAGATCACCAATAACATGTAATAATACTCTAATCATTTATGCTTTGAAAGCAGTATGTCTGTATTTAACAGTTTTTGTATTGGTTAATACAGAAGTAGCTGAATTAATAGCATATATTGAATTAATGTTCCTACCTTAATCTTCTATTTTTATTTAGAGTCCATCTGGATTCATGGGTCGATCAGTGTAATGCCAATCATTTAAATAATTGGTACCTGTTTCTTTTATATCATCAAGCCAAACGGCAGCCTCAGCAAATGTATTAGATCTACCATCTGTTAAGGGATTAAAGTCTTATACTAATGAATCTGCCCATGCCAAAACATCAGGTCTATTATCTCTTAGATGATTTTTGGCTATTTAAGCAGTCATCATATGACCCACATCCCACCATTAATAAGATAATAATATCAGTGTTGAGATTATCAGATATTTCATTAAAATTAATATTTTTATTTACGCTATGTAAGATTTGCTTATCTAATTATATATTATNTGAAGCTTGAAATAAGAAGTAATTTAGATCATCAAAAGTCTGTTAATAATATCAAATATTGATTAACAAGATGTGATTTATATAAATTATTTTATAAATGAATAATAAAATATAAAGTATAATAAAATAAAAGAGTTTGAGATAAATAAAAATGATAATCAGTGATCTAATTTAATTTTGGATTCATTCAAGAGTATAATGTCAAAGATTTCAATTAATTTGTTTGCTAATCTATAACCTCCAATAGCAAGATTATTTTCACAGAATGACTTGGCTTATTAAACATAGTCTTTGCTATATAAGTTAGATGTTTAAATCATAGGATAAAGAAATTATTAAGCTTATCTATAGCCAACATAAGTCCAAACAGTAGGATTACTATTTAATTAAATGAATAAATAGATACGTCATATCATAATTTAAATAATTAGAATAGGGGTATTATCTGATTAAGTCTTTAGACCAATTATCAAGATAATCTTAATCTTTTTAAGATAATGGACGTGATAGAAAAGTAGAATTCGAAGTAAATGCAAATGCACCAGCATCCCAAAATGAATGTAAATTAACAAAAGTTCCATTTTCTATCTTTAAATAATAAAGATAATGAATTTACTTATATTTTCATTAAATTTCCTCCATTATCTCCATTTGGATATGTAACATTCCAAAAAGTAGTATCATGTAGTGGTTAATGTAGATCACCAATAACATGTAATAATACTCTAATCATTTATGCTTTGAAAGCAGTATGTCTGTATTTAACAGTTTTTGTATTGGTTAATACAGAAGTAGCTGAATTAATAGCATATATTGAATTAATGTTCCTACCTTAATCTTCTATTTTTATTTAGAGTCCATCTGGATTCATGGGTCGATCAGTGTAATGCCAATCATTTAAATAATTGGTACCTGTTTCTTTTATATCATCAAGCCAAACGGCAGCCTCAGCAAATGTATTAGATCTACCATCTGTTAAGGGATTAAAGTCTTATACTAATGAATCTGCCCATGCCAAAACATCAGGTCTATTATCTCTTAGATGATTTTTGGCTATTTAAGCAGTCATCATATGACCCACATCCCACCATTAATAAGATAATAATATCAGTGTTGAGATTATCAGATATTTCATTAAAATTAATATTTTTATTTACGCTATGTAAGATTTGCTTATCTAATTATATATTATGAACAAATAATATTTTATTAATTACTACAGTATTTTTATAATATAATTATCATCTCCATTTAATGAATTATTAATCTGATCGATTCTTTTTAAAAATAGGCTTCAATTTATTATCCTTATCATATAATTATATCTATATTACCTTCTCTTACATTATTGTAGAATATTAGAAATGTCCTTATAATTATTCTACACCTTAAATTCTTGCATATGTGATTTCACAAATCTTTATTATTAATTCTATATTTATACCTTCTCAGAATTAAATTATTTCCATTTTTTACCTTAAAATTCTATAAAAAACTTAGAAATATATTTTGTATCTATAAAATTTATAAATGCATATCCTACATTACATTTATTCTATTATTTATCTTAATTCTTACTGTAAAATCTATTGGAAGATAAAAAAAATCATAAGTATCTTTATTATTTATATCAATATTCTCTAATAACATAGATTAACTATATTTATTTGGAATATTCCTAATCATAAGAGTAGTTCTATCATCATCGCAAATCTTTATTACTATTTATGCTATACCTTATCAATATCAATCTAAAATTAAGTAATCTATGAATATGGTTCATATCTTCTTTTGTTTTTTTATTAAAATTACTAGAATAATGTAGGCATAGTTTTATAAAACATTTATTCTTCTTTTACTTCTTAAATTGATTGATTCATCTCTTAAATCTATTATGATGTAGATAAAGTTTCTGCTAAAGTAGAACTATTTGAATATATAGTTATTGATCTATTCTTCATCTACCCTTAAATATTGTTATTATCAAATTTCTATAAACTTTATTGTTCTCCTTATTTTTAACCATGCTCTCTTTATTCCATACTATTTTTAGGTCTTACAAATTAACCAAAACACTTTGGATCTATTCTAAATCGTTGTTGCATTTATTTTAAACAAATTTTATATTTTATATTAAAGATTTTTAATCACCAACGCTCATCATCAATTAAATATTTTTATTCATTTTTATATATACATTATTCATCATTCAATCTTTATTCACTTCTTATCAACTCAATTTTTACAATATAATAATATAATCAAACCATGATTTTAATCAAAATATTTAAATTACTATTTTTTATAGTTCAAATATATTTATCTATACAAAGATTAATATAATTTCAACTAACTTTTATATTGTATTCATATTTTAAATATATCTTTAAATTAATACATTAAATAAATTATTTAATGTTTAAACAAGAAAGAATATTTCTAAACATTTTAATATATTTTTCATATGATATACTGATGTATATTCTGAAAATATTAAGTCATATATTAGTAATAATCGTATGAAAGCATTTATTTAATTAAATTATAGATGATAAATAATAGAGTGTCATTCATTCATTATGGTTATGAAATATCAATTATTAGAATTGCAAATGCGCAAATAATACACTCAAAGTATCTAATTTTATAGAAGCAACAGCTATATCTTTGGATCAACTATTCATCATTTTTGCTAAATTCAACAAAGTACCTATATCTTATCCAGATATAAATGAAAAAAATTTAGTACTTGTTTCAATGAAAATGATCTTTATCAGTTTCTTGCATTAAATCAAATGACAACAAATTCCTTGATACTGATAAAATTTTATAAATAATTGAAAATATAAATCTCAATAGCTTATTTATAATATATAAAATTGTCTCTTTTTTTTAATGAATGTTATAAAAATCAAAGATCCTGCAATATTCATCATGGAATTTCTTGAGAATTCAGAAAAACTACAAGGTTCGCTATTAGATTATTATGTTTATAATGATTAACAATTTATTATAGTTTTGTTAATTTTTTATCTTTTTAGACTTTATTAGAAAATAAATTCATTTTAAATGATAATATTATATTAGAATGAATAACTAATCGTTGTATATATAATTATAACTTTTTTTTAATTTACAAAATAATTTTTCAACATATGTGAATACTAAATAATATGGCTAATTGTCTAAAAAACATATAGAATAGATTGACTAACAAATAAGAATTATTTTGTATAGTAAAGAATAGATGTTGGAAAGAATTAAACAAATCATATAAAACATGAGAGAAAATATACAATCAAATTAAAAGTCATTAAAAATATAGAATTTCTAAAAATTTCATTATAGCTTTAATTTAAATAAACTTAAATAGTCCAAATCAATTTATTGCATGATTTGAATGCATAGTTTCTTCTAATTCTTTAAGTTATTATTTTGCAAAATTTATTATGCATTCAAGCTAAGATGCATACTAAACTAAATCAACAAACTCTTTGTTATTTCTTCTTTTTTCTAATTATTTTTAATAATCTTCTTCTTCTTCCCAGCCATCTATGTCATTTGAAGATTCATCTGGTGATTATATTTTATATTTTTTATTTCTATCTAACTTTTAACAATGACATCCTTTCACCTTTTTTATACTCTTTTTCAACATTTTGTGTTGTTTAACCATATTATCAGTTGATTTAGTTTCATAAATGCCAATGCTGTTATTAAAAAATAAGTCACCCATTATACTTTGTCTATTATGTATTAATATTAATAATCTCAAAAATTACAATTGGATTTTATTTCTATCCTTTTCTAACTATCCGTTTTATTAGTTGAATTAAGTGGAAATCTATATTTTATAATATTTAAGTAAACTAATTATATAATTCTTGCTTTTTAAGTTTTCAATATTAAAATTACCCAAGATTATATTTTATAATTTGTTGAAGTTAGATATCTTCAATCAACTCATTTATTATTATGATTATAATTATTATTACTATTATAATCAATCTATTAATTCTAATTATTCATTTATCATTACCAATTTAGATATACATAAAAATCAAGAACTTTTATTTGATTTTATATTTTTATTTAACACTTAATCAAATTAGTGATTCTTTATTTTGTCAAAATTTCATATCAGAAGAAACACTGGATTAATATAATTATGATTATTTTTAATCAGTGTTTTTAATATAAACCAAGATTTAAAGTATTTTTTTACTATTTGAGTTTAATACTTTTTTAGGGATTTTTGGATTATTCATTAATCAAAGTGACTTTTAGCAACTTAATTGTGACATATTATTACGGTGAAGGAATTTTGATTTGAAGTAAATTGTTTTGGATATTGTTAAATCTGGAATTCATAGTCAGAATTTATGAATTTTGATTTATTAGATAATCATTTATGGTTAGTTAATAGTAAATTAATTGAGCCTTAAATTAAAAGGATTTTGTTAATCAGATTTTTACAATCTGAGCTTTAATTAATTGTTGGTTATAATATATTCATAATAAATTAAGTTAAATAATATTTCTAAGAACTATTCTTGCTATTCAATAGGTTTTCTTTTTATATGCAAATTAAAGGATAAACAATTTTTAATCAAAATCTTAAGAATATCAATTTTATATTTTTTAAATGCTACTAAAGTAATTTCTTATCCTATATTCTATTTTTCATATATATATTTATCAATCTCTTTTTAATCTTCATATTTTTCAGCAATTATAAAATGCAACCTTGTACTCACATTAAATCTTAATCTTCATTTAAAATTTTATTTAACTAAATTAAGAAAATATTTATTGTCTTATTTGATAAGAAATTATGACATTNATACAATCAAATTAAAAGTCATTAAAAATATAGAATTTCTAAAAATTTCATTATAGCTTTAATTTAAATAAACTTAAATAGTCCAAATCAATTTATTGCATGATTTGAATGCATAGTTTCTTCTAATTCTTTAAGTTATTATTTTGCAAAATTTATTATGCATTCAAGCTAAGATGCATACTAAACTAAATCAACAAACTCTTTGTTATTTCTTCTTTTTTCTAATTATTTTTAATAATCTTCTTCTTCTTCCCAGCCATCTATGTCATTTGAAGATTCATCTGGTGATTATATTTTATATTTTTTATTTCTATCTAACTTTTAACAATGACATCCTTTCACCTTTTTTATACTCTTTTTCAACATTTTGTGTTGTTTAACCATATTATCAGTTGATTTAGTTTCATAAATGCCAATGCTGTTATTAAAAAATAAGTCACCCATTATACTTTGTCTATTATGTATTAATATTAATAATCTCAAAAATTACAATTGGATTTTATTTCTATCCTTTTCTAACTATCCGTTTTATTAGTTGAATTAAGTGGAAATCTATATTTTATAATATTTAAGTAAACTAATTATATAATTCTTGCTTTTTAAGTTTTCAATATTAAAATTACCCAAGATTATATTTTATAATTTGTTGAAGTTAGATATCTTCAATCAACTCATTTATTATTATGATTATAATTATTATTACTATTATAATCAATCTATTAATTCTAATTATTCATTTATCATTACCAATTTAGATATACATAAAAATCAAGAACTTTTATTTGATTTTATATTTTTATTTAACACTTAATCAAATTAGTGATTCTTTATTTTGTCAAAATTTCATATCAGAAGAAACACTGGATTAATATAATTATGATTATTTTTAATCAGTGTTTTTAATATAAACCAAGATTTAAAGTATTTTTTTACTATTTGAGTTTAATACTTTTTTAGGGATTTTTGGATTATTCATTAATCAAAGTGACTTTTAGCAACTTAATTGTGACATATTATTACGGTGAAGGAATTTTGATTTGAAGTAAATTGTTTTGGATATTGTTAAATCTGGAATTCATAGTCAGAATTTATGAATTTTGATTTATTAGATAATCATTTATGGTTAGTTAATAGTAAATTAATTGAGCCTTAAATTAAAAGGATTTTGTTAATCAGATTTTTACAATCTGAGCTTTAATTAATTGTTGGTTATAATATATTCATAATAAATTAAGTTAAATAATATTTCTAAGAACTATTCTTGCTATTCAATAGGTTTTCTTTTTATATGCAAATTAAAGGATAAACAATTTTTAATCAAAATCTTAAGAATATCAATTTTATATTTTTTAAATGCTACTAAAGTAATTTCTTATCCTATATTCTATTTTTCATATATATATTTATCAATCTCTTTTTAATCTTCATATTTTTCAGCAATTATAAAATGCAACCTTGTACTCACATTAAATCTTAATCTTCATTTAAAATTTTATTTAACTAAATTAAGAAAATATTTATTGTCTTATTTGATAAGAAATTATGACATTGTTTAATTTACATGATCAATATATCATAAATATTTTTATAATCAACTCTCAATAATGAAATAATAATAATATGCTATAAACTTTTCTAATCAATTAAAATAATTCTCAGTTATATTAATAAATGAAAATTGAATAAAAGAAATTATAAAAATTTTTTATAGAAATTATTCAAATCAAATTTTAGATCTAGAAAGAACGTGAATACTTTAAATAGATTGATTTAGAAGCATGTAATTTTTTGAGTTTCTAAAAAAGAAAGTTTTAACAACCAATCATAGAAATGAAAAGGAATAAGAAACATGATTAAATACTGAATAAAATATTTAATAATAAATTATATGTTAATAATTGCATTTATTGGAATTGCATTATCCTAAGAAGTATTTTGGTCAAATTATTCTTTTTAAAGTCCTGAATATATAAATTTAATAGCTCAACAAACAAATTTTGCTAGAAGCTTTGAAGAGTTTGGACAAATTTTGTATGAAATTCTTAAAGATTATTAGGAATTTTACAATCGAATATGATTCTAATCAAAATAAAGACCAATGTAGTTTTGAATATCAATACTTAATATTTAATTAAATGTATAATGTGTTTGGCAATTTAGTAAATGATTTACAATTGGTTGAAATAGATGAATTGGAAACCATATAAATAGAATAAGGATTTTAAAATTAAATAGTTTCTTATACTAAAAGTGATTTAACTTTATTGCTTTTAGATAGGAATGGAAGTATTCATTATTTGAATTTTGATGAAGGCTCATTATTATTTAATTATTCAAAATTGAATTTAACTTATTACAGCTAAACTAAATAACATTAACAATTATTAAATGATAAAGAAACCTTTTATTATGTTAATAATGAATAATTTAGTAAGTTCATAATATAAAATAATCAATTATATTAATTTGAAATATTAAATTGGAATTAGCAATATGGTACATTTAAGATTTAGATTAGAAATAATTATGTTTACACCACTGTCATTTTTAAGCTTCTTTATTAAAATTAATACTGTAATTAAAATAATAATTATTTTAAGATTACAATTTTTATTATTATATATTTAGGAATAAGAACTTAGAACAAACTTATAATTCATATTATTTTTTTTCTATGTATTATCAATTTTTGATGAATAAACTAATTAATTTATTAGAACTACCCCATTATTTTAATTTATTTATTAAATAATTTTCACTAAAATCTATAAGTAAGTAAAAAACTATTTTAGTAGTGTGTATCAGACTTCGAAAATATACTTTTAAATCCAAGTATGCGCAAGATTTTAACTCACTTCCCTTTATTTATTTTTAAACTAATAAATAATTATAATATAGACCTTCAAGGTCTTCAAAGAAAATAGATTTAATAAATTAGCAAATCTTAATAAAAATGCATATTTTCTCTAATTTCATTGAAAGAAATTGTTTTAATTTATAATTTATCGTACTGAAGAAATTAAATAAAATTGATTAATTATATTTAGGCGAAATATTAAGTTAATTAATTAAAAATAAAGGAATTATGTAGAGATTATAATCATACATTTTTCAAGATTTCCAAAACAATTAAATAATATAATTTGATTTGTATATATCTTATTGATGGATAATAATTAATTATTTATAAAATAGTTGAACATTCTTTAGTTCTAATTAAGAATTTATTTGCAAAAGTATAATTTTTTAATTAAGGAAAAAGGACATTTATTAAGAAAATATGAAGATTAATTTGGTTGATATTTTTCTTTAAGATGAATATATATATATATTGGATCATGAGAATGGAGTAAAAAGAGTGTTTTTAGAAGATAATAAAATAGATAATGATTTTTATATAAACCAAACTGGTTGCTAATTAATTTCGATTTTTAAGGATTCTGCAATTTTAGTGTAGCAGAATCAACAAAGATCAATAATTTATGAAGGAATTATTAACAATAAAAGTTGGACTCTATTACAAAGTAAATAAATATCCAAAAAGATAATAAAAAATATTAAACATCTTTAACATTATGCCTTATTATTGAGTAATCCAATCAATAATATTCATAGAAAATATATGATTGAATAATATACGGATAAATAAATTCTATAAGGGTATAAATTATTTTAAATAATAAGTGATGACTTTTATCAAATGGATTTTCTAGGAATGGAGAATTTAGATTCAAATTATCTGATAGGAATTTTTAAATATGGAATAGCTTTATATTATACAATGGAAAAACCAAGCACTATTGTTTGTTCTGCATAAATACCATAAATTAATAGAATTAAAGTAAATTTTTATATTATGAGATTAGATTAAATTGATTAGTACTTAATGTCCAAACTAGAATCAAACAGATTTATTGAATTATTGTTCATCTGAACTTGAATATGTATTCGAAGTTCGTGGAGCTTTAATGAATGAATTTTAAGAGCGAATCTTTATTTATTTATGTATAGGAGCAAGTATAATTGTTTGGTTGTTGGTGGTCTCGATTATTTATATAATAAGAAGATATCAAATGAAAAAAAATTAAATCAATGAAATGAAAATGAAGAAAATAAAACCTAAATGAAACTATTAATTAGATTAATAAAATAAACTCATTAATGTTATTAAATAATTTCTATTAAATAAAATCAATAATTCAATTAGTTGAAATTGTTTTAAAATAGCATTTTTTAATACCCAATTATTTAGTTATTCTATCAAAATAATAATTCTATATCAAAAATCTTCAAAAACAATACAAAAATCTTATGAAAGTCATTTTTTTGATTTACTAGAATTTATTTAAAAAGTGTTTTTCTTTTAAAGTGAAAAATGAAATTTATTTACTTTCATTTTTATTTACTTTAAATACATAAAAATTCAAAAAATCAAATTACAATGATTAAATATTGTAAAAATATTTTAACAACTGTCATGTTATAAGTTCATTTTTATAGTTATCATATAACTATAATTTTATTTTGCTATTTAAAATGATCTACTTATAATTCTATATTTTTATTAAAATAATATATTTATTTTTAGTTTTTAGTCAATACACCACTGTCATTTTTAAGCTTCTTTATTAAAATTAATACTGTAATTAAAATAATAATTATTTTAAGATTACAATTTTTATTATTATATATTTAGGAATAAGAACTTAGAACAAACTTATAATTCATATTATTTTTTTTCTATGTATTATCAATTTTTGATGAATAAACTAATTAATTTATTAGAACTACCCCATTATTTTAATTTATTTATTAAATAATTTTCACTAAAATCTATAAGTAAGTAAAAAACTATTTTAGTAGTGTGTATCAGACTTCGAAAATATACTTTTAAATCCAAGTATGCGCAAGATTTTAACTCACTTCCCTTTATTTATTTTTAAACTAATAAATAATTATAATATAGACCTTCAAGGTCTTCAAAGAAAATAGATTTAATAAATTAGCAAATCTTAATAAAAATGCATATTTTCTCTAATTTCATTGAAAGAAATTGTTTTAATTTATAATTTATCGTACTGAAGAAATTAAATAAAATTGATTAATTATATTTAGGCGAAATATTAAGTTAATTAATTAAAAATAAAGGAATTATGTAGAGATTATAATCATACATTTTTCAAGATTTCCAAAACAATTAAATAATATAATTTGATTTGTAGAGTTAGAAAAAAAAAAGTCAAATTTAAAACTTTTTATTGCACACTACATTGATCCTAGAGCTCTTTCATATAAATTAATTATCTTTTTTAATTAATTTAATTCAAAAAAAATCATTTAATATCTATATTGATTAATCTCTATACCAAAGACCCACGCAAAAATATAATTCTCCTTCCAATACTAATTTTGTAGCCTAAATATAATGAATAAAATATACAAATCCATCTCTTGTGTCTTTTTTTGTCCATCTAATAAATTTTAAATTCATATCGACCTCAATCATAATGACATCGTTGGGCCAGAATTTAAATGCTTCTCTCTTCTATCCTTGATGATTAAAAAATCCTTCATAATTCATCAGTATATAAGTTCTTGAATTATGTTAGAAATTACCCTCTTCCCTATTTCTGACAATCATAGAAGTTATTTTATCTCATAATATCTTTGCTACCTATTCCTAATATAAAAGCCTCTTTCTCTTATCCTGTCACTTTAAAACAAACTTTAGTTACTCTCTTATCTGGAATTCTTTTATTACATATTCCGAAATACCAACCACTGTTTCCTGTTTCAGTTTTTATTTTTTTCCTTTCATTTTCAGGAACCTTAAGATGTTGATGCTTATTAAATGAACAAAACTCTAATTCTCTAGCATATTAATTCATTTCTGTTACTGTCCTTTCTTCCTGTTAAAAAGCTGAATATAACTAAAAATAAAAAATGTAATTTGTACAGGATTTTATTCTAATTATTATTTCCATTATTTTAAAGTATTTATCTCCTCATCTCTTATCTTTAAATTCTGTGCACTA